ATGCCGACTATGATTTTACTGAAATTGTTAAGAGTATAAAACCAAAAACTTTTAAACTGAATGATGAAAATGACATAGGAATAACAAAAAATCATATAGGATTTATAGCAGATGAAATTGAAAGTGTAATACCAAAAGAGTTTGAAAACATAGTGAGTAAAAATGATAAAGGCATTAAAATGCTAAACTATGTAAAATTATCATCTGTGCTATGGGGTTGCGTCCAACAACAACAACAAGCAAAAATTGAGCATTTAGAAGCATCTGTTTTTGAACTACAAGAAGCAATGAAAGAATTACTTAAACCTAAACCTAAACCAAAGCCTAAAAAGAAATCCAAGGATAAGAATAGCGATGAAGAAGATTAAAATATCTAATAATATATAATGGGCAATAAACGATCTACAATTGAAAACGGTTGTATTCAAGAATTGAGTAAAATTAATGAAGAAGAGTTAGACATCTCAAACATAGATAGGCTACAAATAAAAGCAATAAAAGAAATCAATAATAAGATTGAAAAATTGAATAAGGAAAAACAAACAAAAATGATATATGCTTTGCCGAAGGTGGATATTTGTAAGATGTCATTATTTTAAATTAATAATATTATAATCATATAGTATTATTAATCCGTGAATTGAATATAAGCATTAAAATTGTTCATAAACATCTTGTTCAAATTTGATTGGAGAAGATTTATATATAAAAAGTTGTGAGGTTCAGCAGTGGCAACTTCATAAATCTTATATATGAGTTTCTTTGCTTCCTGTAAGTTTTCCTTTCTTGGTAGTGCTGATAATTCTTCTTGTAATAAATCAATCTCTTTAAAATTCCTGACTTTGTAAAAGAAAAAATGTGTGGCATTTACCCTAATCAAGGTGTTTAAAGCATTGAACTTGTGAACGGAGGTGATGACTGATATGCCATTGTGGCGACCTCTTACATAAACTGAATTGAGAAGTTTTGAATACCGTGCTATTCTTGGGTCATCCGCTATATCATCCAGCACCAGCAATATAGGATACAGTTTTTTCATCTTATGTTTTTTTACTGTATTCAGTTATTTTATGTTGCGTATCCAGCACCTTCTCTAAATCCTCTACATTGAACTCTTCAAACCAACATTTTTCTTTATCAGTATCCACTTTCATTTGGTGCTTTATGTATTTCTTCACTGGCAACCAGATACTATCAACTTCAATTGAAGGAGATCAGATAAACACACGAGAAAAAACATTTCTATAAATGTCTAATATCATATTAACCAAAAGCACCGATTTTCCTGAACCTGACGGACCTGTTATTATTGCTCTGAATGGCACTTGTGGGACAACTTGATAATTTGATTGAGGGAATGTATAATTTATTTCATCTATTGGTTTCACATTAGGTGAAATTGATTTCATAATATAAATTATTTAGAAATTAAATTCTAATATTTGTTGTAATGGCATATCTTATTTTACCTTTGAATTCTGGGGTCAGGTGAAATCTGGAACAGACTGCCATATACCGATCATAAGAATGTTAATTAACAAGTTTCTCCCCGACATCGTCCCTTTTGAAAAAAAAAACTGTGCGGAATGACAACCACAAGCAATAGAAGAAGTTGAAGCCTTTTTTCTCTTGAATTAGTTTGATGCCCAGTTCAACACAGTTCATTTTCTTTTACAACATTTACCGCCCCCTTATGAATTTTTCGCCGTGCCAATAAATCCATATAATTAGATAGTAGCAAACATATAATCTAATTATATAGGATGAGTGATTATGATACATACATCAATACATCTACTTGGTCACTCTATTCATGTCAAACATTGTCTTGAACAGTACCTGTTCTCCAAGTATCAAAATCAAAAATGAAACTACTCACATGATAAATACAACTGCAATAAAGGAACATTTCTGTCACTATCACTATAAGCAAATTGCCGGAAAATAGGGAAACCGCACATCTTCGCAAAAAACAGAGAGCAACATGTCTCAATTCTTTTGTCGTTTCGGAAGGCACTTTATCTGTAAATAACATGTGGAATGATAGTTTCTGTTTTTTCTTTTTCTGAACATGCCTTTTCCACTGCGCAGATCTGCTGATGTTGCTAAACTATGCTAAATTGTTGTTTTTGTTGTTTTGTTTCCGATTTCGCGAATATGTCCATCAGTTTGTACCAAATCATACAAAAGCACAACATTCTGTATCAAGCACAACAAGTAAAACACAACAAAAGTAGTGGGATCGAATAGCCAGTAAAATGAAACTGTGAACATTAGTTTCCAGTTCGATGAGATTACCACGAGATACAGCCCATCTGGCAGTTCCAAGAGGGAGCAACCAACGAGAAAATCGAACAGCCGGACTTCTTCTGACACGCCCTGACACGCCCTTAGAATCCCTTAGATATATCTGAACTGGTCTTGGACTATGGAGCAGTCACCACCATACTTTGGATTGCCCCATGTCACTATGGTTCCATCTGCCACAATTGCAGCAAAAGCATATTGTGTGCCACAAATCTGCTGCACATTTCTTAGCTGATCTTGGACACTGGAGCAGTCACCACCATACAAAGCATTGCCCCAGGTCACCACTGTTCCATCTGCCAGAATTGCGGCAAAAGCACCTTGTGTGCCACGGATCTGCTGCACATGCTTGAGCTGATCCTGGACACTGGAGCTGTCACCACCATGGTCTGAATGGCCCCATGTCACGACGCTTCCATCTGCCAAGATTGCAGCAAAAGCACTGAGTGTGCCACAAAGCTTCTGAACATTGCTGAGCCGATCTTGGACGATGGAGCTGTCACCACCATAGTTTGGATTGCCCCATGTCACTATGGTTCCATCTGCCACAATTGCAGCAAAAGCATATTGTGTGCCACAAATCTGCCGCACATTCCTCAACTGATCTTGGACCCTGGAGCAGTCACCACCATACAATGCATTGCCCCAGGTCACCACTGTTCCATCTGCCAGAATTGCGGCGAAAGCAAAGTCTGAGCCACTGATCTGCACATTCCTCAGCTGATCTTGGACTCTGGTGCTGTCACTACCAAACTCTTCATGGCCCCATGTCACGACCCTTCCATGTGCCAAAATGGCAGCAAAAGCACCGGCCGTGCCACAGATCCGCTGAACATTCTTGAGCTGATCTTGGACGCTGGAGCTGTCACCACCATTGTCTTGATTGCCCCATGTCACCACCGTTCGATCTGCCAAGATTGCAGCAAAAGCACCGTGTGAGCAACAAAGCTTCTGAACATTGCCGAGCCGATCTTGCACTCTGGAGGTGTCGCCGCCAGCGTACGGCGTTGCGAGAGCCCCATGTGACCACCCTGTCACCTCCAACACACCACAAAGCAAAAGCACCGTCAGTTGCAGCTAGCTTTGGCTGCTGTGCTACCGCAGCAATGCTTTCTCCACCTTGAAATCCAGAGAATTGAAGTGCTTCAGTTAGATCCAACAGGTGCCCGTCAGGGGCAGCAAGCTTCAGGAAACCTTTCCGCAACTGTTGCGCAGCAATTTTCAAGTCAGCAACGGTGCCAGACCGCAAGACTTTGACAGTTTCACAGCGTCCACTTGGTAGTGAAACCTCAAGATCTATCAGGTCGTCTGCCTGACCGCTTACAGAATTGTTGGCCATGGCGCTGCGGTCACAGTGTGGCTAAAGGTATTGGTTGGGAAGTTGTTAGTTGCCTCCGCATTGTTCTTGGGGAATCTAAATACCCATAGGTCCGAACCGCTCACTCTGAAACATTGGATAGCATAGACGTAACATTCTATTGTGTTTTTGGAACTGTTTGCCACGTCCACCCTGATTCTCATTGGCATTTGTTTATCCAGTTTTGCCATCTGCCAATGGTTTGAAGTGATCGTTGGATGCTTGGATTGGCTGGCGACTGAGGCAGATCCCCAATAGTAAAAAGAGGCATAGAATCAGTTGAAACTAGGCCTTCACCAACAATGCTGTCAATGATAGAGTCATTATACATCAGACAGGTGGCATGTGTGTTCGGGGAAATATTCAGCACCCTCGTGCGGCTTCAAAAATTGTCATATTGCATCTGCATTTTTCCATCATCCATTCGTGCGTTATAGTTGGTGATGACAGCGCCCAAGCCGTTCTGGGGATGATTCGTTGGTATCCGATTTGCAGTTCATCATCCAAAAAAAGGACGTTGCAACATTTGAAACCAGCAATTCACTTTATACTTCGTGGCGAGTTTCGTATACTTTTCCATACTTTTCCGTAGTACCCAGTCCACAGGGCAGTAACGTCAAAACTTGGGCGGGTGAAATCATGTGAAATGGCCGCAGTTCTGCTGATTCAAAAACCCAACTTCTGTCGGATTTCAATCCTCAAAAATGTGACGGCATGCTGGTGGTTAATCCCCTTGTTCATTGGTGAATTCAGAATACAAAAAAAACTTCACTGGCTGATAGATACCAATTCCTCATTTTATTGATGAATATCGAATTTGTGTGGCTTCGAATCCGCATCTTTGGTAACTGAAAACCGCATATTTCCGCATGTTCTCAACTTCTATACTTTTGATAATTCAACACCATGAAAATTTCTCAAACAATCAAAGCTTGGAACGACCCCGCCGACTTTTCAGATAACCTGACAACATTTTTGGTGATCTTTTAGGTCGTCACGGTGACTGGAGCCCAGCCAGTGTCTTTGCTTTTTGCGACTGGTTGATTTCAAACTAGAAGTGATAGATGATATATCATTAATATACCACCTATCACTTCTTAATTGAAATCAACTTATCATATGTTATCCTTCGGGTTGGACCCCAATTCTCAGCAACAGTGGAGTCCGTGGAGGTGTTGGGCCACCAATTTGGTGCATTCTGAAGGTGACTGGCACGGTTTAACAGTTTGCGAACTTGACAATGGCCCATAGAAATAGTTGTTTTACCTATGGAAAAATGGTGATTTTAACCATAGTTTGTTGTAAACGTTTACCAGAAATATACCCAATTTATGTCTCAATGAAACGTCCAAAACTGGATCGGAGCTTCGGGGCGGTTCATCACAAACTCGCTACGGACCTCTCCTTTTGGTAGGCGACGCTGATTGAGCTCTGGTTTCGCCTACAAGCTTCAAGAAAAAACATGTCTATCTATACATGTGTACGTGACATTAACATTGTATATCATGTTTACATTACATTGCATACACATGTGTGTAATCCACACTTGCCAAAATATCATTGGGAAATAGAACAAATGTCATCCACAACAATCCACATTATCTATGTATACATAAACATATCTGCCTGCTCGTTGATAACATATGATAAACATTGATGTAAACACAATATCAACAATATACATAATTATATAATATATATATATATAATTATATACAATATATATATATATATATAAATAGATACAATATATATATATAATATTATTATTATTAGTATTATTATTATTATATACAATATATATATATAATTATATACAATATATATATATATAATTTTATATATAGTTACACATATGAAGGTTTCCCAAAATGGGGGTTCCCCCAAATCATCCAAATCATTGGGCAATCTTAGCATTGAAACAGCCATGGTGACGACTGGGAAAGCCGCCGCAAAGCCGCCTGCCAAGGCACGTCTCTCCACCTGGCAACCGGGCTGATGACCTTCAGCTTTTCACATTGGGTGAATCAAACAACATGGGTATATATATATATATATGTGTGTGTGTATATGTGTAAACAATATATATATATATTTGATTATGGTTATGGGTATATAACAACAGGTATTTATATATATATATATATGTATATATATATAAATGTATATGGTTATGGGTATATTGGGTATATAAATGTATATAACCTATCTAAGCTATATAACCCCACCAATAAATATATGTCATATACCAATAAGCTATGTGGGTGAATATTCATGTATATAACTGCATCAGATACCACATACCAACTAATCCAACAAACAAATTTATATATCATTCCGTCCATCAGGTACAAGGTGGTGCCCCCGCAGTTATAAGTTAGTTTATAAAGCCCATTAACTTTAGTTATATCTACAATAATTCCTACTTAATGTAGTTATAAACCAACTTAGCTAACTATGGGGCACCACCTTGTAAATACCCTCCATCCCTGGGCTGCTTCTTTCTCAGCTGGGATTACACCTGGCTTACCGCAACTTTCCGGAATGGCTTCGTCCAAAACATCGGGAATGGCCCTGTAGCGCATGGCCATCAACTAGTGAGAACATGATTTTCTCATATGATCATATCTGGATGGTGGTTTTAACCATCTGGAAAAATATTAGTCAATGGGAAGGATTATCCCATATATTATGGAAAATAAAAAATGATTGAAACCACCAACCAGTGTATATATAGATATATATGCATATTATATATTATATATATTGTTTAATATATATATATATATTGTGGGAAATCATATCTTCGGCAAATATTAATGGTAATTTCTGATAGAACAATGTAGAGCCATCATTTCTGATATGTTGGGCAGCCTATTTTCAGACAAACCAAGTGATTCGTCGACCATTTCCTCGTGGGATTTGATTTTATCCCAGCGCGATATTTGTTTAGTGCCATGGATTTTGTCGCTGATCATTTTTTGCGATTCTCCCCTTGCCTTTGCAAATATAGTAACTAGGTGTAACTAGGTAATTTGGGGATGGGTCAAAACCTATTATTACCATATTTGAGGGAATAATCATCCATTAAGCAGCTAATTTATCCAGCAGTTTGGTGCCTTCACAAACGGCCCGACTTCGTTTTTTTTCGATGCAAATCAATGGCCGTGTTCATAGTCATGTTAAATGATGATATCCCTTACCTTCTGGTAAACTAACATAACTAGGGAAAATCACCACTTTAATAGGTAAATCAACTAGAAATGGCAAGTTTCAATAGCAAACTGTTAGTTTACCAGAGGGTAAAGTGACCAGTGACCAGGGGCTTTGCAACAGCTTCCCATAGTTTCCCGGGACCAATTCTTCCGCCGCGTTGGCTAAAGCATTTTTTCTGGCTGCGCTGCGCTTGCGCTTTTTGAGCCTGAACTCGCCGGGCATCGCAACGCCATGGAGTTTCTCAGTGGACCAAAATATGGCTCGGTTGATTTCTAGGGAAAGCAATGGTGACTTGGGGTCCAGCATTTTCAGACTCAAATATTATATACCATCTGGTTATGACTAACATAGCCATGGAAAATCCCTTATAAATGGAGGTTTTAATGGGAAATCATCTACACATGGGCAATTTTCCATGGATATGTTAAATAACCAGAGGGAATACATATATATATATATATATTTATATAATTATATATTTATTTATATAATTATATTACATCTCAGAAAATATTCCTCTATATCCCCATGGGGTATCTCCTACAACCAGCATAAAAATGGGGATGATTGCCTTAAAAATCAGTGAAATCCATGGGTTTTCACCTCGTAGCCGCCATCCAGGGGCCATCCAGCTATCAACAGGGACATAACCGGGATGACTATGGTAATTTCATCACCTACATTTCTCGAGATTACTCCCATGTTTGATCATGTAAAAAGAGTCTGGTAGAATACATTGACATAAATGAATCATACTTAATAGATATTAATACTTCATACATCATCCTCATATTAAATCCGCACGGTTGATTCTTTGATGGTTCTTACCCGACTTTCCATTGACTCTGGATCTGGACCAAGTTATCTACAAGAAGCCGCTCACCGGAAAACTTCAGGCTATAAAATTCCATCCAGCTACCCCTAAATCCCATTCCCACCATTCCAGTAACGATGCCATCCATTTGCCCAGCACCCAGGGCCCCTGACCCACTCCCCGCCTCTCTTGGAGAGCGCCCTGCGCTAAACTCTTGGCCGCCATTGGCGGTCTGACCGACGCCGGCGCGGCTAAAGGCGGCAGCTTCCTGTGGACAGAGGCACGTTGACTTGTGGAGGATTTCCAGAGCAAAATGAACATTAGCTATACACGAGAATGGTAATTACGAGATATTACTAGTAGAGACATGACTGAACCTACACATCCAAACTTTGGACTTGTATGAAAACTATTGAAACTGTACCACCCTCTGAATTTGGGGTAGGGCCAGGAGCCCCCGTTTGTAGGGGGAGCCACTCAAATGCCTACACAAAGGGTGTACCTGCAATCATTCCCTTACGAAATTAGGGTCCCTGCAGTGAATTATTGTGCACGTTGAAAGTGGTTTGACTACCAAAAAATGGATATGCGCAGTTATGATAAATTCAGGGTTATGAGACATGATGTATTATATAGATTGGTTAGCATCAACTTTGCCACAAAAAGGATCAACCACAATTAGCAGAAAGAAGCACAGCACACAGCACACATGATTTTACCCACAAAATGGTGATTGGATGGTGTGTGTGGTATACCTTCACTGCCAGATGGTGCCTTCGGGACCAAAGAGGTTCTTGCAGCAACAGAGATTGCGAAGCAACACAGCAAATCAAACATCATTAGACCAGCACATATCTGATATACCGGGAACATCTATGGACTTCACAGCCAGAAATAGTGAAAAGTCCAATGATGCTCCAACACTTCGATGCGGGGAAAACTCGAGGATCTGAGACCATGGAGCCACTATTGGTCATGTGTCTTCAACCATCCCATGTTTTGGGGGTCACAGGATTTTGACATATCAAATGACCATGTTCACGTGTACGGTGTATACATGTGTATACCGCCCATCTTCAGACCCCCAAAATGATAAATTGTGGGTCATATCTCCGATTGTACAAACTCATTACCCTCCAGTAGACGAACATTGCTGTGGAAGCTGGCCAACTTATAGATCATTGATTATGGCTGCATTAATCACCTTAGATGGCTGCTCAAAATATCATTTAATCATTAATCACTTGATCTTTGTTAGGCCCCATTAATTTACCTACTAATATTGATTATTTATCGGTTTTCCGTAGCTATGTGAATTTACCGGAGCGTCAGTCCCTAAAACATGTTCATGTAAACCTATCTTTTTAACCTTCCAGTAATCAAATGTGGCAATGGAAAATTCATGAAAATCCATGAACATCCCTGTAAATGGAGGTTCTAACGGGAAAATTCATCTGTAACTGGGGGATTTTCCATTGCCATGTTTGATTAGCATTAGAGGATACCTTTCTCCAAGGTCGAGCCGCTTCTTGAGCCGCTTCTTTCGCGAAGTCACCGGCACTGAGGGCGGCTGTCGATCCACACCTAGGTGCATCGCATTGCCAGAAAAAATAGGCAATGATAGACAAGTTCTAATCTAAATTTAGGGGATACAATTCATTATTGTTTTACCAACATCATTGAAATAAGTGGGAAATTACTTGACTCGTCTTTTTGCTGGTTCCAAAAACACCAACACTTGGTTTTTTTTTCAATAGCTCCTTTGGTGTTTCTCTTGTTCATCAGCCCTCAGGTATAAGAAAATTACTGAACATGTTCCCTCAACCAATTCTAGGAGATTTAATTCAACAATTGGATTGACATTCTTCGATTGCATGGATTGGTTATCAGTTGGAGGAGCACCTGGCGTATCTTATCTGGATGCATTGGGATCCACTGCAAGACAACGATGCTCTTGCGAATGCAGCTTAAACAACAGCAAGCCTCATCCAAATGGCTATTTTGTTGTCATATTCCTGGTGTACTGAACCACGCAGTTTTTTTTGAATCATCTCAATGCCACGAATAGCAAGTGCTCACTGGTACCGCTAATCCCATCACCCCAATACCAAATTTCTCAAACAATCCTGAAAAATCAGGTACCTCTGAATTGATAGATCCACTACAATTTCACTTGGGCCTTGATTGGGTGATGTTCAATATGATCAAAGGAAGGGATTAGTGTATGTACATCAATTTCGGTTTGTCAATCCCCACAAACTTCATTAGATTGTACATGTATGATTATACGACTACGCATTCTAGTAAATGATATGATTACCTGTCAATCGTTTGGTTAGCCCCACAATTTGGTTGGTTCTTAAACCGTATCAAATCCCTGCCGTATTTCTTGACGATAAAATCTGCTGATTATGGATGTAACTATATACATGTGTATATATATATATGTATATATATATATATATGCATATGTATATATAATATATATATATATATATATACATACTTGTATTTGGGGCGCATTCCAGAGGCATTTGGACTAGTCGTGAGTATCGGAAATTTGTAGCCGGCTTAGCCTCCACTAGCTGTGTCAAGGTGCAGGGTTTAGGGTCAGCCAGCTCCATTTTTTTTCGACGTTTCCTGCGGTGCACAGCTTGGGGAAAATGCACAGCTCTTGCGGGGATTTAGATAGTGACTTCACCCAAAGTTATCCAAAATTGGGAGGTGAAGACCTGTTTGATGTTGAAGAAATGGGCTACCAACGATTCATGGAGGGACTCAATTGATGAAACAATCCAAAAGTTGGGGATTGAACCCTGACAAACGGAGGTGACAAACCAACCAAAATCATGCGCCAGGCCCTTTTAGTTGTATCGAGTATATTGGCTGGTTTGAAAAGGGTTTCCTACAATATCATACATCGGTTAATTCAGTATCCCTATATCTAGTATACTTAGCAATAGCGTATAATTTTTCCTGGCTTCCAAGTGGTATAACTGCAGTGCTATGCTGAAGTGATTGATGATCAGTGGGATACCGAACTCTGAACATAGCTGCCCACTCATCTGGAAACTGCAAGATAAAACTGTTGGCTGGATAAACCTTCGGTCTCATAATTTTCATATGATCTATTATATCAAGATAATCATAGATAAACCAATTCCAAAACAAGCAACGAAGTACAGTGAAATGCCTACCATGAACACCAAGAGCCAAGAACTCCCCAAAAGAGATCTTCCCAGGAGGCGCTCAGAGCAAACGGGTGGGATGTTCCATTGCCGGTGTTTGCTTCGGGTAAATCTGCATGAAAAACCTACCGAAATTCCTGGTCAAACTCCATGGCGAATAGCAAAATATATTGCCAGAATTTCACCATGGTTGTTGATTCACTCAAATCATGATATATATATATATATATAATGTAATATATATATATATATGTATATATGTATATATTCCCGGAATGTTGGTTAAATCGCCATTTCAGTGCAAATCAAAATCACCATTTTTCCTGGTCAAATGATCCACCAATGACACGTGACGACAACCGTCAACCGACCGTCCCATCCTCGGTGCAAAGAAATGATCCACCTGCGACTGGGAGAACCTGGGGGAACAATGGGGAACATCTACAAAATTCTAAAATTCTAGGGGATTAGTGCTTGTTAAAAAGGGAATATCATGGAACTAAATAGGAGAAGCCGTTTTTTGGTATTAGTATGTGATTGTTATTGTGAAACACATATTATATATATATATATATATTCCAATATATATATATATACACATGGAACTAGAGTTTCTTCCGATCCCATGTTTCACTACCAAAGGGTACTAGAAAACCAACCATCCTCAACACAGCTACCCCCTTGTTCTGTTGCCACTACAAGTATGATGTTCAGCAAGGCCGTCAAAAAAGATATGGTTTCCTTATGGGGTTACAACGTACGTTACAATCTACCGATTCTACCGGATTGGTAGCTTCAACTTCAACCAAAATATTCAGTTGGGACCATCATCCACAAAGAGTGTCAAAGTCAAAGAAACTAAACACCCAGTTCCTTACTAAAGTCTGGGTGTGTCTGAAAAGATCCGAAATACCCCCAAAAATACCAAATAAATCGTCAAATAACATGTTTACTGTAAACGTTTGAACCATTTCTTGATCTTTTCCCTTCGATTTTTCAGGTGCCTGGACCGTGGACCGGCCTGGTCCTCATCCCAAATTCGTCCCCGAGCTTTGGCATCCGCCATCAACGCGCTGATGTCATCGGCATCCGCGGCAGCCCGGAGGCAGTCGGTATTGGCGAAGACCTGTGAACTCAAGGGCAGTTCATGTTGACACTCAGTTACATATACCATATTTAATGGTAAAAAAAACGTGGTCTTAAGTGTTGATTTTCAATATTATCATATATTATCCAGTGGGGTCCATGACCTTCACTTCAGTTTCCAAAGGATATTTAACTCAAGTTTCCATGGGGTCCATTACCTAAATATTGTCATATTTGGATATGTTCCTTAAGTACCCCAACAACATTAAGGAGGATGTGTAACTGGGTTATTTCATGGCCATGGTCAAGTGACATGGGATGAATGGAATCTAACCAACAACAATTAATTGGGTATAAATATATATATATAATCATATATATATAATGGGTATACCCAACATTAGCCAACTATATGATACATACATATATATATATGGCTTATGGTCATCACAAAATCAAAAATAGGATTGTCCGATTAAGGGGTATATTAACCTGGATGGGGGACCATCAGTTGATGTTCAGTTGGTTACAGTAAGTTGCTGCATGACTAACATCACTAAACAGGGTCTAGGGGTAGATTATCGAACTAATTCATGGGGGTTACCCTCTGGTAAACTAACGTAACTATGGAAAATCACCATGCTATTAATGGGTAAATCCACTATAAATGGCCATTTTCAATAGCTATTTGTATGTAAAACCCAAAGGGGGCCATCACCTTGTGACAATGTTGAATGGGATCGCGATAATGGTGTAATGATTATAGTATATTATAGTATATTATAGTATATTATAGTAACCAAACTTGACCGCTTCAACTGCTGCTAAATGAGCATACACTAATGCAAGTTAAGCACCAACAATTAATTGAGGTATAATATCAATCATACTTTCCTAAAGGTGATATTTAATTGGATATATTTCACCAACAATATGGTAAGGATACTATATATTATAGTGATGAGCATAGTGATGAGTAAGTATTGCACGTTGCTCCATGTTGGATCCCTTTTGGGATAGAAATGGAAAATCTTGCGAAGGTGGATTGTCCATGTCCATATACTTGCTGCTTCATCCCACTTCCAAAAACTTAGTGCACCCCAGTTTTCAAAGTGGATTTTCTTAGTGGATTTACCCGATGAACCCCACTTCTCCCACAACATAACCATGGTTTTCCCACCGGTTTTTCCACCGGATTTTCCCCACTTTTTTTCCCGAAACATCGGCTCCAAGGCGCGATCAGCGAGCGCTTGGCGCGCGTCAAGGCCACGTTGAGGCGCTGGAACTCCGTCAGGAAGCCCAGGCGCCGCCGAGCGTTGGCGCGGACGAAGGAGAGAAGCACCACGTCGGCCTGCGGCGGGTTGGGATTCCGGTTTTTTTTTCAGTGGGAAAAAAAACAGGTGGTTGGACAGAAAATGTTCTGAAGAAACTGTTTTTTTACAGATATTATACATATTCTATGTATTTGTATATATGATCATATATATATATATATGTATATATATATATTGATGGTCCGGTAATCAGTATGTCTGATTGTAAGAATTCAAATATATAGTATAAGTCCAAAGAACTTCACCAATCAACCACTTGGCATTTTATTGGGTAAATATTGCTAGTGGTGAATACCCTCAGAGAAATATACAGGAAACTATGGAAAATCACAATGCTATTAATGGAAAAATCCACGAATTAAATGGACATTTTCAATAGCTATGTTTGTTTACCAGAGGGTATAATATTCAGAAAATATCGCTAATGAGCTGTTTGACACAAATCCCAAGAGCTATTCCTAAGAAGGCACGGTTGGATCCATAGGGATTGATTATGATAGTATATCATTGATTGTTATTTTCCATGGGAATTACTATACTACCATAGTTATTATTGATTTATTGAATATATTGTAGTATTCTATTGGTTAACCATTATTATTGTGTATAACTACCATTATGGATATCACCATTCTTGATAATTAACCAGTAATATATATATATATATTGTAATATACCATTATGGTTATTATCATTTACAATATATTTACAAAACATTACCATTATTGAAAATATAATAATACCACTGGTTACATTACAATATAATACCCATTACTTTTCATTATTGTAATGTAACCAGTGGTATTTTTCTCAAGCTCCTCCGGGTGGCCCTTGGCCGCGCCTCGGAGCCCTGAAAGCTGTCCACGGTATGCACGGCCACCTTCACCTCGGAGTGAGAAACGCTTTTGAAAGGATTCGTTGCCACTTGATTTTTTCATGGAATATATATATATATATATATCTGGGTAAATTACAATATTTCACTAACCTGAAATAAGGCCATTTTGGGATGATTCCCCTTATTATCCATGATTCCAGTGAGGTCGCAGTGAGGTCGTTATAATTTGCCCAGATATATATATATATATATATAATACATATTATACATGCATTATAATTATATGGGGAAACAATCAGCTATCAATGGTGACGAAGCCATGGGAGATTGGATGAAGCTATGGGAATTTGTGAGTCGTCCAAGGTGGCTCCCGCGGCTCCCGCGTGATCTCAGTCTTCAACCATGGTTTCGGCTATAGCGTACGCCTGTGTATAAGTATGTGTATCAATTTCCATGTGTATATATATTAAATCATACATATATATATAGCATATATATATATAGTGTATATATATATATGCTATATGTATATATATAAACGCTATATATATATATATATATATATATACGCGCAACGCCTGGGTTTTAAGATCAACAAAGGTACTAGGGAATATTAAACTCCCACCCCCGTTACACCTTAAATTCCTATGGGAAAAAACAAAAAAGGTACTAGGGAATATAAAATCCCACCTCCGTTAGACTTTACATTCAATTGGGAAGATCAACAAAGGTACTAGGGAATATTAAACTCCCACCACCGTTAAACTTTACATTCAATTAGGAAGATCAACAAAGGTACTAGGGAATATAAAAATCCCACTCCTACATTCATTGAAGATCTTCAAAAAGGGTTTAATTCTCCCACCCCCGCTAAACGTATACATTCATTGAAGATCTCCAATAAGGGTTTAATTCTCCCACCCCCGTTAAACGTATACATTCATTGAAGATCTTCAATAAGGGTTTAATTCTCCCACCTCCGTTACACTCTACATTCATTGAAGATCTTCAATAAGGGTTTAATTCTCCCACCCTCGTTCAACTTCTACATTCATTGAAGATCTTCAATAAGGGTTTAATTCTCCAACCCTCGTTAAACTTCTACATTCATTGAAGATCTTCAATACAAGCACCGTACTTAAGTCACATCAGGCGGGAAAAGTCACATCATCCCCATGGCACGGCGGCGATACGGAGAAGTCACATCAGGTAGTGGAAAGTCACATCAGGGAAGAAGAATCACCATGGCACAGCCTGTTTCATCTATATTTGGAGATTTAGTTAAAAGTAGCCGAAGCATTACGCACAGCGATGCTTTTGAAGGGCACAAGTTAATACAAAAATTGAACTTTTTCCATGCGCACGGCCCCAAAACGAAGAAACCGTTCAATTACCAAAAGTTGTGGTGATGCCAAACTTAAACTTTTTCCAGGCGCACGGCCTCCCGATACGACTTTTACAAGCTGATATGACTTAACGCTAGCGCTTGTAAGGGTTTAATTCTCCCATAAGGGTTTAATTATGATGATGATGATGATGATGATGATGCGTGGTCTGTCGTCATTGCGGGTCCGGGCAAAGCCCAGGCATTTGCCGTGTATATAAAGGTTAAAATATTATAGTATATTAATACATTTATATATATAATATATTAAAAATATATTTATTTATATTACATTAAATTACTATGTATATATAAATTATATAAAACAGATATTATATATGACTATACAATTTATATGATTATACATTTATTTATTACTATATATTATATATATGACCTTATATTATATATATGACTATATATTATATATGAATATAAATATATAATTATATATATACATTATGAATGTATATATATATTATGAATATATATATAATTATTTATTTAGTATATATCATAGATCCATTAACATTAGATGATGCAATGTATCTCGAGTTTTTGGCGTCCTGCCCTGTCTCTCCGAAGCGCCGCGCCACATCTCCAAGGAGTTGTCGAATCAATGCGGCTTGCCCACTGTAGAAGGTGATGACCACCACCTGCCACGAAGTTCACCCGTTGGTGAAGGATGATGGAGAAAACAACTAATAACCATGGTTAATCAACCAAAAATCACTATTAGTGGGTTAATACCAATAAAAATCAAAGTTAAATAGTTGGTTAATCATAGTTGGCTAATCATGGTTAAATAACCAATCAAAAGATAACTAATAGTGAATTTTGATCCTTACATTTCTGGTTCATAATGGTTCATATGAGTAAAGCAATGCCATACATTTCTGTGGGATGTACCCAATGACAGCCTAGCTACCAGGACCACGGATGATCAAAAGATGGGATGACTATGGCATTGGCGACCTAGCACATTCATGAAGATTGAATGAATGATTTATGGAATTCATTTGGTTGCATCATGTCACATATATATATATATATACTGTATATATATATGTATACATATATCATATATATATACATATGTATATATATGTGTATTAAATATATATATATATGTATATATATATATACAAAACATGGGTGGCAGAAATCCGCAAAACTCCGAAAGATGCAAAAGATTGTGTGTGTGTGTGCGTCAATGCAGTGTTGCAAATGCAGTTTCCTGACTTCTTTTCCTTGGATGTGCCCTAATATGCAGCCTGATTGGATTTGTTGAAAGGAAATTCTATAAGAAAAAATAAGGTTTCCTGCAGATTTTGTCTTATAACAATCCTATGACTTGGCTGGTCTTCGACTTGGCTTCCTGCAAGGTGATGTCCACTTCTTATAAGTTGCTTTGAAAACCCCATCTAACTATAGTTGTCAACATAACCCCTAGTTGTATTAGTTACACACCAACTTAGCGAACAATATCCCATGAATCAATTCAATCCCGATCCCATAAAATTCCAGACATCAAACTCATTAAACCCAACTATCAATGGGTTTTCAATGGCTTTTCATGGCTTTTCGACTTGGAGCACCAGCAGCACCTCTGGCGCACGGCCCTGGTGCCGGCCATCTTCACCTTTCGCCGCTTTCGCCATGCCATTTTGTGCCAGCTTCCGGGCGAAGGACACCAAGGATTCGGCTTCCCTGGATTCATCGGCATGGGGATGTTACTCATTGTCCAATGGTCACATGGTTAACCAGAAATACCCTCTGGTAATTTAACGTAGCTATGGAAAATCACCATTTTGATGGGAAAACTCACTATAAATGGCCGTTTTCAATAGCTATGTTAAATTACCAGAAATATCCCATGGTCAACTAGAGAATGTCCCAGAAAGTATCCCACTGTGAAAAACCATATGATTGATGTTGAAGTTACCCTCTGGTAAACGTTTATGGGAAAAATCACAATGTTTTTTCATGGGTAAATCAACTATAGGCCATGTTCAATAGCTATAGCAGCTATAGTTAAACTACCAAAGGGTATGGAGTATATCGTGATTTCCCGAAAAAATATCGGTCATGGGGATTTGATGGGCGGTAAATCATATGGAAGTGAAGCTGTTAACTTGCTGGGACGTGGCAATTTTCCATGGGGATTTTCTGATTTGCCGATTTTTTTGTGAAGGAGATTTATCAAGGGCCATGCAACAGGAACCGATTTATTGGAGGTACCGATTCCATATATGTTTGGCCTATTTTTTAGGCCTAAATTTCAGGGAATATCCCCACAAAATATGGCCAACAATATGGTACTAACGTACCTCCATCAATTGGATCCTGAAGATCTCCCATTGAATTTAGGATGTCCACGGTGAATTCATTGGCATGACGCCGCCAGTTTTTGCAGATATGTTGTGATGTGTTTGATGGGAATTCACTAAATTACCATGGGGATTTCATGGGGTTTGATGCTGATTTCCTGGGGAGGCAATTTGGAATCCACGCAAGGCAGGTCCTTTTGCATCTAAGGTTGATAAGTTTGATACTCCGATCAAAACGAACTTAGAAATCAAATGAACCCATCAAAAGAGGGTTTATTATTGCAATACCAAATTCATTTACATCTATATCTGGTTGGTGGTTTTAACCATCTTGAAAAATATTAGTCAATGGGAAGGATTATCTCATATATTATGGAAAATAAAAAATGTTTGAAACCACCAACCAGATATGCATTTAGTACATTACCCAAACCATATTCATCCTATAATATTCATCCATATTCCCATTGTCCCATCATATTCACACCATTTCCCATCATGTCCCTGAAACATTTACCAATGCTCGATTTTCGTATAACTATCCCACCTAAAACCGAGCCCAAACAAAGACTTTTGGGGTTCAACCTTCACCCACTGCCTACCGGTAAACGTTTACATAGCTATGGAAAATCACAATTTTTAATAGGTAGATCCACTATTTCTATGGCCATTTTCAATAGCTATGTTAGTTCACCAGTTCAATAGCTAGGTAAATCAATGTAAATCAACTAACCATGTTCAATAGCTAGGTTCAATTACCAGAGGGTAACGTGGTAAAACCAATGCCATAAATGGCCATAAACCATCCCCATGAAATGGTAGCCCCATGGCCTCCGATTCAGAATCTGCCCGCGCCGACCTCAGCGGTGTCTTAGGAATGTGCTGCTGAGATGTTGTTGGGCGGCAAACCCTACTATTGGTTGGTAATATATTGTTAATATATGGTTAATATTAATGGTTATTATATGGTTAATGATGGTTTATAATAATCTGGTTGGTGGTTGCCCTACCCCTCTGAAAAATATGAGTTCGTCAGTTGGGATGATGAAATTCCCCACTGAATGGAAAAATGAAAATGTTCCAAACACCAACCAGAGTAACATTAGATGCGAAATCTCCATATTCGTCAGGTCGAAGTTTCTCATCAAATCTAACCATCGAAACCTGGTTTGGTGATCTGATCATTTTGGGTACCCTCTGGTAATTTAACTATAACTATTGGAAAAATGCCCATAGACAGTTCGTTGATTTACCTATTAATAGCATGGTGATTTTCCAGTTTGCTATGTAAACGTTTACCAGAGGTTTATATGGTTGATGGCCCTTGGACTTATTATCAGTTGATCGTCAGTGTGAAGTATCACCACTTTCAAAGAGTTTGTTTTGAATTTTGGTCATCTTTGTGATGATGTTCATCTGGTTGGAAAAATAATTTAGTTCTGGTTGGTGGTTTTAACCATCTTGAAAAATATGAAAGTCTCAATGGGAAGGATTACCCCATATATTATGGAAAATAATAAATGTATATAAATGTTTGAAACTACCTACCAGCCATTTATATTTTCTTTCATGCTTAAATCATCGAACAATCATTAAGACATGATAAACCAAAACCAGTGTTTCCAACTTGGACCCACAAGTGAAAAAACATCCTTGCGCTTGATCCATCAAACGAAACAATAAGACAAAACCGTCTTTTCGTTGGACAAGAATCAAGAACAAACAAAACTTGCAAAACACGCTGGGGGTTCTTGGATAAAGGGAGCCATAGAAAATAAACATTTCCCCAGGAGATTCCCCAAATGGTGGATTAACCAAAAACATCTTCAGCAAATCCAAGTTGTCCTTTTTTTGTAAATAATAAGTCTCACTTATTTCACCAGTTTGGACTTAGACGGCTAACGATGGTTAAAGATATACTAAGACTCGACCCATTTCATATCCTCTGCGTGGTAATTTAACAAAGCTATACACAGCTATTAAAAGTGGCCCATTCATAGATAATGGTGCTATGAAAATTGTGATTGTCCAGAACCATGTTAGTTTATCAGAGGGTATTCCTTCACTAAAATCCAGGGCATATCATCATTTTCCCATCTATTCCCTATCAAAATTGCAAGAATTAGGGGTGTAATTTTTACCAGCCTGAAATAAGGCCACTTGGGGATGCAATCAAACCATGATTCCAGGGTTCGGTCACGACGTAGGGTCACTATATATTTGACCCATTCATAATTGGGAATATTGGCTATATTCCCATGATATTCCAATCATATTCCCACTCATCACCATTCATCACCAATCATCACAATTCATCACCAAAACCAATCCCATTAAATCACCATGAATCATTGGCTGGTTGGTGGTTTTAACCATCTTGAAAAATATGAGTTCGTCAGTTGGGATGATGATGTTCCCAATATGATGGGAAAACTAATCCAAATGTTCCAAAGCACCAACCAGTTGGTATGAAAGTTGGGATGATTATTCCCAATATATGGAAAAATAATCCAAATGTTCCAAACCATCACCATTCATCATCATATAAATCTCATTTAATCACCATGAATCATTGGGAATATACCCCATTCATCTCATTCTCAGAAGCGAAGTCTTCGCCAGGCCACGATTCTCCTCTTCACGTCCAGCCACGTTGACCACGGCATAGGCTGGCAGGGACACAGCATCTCCAGGAGACGACCTGATGATAAAAGATGCGTGGCCCTCTGGTTCTTTGACATATGGAAGCCATGGCCCATAAATGCCCATGGAAATAGATGTTTTGTGATGATTGAACTAGGAAACGTGGTGAAATTACATTAAATATCATTAAATTACCAGAGGGTAACTAGGCAGAAGGGCTGAAATTGTTGGGGTTAACAAGCAATTTCCCTCAGCCAAATTCTTGAAGTTCACGAAACATCATGAAAAATATGTGTGTGAACATCAACAATCTGAATGAGAACAACCTCTTGATTTTACATTCATGAGCTAATAGAAGTTATTGTATAATTCAACGGATATCGTCCTGGCCGCCTTCCATGATCGTAATCAGTCTGTGGGGTTTGTGGCGCCCAAGTCCTTGTCATCATGGTTTACAACCTCAAGTAACTCAGTCGCACTTGATATCCGAGTAGGATAGATCACAAACGAACATAGAGTTTCAGGGCTGGTAAAATGTCGGGACATTGCATTTTTCAATGTCAAAAACTCTCGGTTTTTGGAAGACTTATGAAGACTTCGCACTTCCACCGTGCCAAGCGCACCTGCACGATGCTGACGAGGTGTTGGTCGTCACATCAATCAAACGACCGCCATAGAAGCGTTGAGAAGGGAAGCGGCTGATTTCGGGGTGCATCCGATACCTTGGCAGCGATGTTACGAAATAAGGCCAGGATCTTTAAGCCATCCAAAAAAGATGGCTGAAGAAGGGATCAAGGGGGGAATGTTCTTCGTCAAATTTGGGATGGAAGAGGAACAAAAGAAAAAACAGCAGCATCGGCTGGGCAGAACTTGATGGACAGCAGGTTGAACGATCACCAGAGACCATGTATTTGCTGAGTTGGGTGTACAGAGGTTCCAGCAATGTGTCAATTTGAAACGGATTTTACCATAGACATCTCCACCAAGTGCGCCCACTATACATGTACACATCAGGGGTGCTGCAGAGACCACATTAACATCTAAAATCTAAAAGTCAAGCCACTGTTCCTGCAGCATGATGTAGTCCTGCCGCCAGTCGTTCAAGGATTATTCCACGTCGAAACCAGAGACATGAATGGTTCCCCAAACAGTTGGACGTACTCAATGTGGATACTACACACCAACAAAATAAACAAATGTGCACAAACATGGCAATGGAAAATACCATGTATGAAATCTCCAATAAATGATTTTCTCATTTAAACAATTTTAAACCTCCATTTATGTGGTGGAATTCCCTGTCAGCCATGTGTGATGACAGCCTTGACAGAGAAGGGTAGTTTCTCTGCAAGTTTACTCATTGCTTGGAGGACGTCTTCGATAACACACGTTGCGCTTGTGCAAACCCTCAAATGTGAGAAACATGACAACCAAACAAAAACAACAACAACAACAACAACAACAACAGCAACAACAACAACAAAACCAACAACAAAAACAACAACAACAACAACAAAACCAACAACAACAACAACAACAAAACCAACAACAACAACAACAACAACAACAACAAAACCAACAACAAAAACAACAACAACAACAACAACAAAACCAACAACAACAACAACAACAAAACCAACAACAAAAACAACAACAAAACCAACAACAAAACCAACAACAAAACCAACAACAAAACCAACAACAAAACCAACGACAAAACCAACAACAAAACCAACAACAACCAACAACCAACAACCAACAACCAACAACCAACAACCAACAACCAACAACCAACAACCAACAACCACAACAACAACAACCAACAACAACAACAACAACAACAACACCAACAACAACACCAACACCATCACCAACACCATCAACAACAACAACAACGACAACGACAACGCCAACAACAACAACCACAACCACAACCGCAACCACAACCACAAACACAAACACAAACACAACCAACAACAACCAACAACCAACAACAACCAACAACAACCAACAACAACCAACAACAACCAACATCATCAACAACAACAACAACCAACAACAACCAACAACCAACAACCAACAAACAACAACCAACAACCAACAACCAACAACCAACAACGACAACGACAACGACAACAACAACAACAAACACAACCACAACCACAACCACAACCACAACCAACAACAACAACAACAGCAACAACAACAACAACAGCAACAGCAACACCAACAACAACAGCAACAGCAACAGCAACAGCAACAGCAACAGCAACACCAGCAACAGCAACAGCAACAGCAACAACAACAACACCACCAACAACAACAACAGCAACAACAACAACAACAACAACAACACCAGCAACACCAGCAACAACAACAACAACACCACCAGCAACACCACACCAGCAACAACAACAACACCACCAGCAACACCAGCAACAACAACAACACCACCAGCAACACCAGCAACAACAACAACAACAGCAACAACAACAACACCAGCAACAACAACAACAACAACAAAACCAACAACAACAACAACAACAACAACAACAACAACAACAACAACAACAACAACAACAACAACAACAACAACACCACCAACAACCAACAACCAACAACCAACAACCAACAACCAACAACCAACAACCAACAACCAACAACCAACAACCAACAACCAAAACGACAACGACAACGACAACAACAACAACAACAAACACAACCACAACCACAACCACAACCACAACCACAACCAACAACAACAACAGCAACAACAACAACAACAGCAACAGCAACACCAACAACAACAGCAACAGCAACAGCAACAGCAACAGCAACAGCAACACCAGCAACAGCAACAGCAACAGCAACAACAACAACACCACCAACAACAACAACAACAGCAACAACAACAACAACACCAGCAACACCAGCAACAACAACAACAACACCACCAGCAACACCACACCAGCAACAACAACAACACCACCAGCAACACCAGCAACAACAACAACAACAGCAACAACAACAACAACACCAGCAACAACAACAACACCAACAACAACGGCAACAACAACAACACCACCAGCAACACCAGCAACAACAACAACAACAACAACAGCAACAACACCAGCAACAACAACAACAACAGCAACAACACCAGCAACAACAACAACAACAGCAACAACACCAGCAACATTATTCATGGTAAAGTCACCCATAGATTGATTCATATGTGCGGCTATTCATTGCCAGGTTTGGATTACCATCCACATGCCATTCCCATGGCCACGGGGATCCCCCGCCTGACCGAGGGCCATGAGGCGTTCCATCATGGAACGACAGAACTTGGCAGATTTCGCACTCTCGGAGTGACAAACCTGCGAAAATCCATCGGATTTCAGCGGCAAGGCGCTCCAAATACCTTCTTAGAGTTTTAGAAGGTGTCAACAAACCTGCAGGACCAACCCCGAATTCAATCACTCTCAGAAGGTGTTTGGAGCTCTAAATGTTGATTCAACTTCAGGTTGCTACTTGGGCGTCAGACTGTGGATACACCACCCAAAAGTGCGTTGTTTAGTATACTGAGAACGAGGTCGGAAAATGTCTAAATCCAGTTTACGCATCAAAATCTGCTACTGAGCTACCCTATAGCAGGCCTAACCACCAAATATTTATGGGGGGTCGTCATCCATTGAGAATACCAGCCGCAACCAGACTCTATTCAACTCAATCTGGTTCATAATTCTGGTTTTTATCCCCGGTTATCCCAACTATAAATATAACTATAGATTTGTTCAAATGTGGAGTAAAACACAATGCCGTTTCGAACATTCAGTGCGGTATTACTCCCGTTCGCCAGCCTTCGTTCAGTTTTGCTCACGTCATGTCTTCACTGGTTTGATTTGGATATTCGAAGGACCCATACAATGATTCATGTATATATATATATATCTTATCACAATTGCCCCAAGAAATGATCCAATCGTGTAAACCAGTCTATACTATATATATATATGGTTTCGTCCAAAAATAGGGCATCCCCTGAGCAAAAATCAATTGATTGTTCATTACGTAAGTTTCCGTGTTGAAACTGTTATTCTGGAATATAGCCTATGTTGGAACAAACACTATAACGTACCCTATAATTTGTTTTGTTAGATCCACTTTTATATTCACCAAAAAAACATCATCATGGTTGGTTATCATGCCCCAAATAATGATTCGTTGGTCTAGTCTAATCCAATGTCCATATTTCGTTGGTTCAATCCCACTGGTTGACGGATGTTGATGGCGAAAACCAGTTTTTAACTATGAGTTCATAATGTTAGTTAGTTGTATCCCATCATATCCCATCATGGTTGAACACCCCATAGCTTTGTTGGTTAAATCGTTCATTGTTTGATGTACCCATGTTAAAGTTATCCTTGTTTCTGCTGCTGAAATCCATTGAACTTCCCATTGTGGCTGGTTAAAACCAATTGTGATCAATTCCCACTATTTGGACATATTTGGACAAACCTGTACCAATCCTGTACCATATCGTTATCGTTGGTCATATATCCAACAAAAATACCGGTTATAGTTATAGCATTATAGGATTTCTCTCACCACTATACTGTATTCCATACAATCCATATCTATTCCAAACTCCCTGCCTGGAATCCCTCTTCTATACGTATAAAAATGAATATATATATATAGAGATCATATGTCTGACAATCTGGTGGTCCCCATTAAATCGATGTTTCTTGGTATATAGTATTGGTTCGATATCCCATTATATCCCCAATAACAAAAATAAACATCCACTATCCTTCTTGATAAATTGACCATTCCTGTTGGTGATCCAAGTTGTTGGAATATTATATATCTCTTACAAACGCTATAATAGATGGGATATGTTTTTGTCAGAAGTTTGTTCATTGAATCACCATGTTCTCTTCATTAAACCACCATTTTTCATGGTATCAACCCCATCAATGTTCATGAAATCACCATTTTTTAGATGTTTTTGTTCCTGCAACATAGCTATCAAAATGACAATTCTTCATGGTAAAATATCCAACATATATCCCATCTTCCTAGCCACCGCGGCAGCCAGGCCACCGTGGCGCTGAGCTGATTGGGATCCTTAAATGGCGGCAGTTGAGGGAACGTTTTAACATGGGTAAACTGATGTTTTTTTTTATACATATTATATCCCATAGGATCCATGGTGCTGCTATATATGGTAACATGGATCCCATCAATTGATTGATATAGATCAATTAACCACTATTAATCAATATCTGCTTAACATGAAAATGGCCAGTGATGGAGGTTAATCCACCATTAAAATGACACAACTATATATCTGAATATCTAAATATCATATATTGCTTGGTGGTTTTAGCAATGTTGAAAAATATGAAAGTCAATGGGAAGGATGACATCCCATATATGAAATGGAAAATAAATGTTTGAAACCACCAACCAGTATATGTATATATACCTCAATATATACATGAACTGGTGGTTCTTGATGGTTCTTGGGTCTTTGAGTGTGGAACAAATATAGGTGACATAGTGGATTTTACCTTCGAAACTATGCATAATTCACTGTGAACAATTGGTACCAACTGCGAACAGTCTTCGGATTAACCGTGGTGTATGGAAAAATCGATTGGGATGGTCAAACTAAATGATTTTGGGAGATTTTACTGATAATAACCACATTTCCGGAGATTCAACCAAGTAAATTTGAGTGTGAAATTTTATTGTTTGAGCCATGGCATATCCAACTTTCATGGTTGGGGTTTTTCACGCCTTCACCATATATTGGACCAACACCGATCCAGAAAACTTTGGGAAATCTCCTCGGGGCCCGAAAAAGGGCTACGGTCCTTGGGCCATGACGAAAACTGCGAAGGCACTGGGTGAAAAACAAAACATGATATACGAGTTATTCATGGTGATATATTGATATATATTGGATATTAGTTACTAAAATCAACCATTACCAGTTAGACACCACTAACCACTGATTCGAAAGGGCTGCAAACCAGTTGCTATCAGTTGACTGTTAATCCATGGCCGAAGATACTGTTTTTCTCCAGTAATTTAACAGAAGGTATGGAAAGCCTGCCATGAGAGTAGATCAGTTTCCTACAACCCACCAAAAAATATATTATTACCCCCTATACATCCATTAACATACTGTATATATATATTATACATTAAGTGTATAAACCCCATCTGCCAGGATAAAGCCCATCCAGTATAAAGCCCATCCAGTAAGTATAGATACAGTTCACCTAGTTATAAACCAACTACTATAATGTCAACCCTGGATTAATAAACCCCAAACGGCTGTTGAATTGGGAGGGTACCATTTAAGTATTAGATGAAATGACTATTGGAGGAGTACCCCCCTAATAAATAAACCATGGTTTAGCAAAATCCGGGGTTGACATTATTGGGTTTACTACAATGTGAATTTCAGGATCCTAAAGAGGTACTGTACCATTATTGAGGCCATATTTTGTGGGGATATTCCCTTACATAGGCCTAAAAAATAGGCCAAACATATATGGTAGATACAAATCACCAGGTGCAGCAAAGACTCGCCCACCAAAACCAGTTGTTTTGGACGCAAACACCTTGGCCAACGCCGTGAACTTGGAAAGTGAAATTTAACCGTTGAAAAAAACGATTTGGAAAGGCTTCCGAACATGAAATTTGGGTATTTCCCATATTTATAGTGGATTTTCCCATTGAAAATGGTGATTTTCCATAGTTATGTTAGTTTACTTCGGAACCCACATTTTGTTCCCCTATTTATCATTACCCATAGGCTCCATGCATGGTATATATGCTAACATTTGGGGTATATTGATGATAAATGTTACCATATATAGCATACATGGATCCTATGGGTTATATCATAAGTTTCTATTTAAGTAAATTTTGTGATTTGGAAACAAAAAACAGAAATAGCAATATTAATATAGAATTTGGTTCTGGCATGTCCCCTTAAATGCAAAAAAAAACATGTATCAAATGTACATGAACTGACCCCGACATGGTAACACATATGTTACGACCACTGATTGTAGAAAATATTGCCGAGAACCTTTTGGTGACGAAACCGCTGACTGGGACCCATAGGTTGAAAATAATGTTTTAGTTCCTATATTAGAAGTAACTAATTATTGACTTGTGGTTTCAGGCCTGTCCCAAAAATATCAACATCCCATTGTCAATGGTGGAACATAAACATTGTTGTATAATTAACTTGTGAAGAATCCACGATCATTACAAAATCATCCTGTGGAACTGTTTCATGTTTGTTTAATCACTAGCCTTTTGGCGGGTGGCGATACCCAAATGTAACCATGTTTAAGGTGTTTTGAGGACGGACATTGAAAATGCCTCCCGTTTCAACAGTTTCGGAACAAATCCAACCGCTGGAGTTCTGTTGGTCTTGCGGACCAAAAACAAAGGCCGCAAAAAAGGCTACAACCCCAGAACCCCCCACCAAGAAAACAAGAGCCTTCGCTGCACCTTCAGGGAAATGGGAAGAAGTAGACAACAGGTTGGCCCGAAAGAAAAGCAGCAGAAAGATCAAACCAGAGGATGCCAAGTGAAACCGAAACATGTTCATTTATCGAGTTTGATCCTTCCAATTTGTTTTACCTGCATTTAATGAACTGGATCTGCACAACTCCATGTGCATCTTAGTGCTCACGGTGACAACAATGTCTCGTAATGTCACGAAGCTGAAACCACCATGACCATGAACTGATAACTTTGATTTCACTCACAAGCGCTCTTACACACAAATGTCTGACACAGAGGTGCCTTCACCCACAGGTGATTTTACTCAGACAAATCTGTTACACAGGGATACCATGGACACAAAAATGTTTCTACACACTGGTGCCCATAGGTGCCCTGAAACAAACATGTTTTTACACAGGAACGTTTACACAGCGGTGTTCTGCCCACATCATTGTGTGGGCTAAGGCTAAGGTAATTTTATTTCTCTTCCGCATCCCTCCTCCTCATCCTCTTTCCTCTTTTTTTCCTTGCTCCTTTTCCTTTGTCCAACAAATTGTCACCACTTGTCACCAACAAAATTGTCACCATCAAAATGCAACCAACAAAATTATCAGCAACAGAAGTTTCACCACCAACATTGTCAACATGTTTTCACCAACAAAAATCTCTGCAACACATTTGTCATCATTTTGTTTCGCCAGCAAAAATGATTGATAAGGATGAGAAGAAAGGTTTGGATGATATTGACTGTGTCCATTAGTTTTTGGATACCCAAATCTAAAGAACAACTTACCCTTTGCAATAGAGTTGCCCTTCTCACACCCAATTGTCTTGCCAAGCTCTCACCTTCTATCTCTGCCATCACAAGAAGACTGGACTCAAAAGGAAGTAGACACTGATAAGCCACAAAACTTTCAGCAAAGTCACTGCGTTCAATGCATCCAATCATCTTTCAATATGTGTGTGTGATGATCAAAACTTTTGAAACAGCGCACTCGCACAGCCTGCCACTCTCAAGAAAAACGAGAGAGAGAGAGAGAGCGAGAGAGAGAGAGAGAGAGCAAGCGAGTTGGATGCCAAATGATATGGTAACTGCAGGAAATAGGGCACCACAGGTTGAATTTCCATCATCAGTTTTGCCCGTTCTGTGAATGTGCACAACAGTATTTGCTTGGTTTACGCCAAGTTGAATGGACTGTCGTGTATGATCCCAGGTTATCGCTTTTGGGGGAGGGCCTATCGCTATTGAAGCCATGGCCCATTGAGTTCGTGGAAAAAACCCCAGAAAATGGTGGATCCAATTGGTAATTGTCCATAGTTTTTTCGATGTTTACCAGAGAGTATCCCTCTGAAAAATAGTCAGTCGGGATTATTATTTATTATTCCCAATATATGGAAAGTCAAAAAAATCATGTTCCAAACCACCAACCAGCCATTAATCCATTCCATTGATTTTCCATATATTGGGTTTCCATATACCAGTTAACTATGGAAAATCACCATTTTTAATGGGAAAACTCACTAAACATCATCAGTTCCCCTTCACCTGTCCGTCCCATCCGCGTCGCATCGTCGCGTCGCGAGGCACAACGGGATCAGCGTCTCGGCCTCGACGGCCTGCGCGGCCTCGTCCACCAGCACCGTGTGGACCGTGTCGCGGAGCGTCTGCAGCGAGGGCCTATTAACGTGGTGGGACGGTGACGGTGACCGGGGGGAAACGGTGACCGTTGAGATGGGATATATCATGTATATATATATAATATAATTGTATATATTTATTGCTTTTTTTTGTTTACTTATTCGTCATTTATTTGTCACTTTTATTTTTATTGTTATCATTTCATCTATTTATTTGTTTATTTTCTATTTATCTGTTTATATATTTATATATTGTATATGGTATAGATATATGTATATATATATATATATATTGTGTATATATATATATATATATATATATAAAGACCCTATGGGTCCAGCCGTATCGTCTTAGGAAGTGTGACCAAGGTATGTTTTGGAGGGTGTCTTGTACCTCCGGACCGGAGGTGGATAAATAGGAAAAATAGGGAGAGTATTGTACAGTGGGATTGGTGAATAATATCATGTTTGTCCATTCTGGGCAAATCATAATCCCATTAAATTCCATTAAATCCCATTAGATCCCATTAAACCACCATAAAATCCCATTAAACCACCATATCTGGGCAAATGATCATATTTCACTAACCTGAATCTTGCGGCCATAAAAGGGGATGATTTCCCTTAGCCACAGCTCCAGGGCTCGGGAGAACGACGTGAGGTCGTGATGAAATTTACCCAGGTGTGTATGGGGAACAATGACATTAATCCAGTGGGATATATTGGGATAATTCAACCATAATGGCAGCCTAATGGTCAACCATAGTGGTCTTATGATAGTCTGTTGGGATATGTTTTTTTGTTTTAACCGTTGATATATTTTGATATGTACTTGACTACATGAATCTGATATACGGTATAGCGGACTGCAGAAGAAATATGTGATGGCTAAGCATGGCAAAGAATAACAATCTTTATTGATAGTTTGTATGGCAAATTACATATATATATATATATACATATACATAAGATATGACACAAAAGTTGACATTGGATGTTTCATGAGATATAAAGGAGACAAACCAACAAAAACGGTGGCAAAACATGGGGATTCTGAAATGTATATACATATATATACACACAGAGTTTGGTAGGTTTCATGGAATATAAGCGGCAAAATGTGGATATCATGGAACGACAAGATGTGGATCTAATAGGAACATTGGATATAACAGGAACTTTGGACTTTTAATGGCGTTGTGTATGAGAGTATCTAAGATTTTCACCGGCACTGGAGGAGTGAAGTAAAATTTACATAGGGGTGTCATCAGTGAAACAGGGCTGGTCATCATATATTGACATATTAAAAAATAGCGAAAGTTAATGAACAATCTTTTAAATCATCAAATAAAGACTTAGGATTTTGGATGTCATGTCCATGGTACTGATGATATTCCCATTTCTTGATACTTGCCAGAGGCAACGACCTCCACTTGCGAACCAGGCGCTTCAGAAAACATCCAAATAGCTATCATCAAGAAGTAGGATACCCTCTGGTAAACTAACATAACTATGGAAAATCCCAATGTTCAATGGGAAAATCCACTATTTCTATGGTCATATTCAAGTTTGCAAACTGTAACAAATTACCAACCAGAGGATAGATCCTGTTGGTCAATATATATATATATATATTTATTTACCATTCTCTACCTACCAAATGTTGGGCCGTTCTTCCGGGAAACCTTAAGTTGACACCATCGGTTCGACATGGGATGCACCTGCCAGAGCAGCTTAACGTGCAAAAGACCGAGCTGGAGGAATGCAACCTGGGGCAATCTGGATGAGCCCGCCATTTTTTGTCAACTTTGGATCGTTCTGACTATTTTTTCATAGATGTCTACATCCCTTCGCAAACTGGTTGGTGGTTTTAACCATCTTGAAAAATATGAAAGTCAGTTGGGATGATTATTCCCAATATATAGAAAGTCATAAAATTCATGTTCCAAACCACCAATCAGTTATGGTATATTAACATATGGGAAAATAAAAAAAAAATGTTTCAAACCACCAACCAACAAAATTGAATTTCCACTTTCAGACCTGTTTCACAAAGCTACAGAGTTGCTGATTGAATCACCAACTTCGCCAACCTGTGGTCACCAGGAACGCCGACAAAGTGTCAGCCATGGGTTTCCTGAATTTCGATGATTTGGAAGTCTCAACGCCGACTCAACGCTGATGGATTTGATACCAGATTTGTGTTTGATACCATATAGGGTCTCATTGCAATCAGCGAATATGCATTTTTTGGTATTTCTCAATGAGACCCTGATTTGCTGATGCCATAACAGAAGCAATCAAAAAGTTCAAGGAGATCAAGCATGACTCACTGCAAAATGATGTTCTCCATGAAAGAAAAAACAACTTTTGTGGTTGTTTCAAAAGCAGAAACTTATTACTTGAAATGCCAGGCATCTCTAATTCTAGTCGGTTCACCTTTCTTTTTTGCTGCTAAAACACCCTTCCTTGTTGGTTACACCGCCATTGAGTTTTCCATACAGATCCCAGTGGCTTATGTAAACTCATAATTTGGATGGATGCTTAGATCCCTAGGTTACCAGGTTTGTTAGTAAAAAATCCAACAACTATAACTATAATTAATATATATATAGTGTGTATATATAATATATATAATATAATTTTTAATATATAATATATAAAATATAAAATATATAAAATATATAATATATAATGTATAATATATATAATATATATAATATATATAATATATATAATATATAAAATATATATTATATATATTATATATATAATAAATAATAAATGATATATAAAATAATATATACAATATATAACAAATAATATAACATATATAATTAATAATATTTAGTACATAATATATAATATAAAATATAAAAAAAAATAAAACATATGTATATATATATATATATCTAATACATAATATATATATAGTATGTAAATAATATATATAATATAATATAATATATATATAATATATATAATATATAATATATATAATATATATAATATATAGAATATATATAATATATATAATATATAGAATATATATAATATATATAATATATATAATATATATAATATAGAATGTACATAATATATAATATATAATGTATAAAACAAAAAATATATATATAAGATAATATATATATAATATAATATATATAATATATAATATAAATATATATATATATTATTATTATATTTTATAGTTTATACATTATATATACATTATACATATTACATTTATATATATTATATATAATATATATTATATATATATAATATATAATATTGAATATATACGTGCTTAAAAATGATTTAAACAAGTTTTGGGGTGTTTCGAATCGAGTATCCACGATTCCTGCGCCCCATCCTGTTGCAACCAAGGAGACTGCTCCGTCTCAAAGTCCTTGGGGTGGAACGAGTTAACTGAGTTAACCACGCGTGAAATCTGGGAAATGAATTGTGTTCTACCCTCTGGTAAACTAACATAGCTATTGAAAATCACCATTTTTTATAGGTAAATCAACTATAAATGGGCCATTTTCTATATTGCGGTTAAATTGCTTTGGTCTTAGCAGCAACAACAACAACAAGACCTTGGTTTTGTGGTTTCAACATCAATTTTAGGTGGCAAACACAACATTGTGGGACTGTAAACCACATGTTTTCGCTGGTCAGTATATACTCATGTTTGATTATTTTGGATTGCAAAATCATACACAAGGCTCCCACTTACAAGTTGGTTTGGTTTCACCCCATTAACTATGGCTATTTCATTGCCGTAGACCATCGTTATTGGATTATTTTGGAGTTATGTTCACCAACTTAGCTATCAGAAATCAGCCCAAGTTTTTGTTGCTTAAATCATCCTGTTCGCAAAATCCTATGGGGGCTCCAATCTTCCATGGAAAAAGATCTGCTATACTTTTGGTCAAACTTCTCGTGCCTGATATCCCGTCCAAACAGCCACTTATCCATTTGATGTTCATTACCCAGTGACCATAGCTATTGCCCCATTGCCCATTGATATTACCATAGTATTATGCTACATATAGTTATATGTGATATTACCATATATTACCATAATTTACCATATGATATTACATTACCCATGGACCATAGCTATTGCACCATATTATATCACCTCCTTATATGGAGGTTTCCTAAAATCGGGGTACCCAAGAATACATGGCTTATGATGGAAAATCCTATCCAAATGGATGATTCAGAGGTAGCCCTATTTTAGGAAACCCATGTATATTACTGGTTGGTGGTTTCAACACCTCTGAAAAATATTAGTCAAATGGGCCTATTATTCCCAATATATGGAAAGTCATAAAAGTATATAAAAGTCATGTCCCAAACCACCACTTTGTACCGCTTTGTATGGCGCACTGTCTTGTGGTGAGAAGACAGTGCTTTAACTGTGGTGACTCTTAGGTCAGTGTGGCAACGCGGCCAAGGGGACGGGCAGCCGGTCAAGTTCCCGGGACTGCCGTCTGAATGGAGTGAAACTGAACTTAACCGGACCAGGAGAAGATGTCTCTCCAAGCCAACGAACATTGAAAAGGAGCAACAGCGTAACCACCCAAGACCTGACACAGTGGCCGGCCCCGGCGAAAACGGCAGTTGACACAAACCCCAAAAACTGGTAGAAGGGCATCAGAGCAGCAAGAACCCACACGGCACAACAAGACCCCATCATCATCATACCACTGTGAGAACCATGCAGTTCAGGCCCACCCCCACATTCACCATCATCTCTCAGTCGCTTCCGCAACAAGCCACGTATATGAGAAAGCTGATTCTCAAACAGAGCCTGGATGCACTGATACTGGGTCTTACTTTGGCCGTAAAAGTGTTGAGACGGGGCCTGCATCAGGGCCTGTGGATTCGAAACTTGTTGAGACTGACGGTGGGTGAACTCCAGAAACTGCCCGTCAATCTGTGTTTGGTTCTGCATCAACGGTTGCACTGGACCAATAGCAGAGAGCTCAAGGTTGATGTTCTCCTTCACAACTCCAGACCAGTCAACAAACCTATCAAGGTGTTGCGAGATGAACGGATCTCTGCATGCAGGGACAGCGCATGAAAGCACCAAACCATGAACACGCTGAGACGGTGCAGCTCTAAGGTTGTTAGGAAGGGACATAGCACAAGGGTCTGCCCCTCCTTTCCGATCACCCAACTGGGAAAACGGCTGACATGAAAATCCCGCACTCTTCACCGCAGCATGATTACACGTGGACCACACTCCAGCGATCACCTGGGGACAGCCAGCATCACCGATCACATACTCACATCCTCCAGGAGCCTTGTGTAAGGTCACCATACGGGCACTAGAGTCAACAGCTACCATGGTTTGCACACCAACGGCATGGGCCCCATGTGCAGGACCATCAAACCCGTAGCAAGCATCGACCAGTTTGAGGAAGTCCTCCCAGGTATGCAGTGAGTGAACCAACACCTTAGCACCATCATCCACCTTCAGCAACGGAATAGAGACTTGCTGCACCAGGACAACATCCAACCGAGTGAGCACTTCAGGAGCTCCATCCAAGAGGCCAGTACGCACCAGACCAGTCCCATCACGGACAGAGGACCAAGTGGCGCACATGCACAGGATCAACGACCACCATGACCACATCAGAGAGCTACCTCCAGCATCAACTTCAGCAAGATCCATGATGATCCATGGCACAACACGGTGAACCAAACGCTCTACGATCAGCAGGGCACGGCCGCACCTGCTGGTAGGTGTAGAGCCCACGGCTGTTTGAAACCACCAACCAGATAAATATCAGATATGCATTTAGTACATTACCCAAACCATAGCCATATTCATCATATTCCCATTGTCCCATCATATTCACACCATTTCCCAAAACATTTACCAAAATTGCATCATGTCCCTGAAACATTTACCAAAAAAACACATGACAACAAAATTGAGAAACATAAATAGTGTGCAACGCATTGCGCAACCGCTTTTTTCGAGGCCTGGATCGCCATGGGCCACATGGAGCTGTCCTTCTGGGACTGTTGCAGCAGCGTCAAGGTGTACCTGGGGCTTCACTAATTTTCGCTATAGGAAAAGCAAGGGTAAAATACTGTAACATTCGTAACTAATCCCCAAAAGTTGGGAAACCAAGAAGGCAATACATACATGCTCCATGTATGGGGCTATATGTTTGCGGTAAGTTGGTAAATATGCGATACATGGAGCAGTGGGGATAGATATGTGGAAAAAAGGCCAACTTAAGGATTGGGACTATTGAACATGGAATCAGACCAGCAAACAATGGATAAAAATGGTGGATTTTGCCGGGCAACTGGGTGACTTCACCCACAAACATCTGGATTTGAAGCAGCAAAAAATACAGGAGATACGCCGAGGAATGCACCCTGAAAACCACAAATGTTGGTCATGTTTCCCCTGCAATTAGATAACCCCCTTACATACCCGGATTCTGTGCTGTGGATCTATGTATTTTTTGGGCCCTTGATTGATTGACTGATTGCTTGCTTGATTGCTTGGCTGATTGCTTGATTGCTTTCTTGATTGGTTGGTTGATTGGTTGCTTTGATTGGTTGCTTGCTTGATTGCTTACTTGATTGGTTGGTTGATTGATTGGTTGGTTGGTTGATTGCTTACTTGATTGGTTGGTTGGTTGGTTGATTGCTTACTTGCTTGGTTGGTTGATTGATTGGCTGATTGCTTGATTGCTTACTTGATTGGTTGGTTGATTGGTTGACTGAAGGTATTTCCTATTAGGTTGAAGGGATCAGCAAACCATCCACGCGGTTTTGCCGCTGCGTGGCCAGGGCACTGCAGTCTGGTATGAATGAAGGCCGAACGCAAGGGCCCCGTGGGAGGCACACGATCTTCCACACCCACCAAGCACAGGGACGACTGCTGGCCCTCCTGGCTGGATTTCAGGGGGAATTCATCAGCAAACAGATATAAACATGTGGGGTTTTGGAAATTGCTTTAAGGGCTTGAATGGATTTCATCAACAGAAATAGGGAGAAGACTCATGGGGATTAGAGGTCTCGACTACGACCTGGTAGCTATGGGGTGTTCTGCTGTTTTCCCATCTTCGTGACTCTGCAAAAGGTGGGAAATCAATTATTGGAATTGGAACCAAATTAATGTGGTTACATGCAGTTTGCTCCATGGGATATGGTTTGGGCTTCATGCTCGGTTTCAATGGTCCGAAGAGGTGTCCGCATGGAAAAAAACTGGGGGTCTTAAGGTCGCAGGTGCACCTGCTCTGATACTGCATCAAATGTCAAGAACACTTGCTTGCAGCGGCTTTTCGCAGTGGGGCGGAAAGAAAGGCCGCGGGTGAAAGGGTGTGAAGAAGACCTTGACACCATTTGCCACCCTTGCCCTTGATGTCCTTGCCGCCCTTGTGCCTATTTCATCGGATGGGCATTTTTAATGGCTCAACTGGCTTGCAAACTAACTCCAGCCATGGGTATGTTGTATTATGTTGTCATAGCCTAATAGCTCAACTGTTGATCCCAACTGGAGCCCCCTCTCCTGTGTCTTCAAAAAGCTCTCCAACGCCACTTGGACGGCACCATTACTGGGAGCACCTGACATCGCGACAGCACCAAGTGAACCCGGGAAACCTGACCCAATCAACGAGCGCATTGGCTGAAGTATATTCCATTCCATGATGGTTCACATCCTCCAAGTTCCACGTTTTGGCTGTCAAAACCAATTTTGTCATTCATTTGGGCAAATTAATTATCCCCATTACTGTAGCATGCTGCTTTACTCCCATTTCTTTGTTACCGTGATTCCATGATGCTCCCGTGAGCTCAACCACCAGACACGGCGCTGACGAGAATTCGGCTCTGTGGTTCTACAACCGACCGGTTTTTGCGCGCGGACAATTGCCTCGACGGGCTCGACAAATCGGAGGAGCTGAACCCAGCGCTATCCATCCAAATGGCTACCGAAAAATGGAGGATCCCTCCATTTTTGTGGGTTTCTTACAATGGGGGATCCCCAAGCCACAATAGGGTTTAATACTAAAATTTTAAAATGGTCATTGATGACTTGGATGATTTGGGGGTACTCGGGGTACTCCCATTTTAGAAAACCCTCCAAATGATGTTTGAATATGGGAAAACTGTTTCTCTCAACTGATGGATAAAAAGGCAATTTCCCCTAACTCAGACCCAAAATTTCCAAACCTCATTGGGAATTCCAACGGCCAAAAATAACCGGCTTAACATTGGGGTAACCAGGATCCTGAACGAACCGTGGTCAGGGCTGCGATCGTAGCTGGATCTTTGGAGTGGCTTCCACAGCAACTGACCAAATGGGGCTAACGCTGAGTGGCAAAAAGGGGGATGAATCGGATGTGAACCCATGCTATACCCATCAATTATGACATCTTCAAAATGCCAGTGATTATCCCTCTATTTCTGGCCAAATCCTAGATATTTGGGACAAATACCTGGGTAGTAAGATCCCTATGGAGTAACAATGCATTTGACCCATCTTTAAACGGTTGTTGAATTCCTCCCCATAACGAACCAAATTCAAATGCCCAGCCTGCTCAAACATGTCCCAGCAAAGTAAGCTCCCAAAGAGATGGACACAGATTTTTCAGGATGGTCTGATGCGTCCCCATATTTCCAGCTGTCATTTGTCTGCATCTTACAATGGGGGTTCCTGTTACATATCATCCACTTACAAACCACTACTGTAAGTAACTCATTCCATGGACCATTTAAGTATCTACGTATATCCCCTAGCAAGTATGTACTGTACCCGTTTCTATGTCCCCAACAAAATGGTTTTGATGCCCCTCATTGTCGATGGTTGGTGAAAAAACCCATGATGATCTCGTTATTATCCCCATAGTGATTACTAATATCGCCATAAAATGTTTCATCTCATCCCAGCAAACATAAATTCATCAATATCATACAACAATAAAAACGGTATCCCATTAGTCCAATTTGTTGGTTGAATCGAATTTATCCCCATATCCCCATAGTGGTTGGATCAAATCCCTGCATAGGGCTAGCGTTTTACTGGCCAAAACCTAAAACCCTACATCCCTAAAACCTAAATCCTAAAGTCAAAATCGCTGCCGTATTGCCGTATAGCCAGTGTTTTCATATAGCCTCTGGTGACACACACACACACACATATATATATATATATTAAGTTTTTTTTTGGGGGTGTTATTTGGGCATGCGCGAACGTGGGGTTTGGCGCCAACATGTTTAAACACATATTTCCCATTTTCCCTGTTAAATATTGTGATCTATTCGATCAATTCAATCAATTCAATCCGATATCCCCATCAAAAATCCCACGAAATATGCTTTGAATCCCCAGAAAACGTGGTATTTCTTCCTGTTTCCCTTGGATTTGTAGACCAACGGCGTCCCAGTTGCTGCAGCAACGCCACCACGGCGCGGGTCTTTCCGGTGCCCGGCGGGCCCTGCAACAAGTGACAGCGCCGCGAGGGAGGACCGCTGTCCTCAGCTCACCAAGCAACAAGAAAATGCTGGTTGGTGGTTTATATACTGTTAATAATGGTTAACATATGGTGAATATTAATGTTTAATCTATGGTTAATATATGGTTAACATTAATGTTTAATCTATGTTTAATCTATGATTAATCTATGGTTAATCTATGGTTAATCTATGGTTAATATATGGTTAATATTAATGGTTATTATATGATATTATATGGTTATTATATGGTTAATGATGGTTAATAATAATCTGGTTGGTGGTTGACCTACCCCTCTGAAAAATGATGGAGTGAAAGTCAGTTGGGATGATTATTCCCAATAGATGGAAAAATAAAAAATGCTCCAAACCACAAACCAGTATAGGAATTGTGTGGGAATTTTGTGAGATTTTGATTCCAGAACATTCCATATGCGGGAACCCCAGTAGGTTTGGTTCGCACATGGTTTGAAACTGCTTTATTTTGTCGTGATGTTAATGGATTTTGTTCCTTGCAATGTATTTTAAAGTTTTGGATTTGGTTGGCATGCTGTTATCATGTCGTTAATCAATGTTAATCATTATTGCATTTGCTGGAATGTCTTGGAATTTCCATTTCATGGCTATGGGTCGAGCCCCTCGCCAACTTTCACTGCAGTCCACACCAAAATGGCTGGTAAATGGATCCCATAGGATCCATGGTGCTGGAATATTTACCAACATTTACCCCATAAATGACCCAGTCATGTAGGTAAATATACCATACATGGATCCCATGGGGATGTTCATCCCTGGAAATTGTGCAAAATGATAGGTGTTGACCCATCCCCAATCGTTCCAAGTGGTAGGTTTCTGGAGTAGTATCTTCTGCATTGTGCGTCTCAAACAATGCCCGATGTTTGTCCAAAAGAAACAAACCCGTTCACGTCCGAATACACAGGACTCTTGAAATCATTCTATTCTCCTTATCTCTGGTGTTCCCAGGAATTGAACCTTTCAGACTCCTCAGTAGCCAGGTGACCATAAGTATCTTTCGAATAGCTTCCTGCTGCAGGGTATTCAGGTGTTGCATGGAATCACCTCAGCTAGGCCACGAAATCAACTTTGGTTGGCCCACCATCTGATATGTTGATCTTTGGATTGGTTTCATTGGGAAAATATTAACCATAAACCATGGTTTTTACCGTCAAAGAAAGAGGTGTTCCGTAGAGTTTCCCTTAAACCAATCCAATGAATTAAGTATGAACGGGCTTACAAGGTGGGGGGGGGCCTAGTTATAACTCGGTGTGTAATGCTATCAACTATATATATATAATCATACCTATTATGTTGTACCATAAATCCCAGCTCTCCTCGTCATGTTTACGAGCTTACCTATCGACAGGGAGCCCCACATTGCATGAATGGGCTGATAAATCGTAATCATGCGATAAACCCAAGAATAAACCCACCATTTGGGGATGGTAAATATAGCACCCATTTATGGTGAATTTGGGGATGGCTTATCATTGGCTTTACCACATAAAATTCGAAACCGGGCGAATCATCCACCCAGCACCACGCTGAGTTCCAAATTTATGCTGCGCATAGTCGCAGCGTCGTGGTTGATTTTCATGTCATCAAAAAACGTGCTTTGTCGATCTTCAAGATGCCAAGAAATACAAACCAGTATAAGGATTTCATCCAACAAGAATGGTACATGAACATGGAAAAAAAGGTAGTCCTGGTGCTTGTTGATTGGTGGGGATATCAATGCGCAAAGTCATGTTTTTCTCTTGATTCCAACAGCACCTGAGAAATCCAACCACACACTAAGCAGCAAAAACGTCATGTGGTTGGGAAGCTCAGTTCATAGGAAGCGTAGCTCCCCACACAAAATAGGGAATATGGAGATAAAATGAGACAAACATATATCATGCAATAGCAAATTATATATAATTAATATATATATATATAGCTGCACATAGCTCCGATATATGTCCTTAAAGTTCTGCTGGGTGAGAAATCAGCTTTGAGCTGCCAGATGAGAAGTGACGCCACGTGTTCGAATGGGTGCATCCCTGAAGTCTCCAAAATTTGGTCAACACAGTGTCGTCCACGTAGTTGGCTATCTTCAGCAGAATCTTGGGAATTTTCGCTTTGCAGAGCGCTGCCTTCTTTCGGTCGCCGGCAATAATTACACGCTCTGGAGAATCCAAAGCAGCCAGCTACTCAATGCGACGAAGGACCGCCCGAGCATTTTCGCGCTGCAGCGCCATGCTAAAGGATTGCAACATCCGCTGCAGTTCCACGCTGGCCCCTTCGCCACTGCGAGAAGACAAAGCCGCAGCCAGCTGCCAAGTGTCCTTAACAACCATTCTCCAACAACTATACTAACTATTACATAACTATACCATATCACATACAGTAGATGGTTGCGAAATCCAGGTCAGGTCCTGAAGTTGAGGTTGAGGGATGTGGTAAACATTCATTATTTTCATCGGGCAGTTTCAACCATCCTTTTGGAGGATCATATTTCGGATCTCCGTCCTGAAATTCAGGACCTGAAGCCAAAATGCTGTGAAATTAATTCTACTCTAATACTGCTTGGGGAAAATAGGTACATTAATGTACACTAGGTATTCTCAGTTCATGGATTGTGACAATCACCATGTTGGTTGCTATCCCACACCTCCCTATACCATGAAGTAAACTAATGAATGGAGAAACACGAGGAAAGGATCTACATATCTGGTGGTTTTCCATGTATATATAATAATATAATATAATATGATATAATATGATATAATATGATATAATATGATATAATATAATATTCTATATATATATATATAATATCAATTTTTGTGGAGGATATCTTTTTTTTCCTATGCTGAGAAACCACCGAAAGGTGACGTGATAAAACGTTCCGTGATTTGTCCATCTTATCAACATTAGTTTACTTCATGGTATATGGAGGTACAGTAGAACCTCTGCTGAAATGAAGATGTTTTTGCAAAGTAAAACTGATCAGATTTAAGTGTACCATTTGATACCAACCTTCTTGCCCCTAGTGATGCTATTGGGTCGAAGAACAATCATTACCCTCTGGTAAACTAACATAACTATGGAAAATCACCACTTTCAATGGGAAAATCCACTATAAATGGTCATGTTCAATAGCTATTTTGACATAACCAGAGGGTACCGTATTACACATCTTTGCATCGAAGTTGTTCTGAAAACGGATGTACCTCGATCCTCAGAGCTCCCATGAACATGGGCCAAAGTATCAACCATGTGGAATATATCCAATCATTTGCCATAGGAAATAGGAAATACTAATTGTCCATCGTTGACATATGACATACCCATAGGTTCCATGTATATCCATGTATATATGCTAACATTTACCATCAATATACCCCCTTTATGTTATATACCAGCACCATGGATCCTATGGGATATGGGATATTATATCATCGTTTTTGGACATCCATCCCAGAACTGGATTCCTTATAATGTGATATAATGTGTATATAAATCTCTATAAACATGGATTGAGGGTCTAAGTCTGCATTGTGCAGCCAGCTGCGCTGGGGGTCCGGCTCTTCTCCACCAACTGTTCCTTCATTTCCGTCGCAAAGACATCCGGGACCTCTGACTCCATTCCTTCCTCCTGCCGAGCAGTTGGGGTGATCAATTTCTGCTTTTTTTTTCCGTGCTGATTCCACCGTAGTGTCTATATATGGAGGTTTCCTAAGACATAGGGGTACCCCCTATATAAATCATCCATTTAATACGACTTTCCATGAAATAAACCATCCATTTTGAGGTACCCATATTTTTCTGGAAAATCCCCATCTGTTTCTATAAAACATTATAGGGCCATGGTTCACCTGCCGAGGGTCATCCCAGCAATACACTCGCGCCATGGAGGTCTCAATGAGGGATTTTATAAAAGCCATGTGACTTACCGGAAAATATAAGTATAATATAGTATGTATATATATATTCATAGAATTTCATAGAATTTCATAGAATTTCAAAGAATTTCATAGAATTTCATAGACTTTCATAGAATTTCATGGAATTTCTGGTGTCATCTTATCCTGACAGTAAAATCCCCTTCGGAAATCCAGTCGGAACACCTTTGAACTCAACTGTCCATGGCCAACTCGCCAAGTCGGTAGCAAATCTTACTGCGATCTTCGATGGGATCATTGGGAAATTGGTGATATTGGTCCATTGGTTACCCTCTGGTGGTTTAATGGTGGTTTAATGGTGCTTTAATGGGATAAAAAAACAACAAACATGGTGATTTTCAATAGCTATGTAAACGGCTACCAGAGGGTAGAAGATTCAGATATTTCCATGTCCAACCCCTGCCTCTGATAGTATTTCAAAATGTTTCAAAGATCGAAACATGTTCGATGCTCATCCAGCCACTCAACATTCTTCAACCCTTTCGACATCCCGGCCCCAGCCCTATCCTCGGAGTCCGAAAAAATGCGATGTGTGGCCGATTTGGCGCCAATCAACTGATGCAAAAACGGCACCTCGACAGGAAGAATCTCTTTTTGAGGTGGTCCATATGGGGATTTGTTCCGCCAATTTCTGGTCATTGCAATGGGAAAGCTACCCTCTGGTAATTTAACATAGCTATTGAAAATGGCCCATTTATAGTTGATTAACCTATTAAAGATTGTGAATTTCTATAGCTATGTTAGTTTACCAGAGGGTATAAAGTTTTAGATAAAAAACAATGTGCCCGGCCACGCTCTTGGAAAGACCTATACTGGTTGGTGGTATACCTACCCCTCTGAAAAATATGAGTTCGTCAATGGGAAGGATTATCCCATATGTTATTGAAAAACAAAAAGTTTGAAAACACCAACCAGTAAAGAATATGTCTACATCGAAGTTGCCTCTTTTCGTGGCCCACTTTGAACTACAGTGGCCTTTCTTGGTCCCTTCGCAAGTTTAGCATGCAACAAAAATGTCAAGATTGGCGATTATACAGAAAGCAAAGGTCGTAAATATCACAGGTATCAATCCTACCCTAAAATAATTTCCGAAAATAATAAACTTTCCAGTGACCCCAAAAATGGATAGTGACATGGTGACCACAGAAATTGTTGGTACTCCCGCAGAAAAGGTGTGGTTCAACCAACTCTGAAGGCGATACAAAAACAAATCATCGCATTATCATAGCAATGTCTTGCAGAAAGGACTTTGAAGATATTCCCATATGCTCCATGTATGGAATATTTACCTACATTTGGCTGATTTTTAGGGCAAATGTTGGTAAATATTTCATACGTGGAGCATATGGGATTTGAAGACAGGGTTCCAACCGGGGGCCCCGGTTGGTAAGAAAACAACCCAAAAAGTGGCCGACTGATTTCCAACAAACCAAACTCACCAAGCACAACCATGGCCAAACACAAATCCAGAGGTGCCAATTGGTAATACACCCATGGAGAATTCTACAATGCGTGAAAACCAGCTGAAAAACAAAAAAACAGCAAAACAACTAGTTTTCCTCCATTTTTGGTGGTTTGGAGCTGAACATCTTTGGATTCAGAAATTGATCACATGTTTCAGACAGGTTTTGATTCAAATAGTAAATTTCCGGACAAAATCTGAAATAAGTCTGGAGAAACACTGAAGATTCTCTAAATGTTTCCCGCATTCCTGCAAACCCAAGCTGAAACCTTGAAAATAGCAGCAATACAAAGCAGTTTGTTTTCCTTCATCTTTGGTGGCTTGGAACTGAAAACCATTGGAAACTTTGAAAAGTAGCAGCAAATCAGCTAGTTTTCTTCAATTTCGCTGAAAATCTGTGGATTCAGACATTTTTGTTGAAATATGCCAAAACAATGGTTTACAAAAAAAAATGACACTTCAGAAATATGCCAATTTTTTTGAAAACTATTTCGAAACTCTTGGGGACCGTGGAAAAATTTCAGACAATGTATTCATTGTTTCATTAGTTTCTCAGAAATTAATGAAGTTTATCAGGTACCCTCTGGTAAACTAACATAGATATTGAACATGGCCATTTATAGTTGATTTACCTATAAAAATGGTGGATCTTTCCATAGTTTTTTGTATGTTTACCAGAGGGTACCCAGGCAGGACAGAAAGTCTCAAATGGGAGTTTCTTAAAATGGGAGATCCCCAATACCAACGGATTAGAACCTCACATTTTCCCTATGGAAATGGCGATTTGGATCTCTTTGGAGGATTTTGGAGGTACCCTCTGGTAAACGTTTACATAAACTATGGAAAATCACCATTTTTAGTAGGTAAATCTACGGTAAATCAACTATAAATCACAATTTTCAATAGCAAACTGTTAGTTTACCAGAGGGTATTCACCATTTTAGGAAACCTCCGAACATCGATGTAGCACGAAACCCTGAGCAGCGCCGAAGTTCCCCGCCTGTGGTCCAATGAAGCAGGCAGTCCACATGCGCAGCATGGGCACCATGTCCTGAAAAACCACTGAGTCAACTCACTATCATCATCATCATCATCATCATAATCATCATCATCATCATCATCCATTAATATCCATTAATAACCATTGGTAACCATTATATAATAGCCATTAATAACCATTGATAACAATTAATATTCATTGATAACCATTGATAACCATGAATAACCATTAAAAAAACATTAATAACCATTGATAACAACCAGTGATACCCATTCAAAACCATTGATAACCATTGATAACCATTAATAACAATTAATAACCATTGATAAATTGATAACCATTAATAACTATTGATAACCATTGATAACCATTAATAACCACTAAAAACCATTGATAACCATGAATAACCATTGATAACCATTAATAACCATGGATAACCATGAATAAACATTGATAACCATTGATAACCATTAATAACCACTGACAACCATTGATAACCATTAATAACCATTGATAACCATTGATAACCATGAATAACCATTGATAACCATTGCTAACCATTAATAACCCTTGATAACCTTTAATAACCATTGATAACCATTAATAACCATTGATAACCATTGATAACCATTAATAACCATTGATAACCATTGATAACCATTAATAACCCTTGATAACCTTTAATAACCATTGATAACCATGAATAACCATTGATTACCATTGATAACCATGAAAAACTATTGATAACCATGAATAACCATTGATAACCATGAATAACCATGAATAACCATTAATAACAATTAATAACCATTAAAAACAATTGACAACCATTAATAACCATTAATAACCATTAAAAACCATTGATAACCATGAATAACCATTAATAACCATTAATAACCATTAAAAACCATCGATAACCATGAATAACCATGAATAACCATTGATAACCATGAATAACCATTGATAACCATTGATAACCATGAATAACCATTGATAACTATTAATAACCATTGATAACCATTGATAACCATAGATAAACCACTACTATCCTCATCATCATTTGAACATGTTAACAATCCAACATCCCAGTGGCCATCACCGATCTCCTCCAGTGGCCGCAGGCGGATGCGGATGGGAGCCTCAACTAGCACGTTTTGATGCCTGAGATGTGGCGCAGCAGGGGTTCGCACCATCAAAACATGTTTTCCCGAATGCGTAGCAAGGGTTCCCGTTTCACTCTGGGGGTCTGGGGGTTGAGGGTGTGTTCGCTCGACGTTGCGTCCGCGTCCGCAACCGTTCGCAACCGTCCGCAACCGTTCGCAACCGTCCGCAACCGTTCGTACGAACTCCGTATGGCCGTGCCTATGGGAAGTTCTGCAGAGGCGGTCCTTTTTGGAGGTTTTAGACGTGTCGTTGCTGCGTTTCGCGTGGCAGGCGTGGCACTTCGTGGCATTCCGACGTGTTCTGCAACGTGTCGAAAGTCGTTTTGCGTGGCAGGCGCAATACTTTTGTGACGTTTTCAGAAGATGTGTTGCAGTTTTCGTGGCAGGCGCAGCACTTTGGACGTGTCCATCTTCATTTTTCGTGGCAGGCGCAGCACTTTAGACGTGTCGTGTTGCGTGTTTTTTGCCAATCGCATTGGCAGGGCTGCGTCAAGTGGCGACAAGGTGCAAATTCCGTGGCAGGCGTGGCATTTTGTGCGATGTGGTGAAAATTGACGGAAGCCTCGCACGAAATATCGATTTTGAGGTTGCAAATTTTCAGGTTCTAAGGAAAACTCGTAGGAAAACGTCGATTTTGAAGCTACAAAGTGTGAAAATTGGAGGAAGTCTCGCACGAAATGCTCGTTTTGGTGCTCCCGCCTGTCTCGTCTCGCGTCTCTGGTTTTCCTGTGGCCTCGCAGTGTCTATGGGGGAAGCTGGAAAACTTGTCCTTTTGTCATGTTGCCAACTATGAAAATTGGAGGAAATCTCGTACGAAATGCTACTTTTTCTGCATGCACGTGTCTTGTGTCGAGTCGCTGGTTTTCCTGTGGCGTCGCCGTGTCTATGGGGGAAGCTGGAAAACCTCTCCGATTCGAATGTGTCCAAGCAGGTTGTCATGTCGTTTTGCGTGGCAGGCGTGGCACTTTGTGACATTCCAACCTGTTTGATAACGTGTCGAACATATCAAGCTTGGAGGCAGTCTCGCACGAAATGCTCGTTTTTTTGCGCCCACGTGTCTCGTCTCGAGTCTCTGGTTTGCCTGTGGCGTCGCTGTGTCTATGGGGGAAGCTGGAAAACATGTCCTTTTGTCATGTTGCCAACTGCCTAGAGAGCCGAGAGTGTTGAATTTCAAGCCTTTAAGCCTGACTGCTCAAGTCGGTCAAGTATTCTTGGCTAAGATGAGCTTTTAGTGATATACGCTCTCAAAGGCTTATCCTGACCTATAGTTTGGCTTCAAGAATGGTGTGAACACATTTGTTAATAGATGGACATGCATGCTGCATAGTGTGCAACATATTTTGTGCACTCCTCGAGGCTTCCGCAGGGAAAGGTAGTGTGATAAAGTTTGACTTGACGGCGCTGTACAGAAGAAAAAAGGGTACTAACATGTTTTGTATGGCTCAAAACTTAGCATGCCCGTACATACGGGATGACTAAGTGCGGAGAGAAGAAAAAAAGTTATTTTGAAGTGCGGATGACTAAGTTGTTTGAAGTGTTTGCTGAAGCTTGGCATGTCCAATGCATGTCTGGTTTGTTTTTTTTACATGCTGTTGATTCTGATGTTTGGAACAAGTTTTTTTTGGCTTTTGCTCCATGATGGAGCGAGGGGGGCAAAGGTGAGTTGTGCAATTGCAGGGCAGTTCTGCAGCCAGCAGCCGCGGTAATTCCAACTCAAAAGAGGTATAATTAATAAAGTTGCGGCTCGAGGCTCGAGACTGAACCGGCCCCTCCATAAGTGGAGGCATAGTGGAGAAAGGTTTTCAGTGCTTCACTTAGGCCCATTTGCAAAATTTCAGAAAGGTTTCCAAGGCTTCACTGGCCGCAGTTGCAAACAATCAGAAAGGTTTCTGGGTCTTGGGTTTCACCATGTTAAGTACGATGATTAGGATATAATGTTTGATCCATTGGGTTATTTTGTTACTTTGATCCTGTTAGCCATGCGGCCACTGACCGGGATGGAGTTTGTGGTGCGGTTGGCCCACGTGCTGGGCCAAGATGAATGAGGATGGAAGGTGCCAACCCCCTCCATCGGTCTGGGTTGGTAGGGTCAGTTGCTTGCACAGTTCCATGGGAGATCGGTGGAATAGTGAACATGTAAACCTTGAGGTTATTGTTCGTTGCATGGTTCAATCAGCGCCTTTTTTGTCCATGGCAATTGCATGGAATGCATGCACGCTCCGCTACCAACCATAGCCTTTTTGATCCTTTTGTGATCTCGGTCTGCATCTTGTGCGGTGTTGGCCATGGGGTTGATTCGCTTGAAACCTGGCACAAAGGATGTGGCCAGGGCCAAGCCTAAGCCCAAGCGGCCCTCACGGCATGCCACCATCACTCGTTTCCAGATGGCCCGGCATAAAATACATCCATGTTTGAGTGCAGTGTTTCCTGACAATATGGACGGGTGGGAGGGTAGGGAATTTGTTTGGTTGCAATGTCAATCCATTGGTGCTTGGTTGTCCCACATCAGCCAGGTTCATACTACATATATGGAAAGGGTTTGCACACCTTTTCACACTTAGGTCACCAGACCTGCCAAACATCTCAGGCTCACCCAGCTGTCCAACGCTGGCTTGCCCGTGGTGCTGCTGATGTTACTGGGTTTGGTCTGCGAAAGCATGACTCAGCCCTTGGTTGTTGCTTGGCTTCATTTTGAAGGACATGTGCATGCCATGAAAAGTCTTTAAAGTAGCAACCCTTTCACTTACCTGCCATTCGTGTATTTATTCTTCATCATATCTATATCATATTACATATTATCAAATCACTTTCATCACACCATATCATACCATATCATACCATATTTTTCATATCATAACAAATCATATCATATCAAATCAAATCAGAGCATATCATATCAAATCATATGATATCATACTAATCTCATATCACATCAACTCAAATCATATCAAATCGTAATTATCTATATCATATCAAAATCATATCGTATCATATCATATATATATATACCTATCTATCTGTCACATTAAATCATACCACGTCACATCATATCATTGCCTTGTCATGCCCCTTGGATCAATGGCCATTTCAGGATCCTAAAATGGAGGTACCTACCATATGTAAGGCCTATATAAGGCCTATGTAAGGGAATATCCCCAGAAAATATGGCCTTATATGGTACAGTACCTCCATTTTAGGATCCTGGAATTCCCATTGATTGGGGTTCAACTCCCCAATACCTGGCTTATTTCCCTTCTGTAGAAATGATAGGTGTTTCTTATGTCGAAACCTTAGAATGGGGATATCATGGATTATTGGGGATATAATGGATATTAATGGATTAATGGTGGTATGCATTTGGATCTCAATATATAAGGGTTTCATCGAAGTTCAATCCAGCTGAATCAAATTAATTCAAGGTGTTGCCCCAGGTACCGTAAAACCCCGACATCTTCACATGAGCTCCTCGCATCCAAGACCCTGGCGTGTGCAGAGATTTTCGCTGGCTGCAAGTCCATCACCGGCGGATTCAGGCTGGCCACGGTTGATGCAATGTGGGACCATGTTTACTGGTTTGGGACTAAATCAAATCACATCACAAACATGTTCGACATGTTCCTTATGGATGAACTGATTGAACATTAAAATCCATCTCATTTGCAAAGTGTAAATGGACAAGTATGATAGTCTTCAACAGGTTTGTCAACAAGCCATCCGTTGATAGCTTTCAATCAACCGGCACCAACCTGCCACGGCGATAGGTCTTTGGACTATCGGGCTGTAAGTTTCGAATTGGATGACAGAGCTGTCTACGAGGACTTTCTATCTGGAATCGGCTTTGCTTATGCCGTGGCATTGCTGATCCGGGTCTGTCGTTATGACACTAGGCTGCATAACCAAGTCATTTAAATGGAAACCTTTTTTTCATGACTATCTTCAGAAGCCATGGGAGGGTATCAAAAACCATTGGCACAACCCAAAGAGAAACAATTCAAGCCCTTTCCAAAGACCTATCCACCGACATCCAAGGGCGGAGTATACTGGATGGCGCCTGTGTGTTCCACATGGGTGTGGGTAAATCGGTTCCTTGTCTGATTGGGAAGGTGGTTTGTTCAATGGTCCATCTATGAGAATCCTTTTCGAATCCATGAATGGTGTTTATAAAAAAAGGATAAGAATTAGTTCAAACAAATCCAACCACAAGCATGTTCTTGGCCCATGGTTGACATTGATTTTTATGATTCCAAACCCCAATTTACGACACATGCCATCAAAACATCCAGAAACCAAGTGATGTTGGAAACATCACAAACTCCAAGTGATGTTGGGCACAGTAAACCAAACTTCGTGTGATACATTTGATCGAAACCACATATTCAAACATTGGCAAACATGTTGAGATCATGACCCCAACTTCAAACATTTGATCGGAACCCTTTTTTAAACATGAAGTGATGTTAAGATCATGACCCCAACTTCAAACATTTGATCAGAACCCCATTCAAAACTTGTCGTGATGTTGAGATCATGACCCCAACTTCAAACATTTGATCGGAACCCTTTTTAAAACAAGAAGTGATGTTAAGATCATGACCCCAACTTCAAACATTTGATCAGAACCCCATTCAAAACTTGTCGTGATGTTGAGATCATGACCCCAACTTCAAACATTTGATCGGAACCCTTTTTAAAACAAGAAGTGATGTTAAGATCATGACCCCAACTTCAAACATTTGATCAGAACCCCATTCAAAACTTGTCGTGATGTTGAGATCATGACCCCAACTTCAAACATTTGATCGGAACCCTTTTTAAAGCAAGAAGTGATGTTAAGATCATGAACCCAACTTCAAACATGGAAATGCTCCGCGCCCAGTGGAACGAGCCGAAGAAGCCAGCAATCACCGCTGGGAGATGAGAGTGTCCCATCGGTGTTCCAAGCGAAACTTGGCTTTGGTGACGGGGTGTGAGATCATCTTGCAGAGGCTTCCAAACCAATGAGGCTTCCAAACCAATGAGGTTCCATATGTTGATATGATCTAAACTGAAATAATCTACAAAAAAAGGATTAGCATGGATTCTTGGCTGCTAAAAAGCAATCTCTGAAAATTGGTTCATGGTCAGTTCGCTGAAGCTCAAGCATCGCTGGTTCGCCGGTGCCATGTCAGTCTCTGGCACAGACAGTCCTGTGCCCAGGGAGGAATGGCTGGCAGGGGAGGAGGACTGGCGGTTTGCCAGGCCTGAGTGTGGTGAGGTGGAGTACGTTCAGGCTCTACAAATGGTGGGGCTCGATATGGCCAATAGGTTGCCCAGCAGTATCAAGGAGCATGTTGTCGTGCCTCTTGGGAAAGAGCCTACCCGCAATCTTTTCATTGCACGGCTGAATTCCCAAACAAATGAGCGGACACTGAAACTCAGCTGCATTGTCCGTCTAAGATCAAGGGTCAGATGATATGATTTGGTGATTCAATTTGTGGAGCCTTTGTTGAAACTTAGCTGTGTCTTTAAAACAAGCTGATTAAATCATCATCAAGAAAGGTCTCTGTGAAACCATTGATAAACATATCTGAGGATCAAAGATTTCTGGGCGATCAAAGCACTGGTTAACTTTTATGCCTTCCAGACTCGCAACCCTTCAATCGCTGAAGCAACTATCATCTTGGAATCCTTCAACGACCACTTTCAAGCTTGGCCATTTTCAATAGGGCTCAAAAATAGTCTCATGAACAACCTAGGTAGGCTCAAAATAGTTCATCATCCCACAAGTTCCAAAGTTCAGGGGTCTGGCTCGCAAACTCTCCCCGTCCACAGGGCCTTGCAATCAGAGCGACCGATGACTCAGCGCCTTGGTCCCATGGTGGGTCTGGTGGACTATAGGAAATGGATTGGGGTAAAGCTGTGCAAGGGACCATCCACCTATAATTGTGTACCATGGGAGGCTTTCAATTGAGAAAAACAAATCCGAGGTGTTTGGGTTCAGATTCCCAGGTGTAGTTCTCAAGTCAACCGTGCAAGGATCTTCAAACAGAAATGAAGAACTCTGCCAAGAAACTGCGAAAGCTTTGGTCGGGACTTCGCAGGACATCTCTTTATGATTGGGTGGTAATATATGGGGCATGGGGCCTATGTATGTAAACAGAAAATCTGTCATGACTTTCCACTCTGAGAGTTTAAGTGGATGGTGGGTTATATGTGCATGTGCTATTCATTACATTTGCTCTGTAGATGCCATATTAACATGTTCTAGATGTGTGTATTAGATGTATAATTCTAGATATATGTCATCCACTTAATCAAACAAAAAGATCGATAAATCTCTCTGTCTCATATATATCTATCTATCTATCTATACCTATCTATACCTATCGATCTATCTATCTATCTATTTATCTATCTATCTATCTAGCTTACATTCCTACCCCGTTTCTGGTCAATCACATTGCCATGCAGGATGTGGCAGAACTCCCCAGATAGCTCGAGATCACTTTGGGTTAGCGAGCTCAAGCGTTTCATGTGTCCATCCTTTTCAAGTGAGAAAGGGGCTGATCTGGAGGCTGAAACTGAGATTCTTGGTCACCCATCTAGCCCGAGTGATGAGAGTGCATCGGGCCCGGATGAAAGCTCTGACATACCTTTGAATTTGGCTGGGGAATTGGATGAACCAGACCTATCCTCCAGAGATGATGTAGGAAGCTTAGTTGTTCTCCCATAGGTTTCCCCTGGTTTCCCATCTTGACCAAGTCTTATCCTTTAGATAACAGGGTTCAATCCAAGCCAAACTATTCTCAGGCCAGCGATTGCCAGAGTGAACTTTGGGATGATCCGGTTGGCCCTTTGGAAGCTCCAAGCGATGAGCCTGAGTCTCTGACTCCGGATGGCAGCCCTGAGCCTGCAGGGGTTTTGGCTGATGCATCTGATGGGGAGAAGGATGTGGAAAGCCATGTTGAGGCTGCGAGAGCAGTCTTTGAGCCCAAGGAGTATCATAACCTCCGTCAAAAAAACATATGTTCAAAACGTATTTGGGTGCATGTTACAACTGCCAATGGGGTTCGTAGCTAAAGCACAGAGTATTATTCCCTGATATGTGGGTGTGCTTAAGTATGGTGTCTTACATTTGGTTGATAGCCGAAGCATGGCATCCCCTGATACCATATGTTCTCTGGGAAACTCAAATATGGCTAGATAACCCCAAATTCCACCAATAAGATCCGAACATGTTACATCCCTCCAAGGTGGATCATGGTTTCTGAATAAAGTTAGATGCCGCAGGACCCATCTGGGTTTTCAGATGCCTTAGGGTCGCTTGACCCACCTCCAGTCAAAGTCGAGCCAAAGAAGAAGCCATCAAAAAAGAGATCCAAGACCGTCAATCCGGAGCCAAAGGCCAAGGAGAAGAAAGCCAAGACCAGCAAGCCCAAGCAGGCCTCCAGACCAGCATCCCCAGCCCGAGCAGCCTCGGGAGAGAATGTGTATGCAATCATCTCTTCGTTTGAGAAACATTACCAAGAGGTAATCCGCAAGTTGCCGAAAATGTTTTGGCCAACCAGTTCGAAACATGGAAAGCACTCCTACACAGCGACCCTTGATGTTGATTCAGGCCAACAGGTTTCCATCAAAAATAGGTTTTGTTTCCAAAGATGATTATTGTTTGTTGGGTTTGCAAAGGTAGAAATGGGTTCCCAGAAAATAGAAATAAACCATGCATCTTCAGTGGGTGGTCAACTAGTTGCTTTTCGCTCAGGACGATTGGTGACTTTGGGAAGGTCGAGGTGCTGCTACGACAGGTGGCAATGAAACCCAAGTACGATATCGAGGGAACCAAAATTGAGGGCGAAGGGGCCAAGTCGAAGCTTTGCCAAGTCAATCAACCATTGGGTTAGTTGAATCTATTTGTACTTCCCCAAATCCAATATATGTTGGGCATATGCTATCCACCAAGTCGAAGCTTTGCCAAGTCAATCAACCATTGGGGTAATTGAATCTATTTGTACTTCCCCAAATTCAATATATGTTGGGCATATGCTATCCTCTGGGGTAGCCACCCTTAAGGATCCAAACCACTTTCAACCCAGGATTACCTTCAACAACAAGATCGGCCAGACATGCAAGAAGATCGCAGAGATTATCAAAGTGAAGTTGGAGGACATGGGCCTACAGGCTGAGGATGAGCCAGTTGTGCCACCAACTGATGGTTGAGCCCATTTGAACAAAGTTAGTTGGCACCAAGCCAGTAGTATCATGGGTGGAAGGTTGGCCACGGTCACCACTCACTAAGCCCATTCTGATCATCAACTCAAGATACTAGCTACATCTAGCTACCATGGTTTGTTGCCATGCACATGGTCAGCCTTCCAAGTCTACACTGATTTCTGGTTGGAGTGACAATGGGGTCCTCCAGCCCATCTGCCCATCTTGAGCTCCGGGCGCGTGGTATCGATCCATTCACCATCGCCCCTGACCAAAAGAAGCAAATCGATGGGAAGCACGGGGAATCCGGGGAACAGTTCCAAAGGTGAGAAGGGGTTGTATCCCAATGAGTACAGGGTAAGCAATTCTAACATGCGTCAAGTAATTCGCATTGTTTATACATAGGCTGCTGGAGGTAAACCTAAGGAGTCCATTGAAACCACCATTGAAACCACCAGTGAAACCGGCTGAGGAATCAGATGGTATGCCGATGCTGTCTGTGTGCTTTGATTTGCTGCCTGCTCAAAGTACCATGGGTACTTGAGCAGCCTGGCAGCAGCCTTTTGGAGTGGCACCCCTACTTCCAGCTGCTTTGCAAGCGCTTCAAAATCTTTCGTGTGATTTGGAAGCATGCAGGTATGTTGGGGGAGGATACCACCCAAACATGGTGTAATGTGAAAACATGCAACATGCAGACCTTACATGTACATTATATTGCACTACCATTTCAATTCTTAGAGTTTATTTATTGCAGTATCAGAATATGCACCATCACTGACATGCATCTCTAGATGTTATGCCCCAACAACTATTGGTCCATCTGAGGCATTCGTGTGGGTTGGCTCATATGGTGGAGGCAGTGTCTTGGTGGCCTTTTCTGCGTGCCCAGTTTGACTCATGACAAAGAGTATGAAATTAGATTGGTGTCCAAATCTGAATTGTGAATATGATTTGGGAGTGGGGAACATAATCGGCCCAAGGTCCAAAACCCACGTTGCTTTATTCGAACTACCCTTGGATCCAGCAGATGTACCTGCCTCTTCCGAAGCATGTCGAATGGGATGCTGAAATGAGTCGAAAGCGCCTGGTCGGGGAGTGGCAGTTGCATGATGGGTTCACTCCACAATCCAGGGTCCAACTAAGTAGAAAAAATCAAATAATACTGTCAACTTTCCAACCTCCCTTACTCTGATTAATTCCAGAGCCCAAGTAGAAAAAACAAATCATATCTAACTAGTGAATGGGTGCCTGTACCATCCCTTCAGTTTTGTAGTTCCGAATTCTACCTCATGAGGTACATCGATGGATCTGGCATCCAACGTGTTTGCGGAGGGGCTGACCTTAAGCATAGCCAGTACTACCCCAAGTTGTTTGGCCACGGCTTTGCGCAGCTCTATGCCAAGCATGAACATGAAGTTCGAAAAGAAGTTCGACAACAAGCGCCATTTGGTTGCAAAGGAACCAGGGGGTATCCATTACAAAACAATTGTCCCTTGAATGGTGGTTTCAAAATTAATGGGGGTTCCAAACCCTTTTTCCTGACCCTGGGATTTTTGTTTTAAAAAAATCACAGTGTCAGGAAAATATGGGTTTGAAACCCCTATATATATATATGCTATTGTCACTAACCCAGGTGTGGGAGGTTCAACTTACATATAGTAAAAGGGTTTCTACATGCCATGCATCAGATCATCATTCATCATTCTCCCAGGAAGGCCCTGGAAGATTTAAAGGAAGCAAAGCACCGTATGAAGGACAAGCTGTGGCCATGCTTGGAACATGGACCCCCAGGGTGAACTTGCCAGTACCATGATGCTTATTTGGGGTAATAAGTATTCTATGGGCTCATGTTATATAGTTGAGCTAAGACAGTATCATGTTATTACAATATATTAGAGTAACAAAATTGTGGTGAGGTCTTATCCTTTGAGGTCTTATCCTTACATGCCCACAACCATTCTGGGAGCACCGCCTGCAGGACGGCAATTGGTCCAAAGATGCCAACCTGGCGCAAGTGATTTTCGATCTGAAGGGCTGATCGGCCCCAGGTCAAATTCATCAGCTGGACTTACTTGAAATGAACCCGGGATTTAGAAGCTAGAGGAATGTTCCTATCCACTTAATGGCCGCTGATCCACTAAGTTAGGGGAATAATTCACCATATGTTAATCCTACATAGGTTCTGATGGAAAAGAATGGGAATTGGTCGGTTATAACCCGCAATTGTCCAGAACTTGTCAGAAAATTCTATCTTTTTAACAAAACTTTCAAAAAAATGAAAAACCGGGAATCCGGGAAATTTCCGGGAAATGGCCGGGAAATGCCGGGAAATTTCCTGGATTTTGGGACAACTGAAAAGTTACAAAAAATACCAAAAAATCTGGAATCTTGGGTATACTATTTCCCGGTTTCCCGGTTTTTCTGTTCTAATTTCCCGGATGAAATTTCCCGGTTTCCCGGTTTCCCGGTGTTTCTGTTCTAATTTCCCGGATGAAATTTCCCGGTTTCCCGGATTTGGCCAAACATTTCTCGATTTCCCGGTTTCCCGGTTTCCCGGATCTGAAATTTCCCAAACATTTCCCGAGAATTTCCCGGGTTCATGACCTGCCCTGAGCATCGGATATTGATTGTAGTCAATAGGAACAGATAGTTTTCTATTGATATTGCTTTTCCAATTTTTATTGAAAAAATCAATAGAACTACCAAGTTTTTTTATTGATTTGTTTTCATCCAAAAATATTGATTTGGCTTCAGATGTACATGTTTTGATGCCTCTGCAGTATTGATTAAGTTGTTGATTTTCCTATTGATTTTTCTGTTGATTTTCATCTTGAGTGTGTGCCATGGGCCAAGCTTCTGGCCAAACTGCATGAGAGCCATATGTAACCATCTGTCTCAAGTAGGATCCATCAAGATTTTGTAGCTGGCTTGACAAAAGCTAGCTTAGTTTTGGAGGAACCCTTGACCAAAGGATTCTAGTTTTGAAGCAATGGCCAGCAAGGGTGGGGCAAGGCACTTCTCCAAGCCAATGGTGGACCCCTTTGTGCTTTTCCAAACATTGAACCAACATGTCTCTTTGGTGTCTTCACTGGGAAGGTATGAGACTGTCAGCAGGCAGCAAGCCACAGATGCCAAGGGCCTAGTGCATTGCCTGCCTCTGTTGGAAGCTTTGTTGGATCTTTCCCCCACAGGTGAGATCCACCCAGGTCCTCTGAGGCAAGCATTGCTGAAGCTGGTCCAGCACAAACCGAAGATAAACACAACAGACTTCAATGGAATGGTATACTGCAACATGAGAGCAGAAAGGGTTACAACTGTCCTCCTTCATCTTAGAAGGTTGAAATCTGAGGAAGAGCTTGCAAAAGTAGCAGCAAAAGTGAGTGGAAAAGAATACCAGCTGCTGAAAGAGCTTGCACAAAACTTGGCAGGCAAGGACACAGAGCAAAACAGTGATGAGGAAAGAGAAGCTGCTTCCCTTGACAAAAGGGGGCAGCAAGAGGAAGAAGAAGCTGGCCCCCTTGCCAAAAGGAGGCAGCTTAAGAAAGAAGATTCTGCCATCTCCATGGATTCCAGTGGCTTCCCCAAGTGCTTGCAAAGCCCACAGCAATCCAATGCCTTGCCATTGGAGGACAGCCCCTTGACAAAAGGAGCAGCAGCAAGCAGTTCCAATGCATTACCTGATGAGGGATCTTTTTTGAAAAGGAGAAAGGGTTCTTTGGTGCTAAAGAGACCAAGCTGGAACTCAAAGGACCAAGACCAAAGCTTGACAAAAGCTTTGGCCTTGGGTAAAAAACAAACATGCAAAAAAGAGAAGAAGGGTTCCAAAATGAAAAGGCCTGCAGCTGCAGTAAGCACAGCTGCAGTAAGCACAAAAAAACAGCCATGGAAAACCTTGAAGGTAACCTATCCCAGGAACCCAGAAAGGGCCTACATCCAAGGAAGCCATGGGCCACCTGAACCTATTCACCACATAGTCGAAGTGACAAAGAAAATGACCCCACAATACAGAGAGGTGATTGGGGTTATCCACACAAGGCTGCAAGCTGAGCATCTAACCAAAGAGCAAGCCAGAGCTTTGAGAGAAGAGTTGCTGAGCTAGGGCTTTTGGCCCTGGGGGTTCCTTGCCAAAAGGGCCCCCTACCCTTGACAAAAGGGTTTCAGTCAGCAAAGGCAATGGTGGTGCTATAGATATCTGCCCAATTGATGCATGGCTGGCCCTTGCACAGATACCTGCCATTCCTTGACAAAAGGTTTGACATGGTTGGGCTATGTATGTTTCACCCCAGGCTCCTTGCCCAAAGGTTGCCAACAAGAACAAATTATTAAGGGGTGAAAATATATTAATAAATAAATGAAATAAATGAACTAAATATAAATAATTGAATTATATATTTAAAAAAATATATGTAAAAAAAACAAAATCTGTATATATATATATATATTACAAAAAAAAAACACTATATATATATACACATTCATATGCATATACATTTTTAAGTATATACTGAAATTTTGAAAACTGATTATATACACAAATATATATATATATATTATGTATATATCAATCAAGTACACATTTTCTGACAACAAATGAAGATATACACCACATGAAAACAGATACAACAGTGGGTAATCCAACCAAAGTGTCATGATGGTTTTCTCATGGTTTGGCCCCACCAACTTGATTTCAAATGTATGGAAACTTTCTCAGGGTGTTCTTTTCATGGAATTTTAGAGAAACACACTGAAAAATATGCAATGCATGTTCTTTTGGGTGCCTTGACTAAAGGGGGGTTCACACCTGGCAGGCCTTTCTACCACTGCAGCTGTTTGAAAACTCAAGCTTGACTACTAGGAGTAAAGGCCCTTGACAAAAGGGCTTCCCCTCTTTAGCTTTCTTGACAAAAGAAAGCTTGTGGAAGCTCCCTTGACAAAAGGGGCAATGCTCAACAACAAGGGGAAAAAACAGGGCACTGGCACCACCACAGAGGCCAGGAAAGAAAAATTCAGGAAAAAAGGAATGGAAAGAGAAAATAAAAACATGAGACTTGAAGATGTCAACATAGATTGGGCAAAAGCAGCTGCTGACAAAACATATGGAAAGCCACACCTGTTGACAAAACAGGAGTTGCATGACTATTTGTGGCCCAAGGAAGCAGAAGAAAAAAGAAAGGAGAAAGAAAAACTGGAGCAAGACTGCAAAAAGTTGAAAAAAAGCAGCAAAGCAGCAAAGGATGGCAAAAGGGCAAGCTCTTCAGCCAACCTTGACAAAAGGGAGGCTAGTCCTGACACCAAGGATGCCCAAGCCAAAACTGAGCCAGTATCTCTTGACAAAAGAGATCCAAAATCAGATGGGGCTGCAAAGCAAGCAATGGAAAAAGTAGATCCCAAACAAGAGATCAAGCAGGAGGCACCCAAACCAAACAAAAGCAAAGTGCAAACAGAGGTTGAAAAATGGGAAGAAAGAACCAACCTTGACAAAAGGGAGGTTCCAAAACCATTGGTTTTTGGCCCCAGCCCAAAAGAAAAAGCAAAAGAAAAGCAAAAGGAGAGCAAGCCCCAGACCAGCAGCTCATCAAGCTCACCAGCAAGTTCATCACCTGACTGGGATGCATCTGATGTTTCATCATCAGACCATGAGCCACCTGCCAAAAAGGTGAAAGAGGAGGAGGGCATCAAACTCAAAGAAGGACCAGGGTACCTTGACAAAAGGTACAGCTGGCAGCCCAAGAGGCCAAGAATTGCAGTGGATTGGCACCACACCTTGGAAATCAGAAATAATGTGTCTGGTGCCAACAGGAGGGCCTTGCAGAAGCTGGAGGATGCAGGGTATGACATTTTCCTATGTTCATACTCTGGGCCAGACAGGCAAAAGGAAACAGATTTCCTGAGTGATGGGGTGTACAGCAACTGGTGTGGCAAAATCTTTTGCCACAAACCATGTGGCAGGGAGGGGAAGGCCCAAGCTCTGCACAGGGCAGGCATCAAGACCCTGTTTGATGACAGGTGGGATGTGATCCAAGAGTGTGGCCAGTGGGGTATTGAGTGCTTTGCCATTGTGCCCTGGTGGAATGCCCATGGCTGGGGTATGAACACCTACCCCAGTTTTGATGTGGCTGTGTGGCACTTTTTGGATGGCAAGTAGGGGGCCACACATTCCCTTGACAAAAGGGTTTGTAGGCACCTCCCCTTGGCAAAAGGGAATTGCCAGTAGTTTTTGCAGAGTTTTTATGGCTGGTGGCAAGTCCCTTGACCAAAGGGCCTGCATCCCTGACAAGAAGGGACCAGCCAGTTTCACATCACTGCTGTTTCCTTGACAAAAGGAATGAAGCAAGGTGATGAGCACACAATATGGATGAAAATGAAAAATAAAAATAATAAATAAATAAATATTACAATAAAATTCAATAAGAATATTTTTGAAAAACAAACCAATTTTATTAAGAACTATTTTGGGCAAACTGCACTTACTTTACAATATATGGAACCTATGGGTAGTGGTTATCTTTCAATTCTTTCATTCAGAGTATTTTGAAATACAGTAAATGGTTTCAATGTTGTTCAACTTTTGTTCTGGTGATAGTTGTAAATGTTATTTTGAACAAGGCTTTGAGGCATATATATATATTATTTGTTTATCTGGGCATGTTTTGCACATATAGTTAAATATATATATATATGTATTTATATATATATATAGATAAATAGAAAGGTAGATACTATTCTGAAACAATATACTTTGACAAAAATAAATTGTTCATTGGAAGTGTCCATATATTTGTTGGTATTCTTGGTGCAATTTTACAACCAAGGGAATATGTTCCAGTTGCCTTTCAAATCTTTATAAGAAATAGTTTGAATTTTGTTTTGTTCAAGGGGTTCAGCAGCCATAGGTGTTTTTGAATTTTGTATTTCAAACCATTTCTCCCCAAAATTCATTCCAGTATGAAACACAATTGGTAAGAAACCATTTGGGGCACATGTTTTCCACTTTCAAACTCAGAGTGAATCCAAGGTATAAGCATTGGGTGCTGTCTGGATTGCAGCCTTGACAAAAGGTTGTGGCCAGATTTTCACCTTTGAAATTGTTTTAATACAAAAAAAAATAATAAAAAACATAATAATAAAAAATAGAAAAATAAAAATTTGACCAAATTTGACCAAATTTGACCAAAAGTCAAATTTGGTCAAATTTGGTCAAAATTTGTTTTTTTTATATATTTTCAGAAAAAGGTTAAAAAATATATATTGTTTTTTCCCAATGTTGTTTCCACATGGTTGGTAGCAAAGAATTGAATGTAACAACCTTTTGTCAAGGCTGTTCATCCAAGAACAAGAAAAATTCCTAAATTTATTTTTCCCAAAGCTGTTGGCCTAGGAACATATATGTGTTTAAAAAGCTTATGTGAAACTCTTTTGTCAAAGTTTCTCAGCAGGCAAATAGGAAGGCATCCAAGTTTGATTCTGTTTCTGTGTGTTCAGTCTTTTGGTTCAAAAGGCAAATGTACTCTCCTTGACCAAAGGAGTAGGATCTGCAAGCTCTAGCTTCTTGCACATGGCACCAAAAAAGAAAGTGAAACCTGGAATTTTGAAAAACAAAGCAAGCCCTTGCCCAAAGGGAAAAAGTAAGGCCAAAGCCAAAAGCAAAAGCAAAGCCACAGGGAAACATCAGAGAGCTACCTTGACAAAAGGTAAGCTTGCCCAGCTGGGCAAGCTGACTTTGGATGAGACAGTGAAAAAAGCAACAGAAGAAGCAAACACAGCAGAGGAAGCAGCCATAGTCTTAAAAGATTCCTTGACAAAAGATGAATCTGCTAAGCTGTGGTCCAAGCACAAAACCTATTTGAAGGGAAAAGAAGAAGAGAAAGAGGCTCATGAGCAGTTGGGGAAGAAGGAAAAAGGACTTGAAGTTGTTCTTTGGTTTCTCAAGCACAAGAAAGGTGTGTTCTTCCATACAGAAACCTCCAAAGAAGCCAGTGAAACCTTGACAAAAGGTGAGAAATGGGTCAGTGAACACAAGATGCTGCAGGATTTCAGCAAAGATGAATTTGAACAGCACTTGGCATCAGGAAGGGTCAAATGGCGCTCAGACCCATGGACCCCTGGCATCTACCAATACTGTGACCAGGGGGACCTGACCAAACAGGTCCAGTTGAAGAAAAAGCACAAAGTCACAGTGGGGCAGGAAAGGGAAATGGATGATGCAGAGGATGAAAAGGAGTTCATGAGCTACTGGGGCAAAGGCTCTTTGGCCAGCATGCAGGAGGCTGAAGTTGCCTTCAAAGGCCAGGGCCCTGCCTTGACAAAAGGTAAGGGCCAAGGTGCCTTGACAAAAGGCAAAGGGAGCAGAGGAAGCAAAGGAAGAGGCAGAGGAGTGCTGGCCATAGAGGATGGTAACCCAAATGACACAGAAGATGACAAAGACAAGAAGACACCTGAAGAGCAATGGGCTGAGTGCTTGACAAAAGCACAAAAATCCAAAGAGCATCTCAGGGTGGCAGTGGGAAACTTGGAAGAAGCTTTGGAAGCTGCTAGCCAAGCAGGCAGAACTTCCAAGCAAGACAGGAAGGAAGCACAACTGACTTTGAAACATGCCCAAGAATGGGAACAAAAGCTCAAAGCAATTACAAATAAAAAAAGGGTGGCAATGTGGAAGCAGCAAAGCAAACCATCAAAGATGCAGTGGTATGCACCAACCAAGTCAAAACAGAAGTGAAAGAATACAAGGCATTGGCAAACAAAAGCTTTTCCAAAAGCAGCAAAAAGTGAAGCAACAATGCTTTGAAAGGGGCCCTTGACCAAAGGACCCTGTGTGCTCTTGACAAAAGAGTACACCTATAGCTAGTGGCAAAGGGTAGTATCTTGTTTAAATTCCAGTGCTACCTTGCCCAAAGGTGACTGGCTTCAAGTTTTTGATGTCGCCATATCCTTGACAAAAGGTGATTGGCTTTCAGTTTTTGATGTTGCCATTACCCAGGCAATTGGCAGGTACAGGCAGCCACATGAGACCTTCTCCCCTTGACCAAAGGGTGATGTGGGGTCTCTTGGCTGGCAAACCGACAGCAGGCATCAAGTCAAAAAAATGCTGCAGCACAGCCACTTAAGTGGTTCAGGGGGTTGGGGGGCTGCACGCCACACCACTAAACCACACAAGTTTTTTCTGGGTATGTATAAGTATGTCAGCCACTTGGGTTGTAAAGCATGCAGCTTAAGAAGCACCAAGGGTCTAAACCACACAAGTTTTTTCTGGGTATCTAATAAGTAAGTCAGCCACTTGGGCTGTAAAAAGCATACAGCTTAAGAAGCACCAAGGGTTGGTAAGCCTCCAGGGTTGGCAGGGTCTGCAGGGTTGGCAAGCCAAGTGTTGTGCAAAGTTTTGGTTCAAGTGTTTCCTCAAAGGGGAAAGAGCCATGCCTTGCCCAAAGGCTTGTGCTCAGTGCCCTTGACAAAAGGGCAGCATGAAGCCAGTCAAAAGACTGAGGGGCCATGGTTTGGAGCTGGCCAAGCTAGAGACAGAGCCCTTGACCAAAGGGGATGGTGAGCAGAGTGTGCTGGCACAAACACTTTTGTCCTTGTGGAGCCATGGGCAGCTTAGTGCAAAACTAGTTCAAGATGTTGCCCACAAAGCAATTCTCACTGGGTCCAGTGGCCATGACTTGGCAACCATTGCCAAAACAGGAAGTCATGGGTCATTACCTGGGAATTGCCACAGAGATTTGTGTGCCAGCTTCACCAAGGACTGCAAGATTTCTGGCAGCACACCAGTTGAAACAAAATGCAAAGACCCAAAGACTTCACAGGTGTCTATGGAAAAAGCTGGCATTCTGCTGCCACACATTTTATTTGCAGACCTTTTCCACCATTATACAGATCAGTTTGAAACTTTGTTTGGTGTTGAACATCTGAATGACTTTTGGAGAGGAGTTGAAGCTTCCCAGGATGATCGACTGCAGGGCCACCCCACCTGCCTTGACAAAAGGCAGGGCCTTGCCAAAAGGCAGGTGCAAGACCCTGAGACTACCATTCCAATTTTCATTCATGCTGATGGAGTCGAGTTCCAGAGTAGAGACTCCCTGATGATTTGGAATTGGGGTGGGTTTCTCAATGCACATAGCAGTTTGACTTCCCATTTCCTAATCTGTGCTTGGCCAAAATCTGCAACAGTCTCTGACACCTGGACCCCCATCATGCAATGGGTGCAATGGTCTTTGGAAGCACTGCAAGAAGGCTTACACCCATGTTTTGGCCCTGACAATGAACCCTTGCCAAAAGGGTCCATTTTTGAACAGCTTGCTGGGCAGCCCCTCACAGGCAGAGGTTACAGGGCTGTGCTTTGGTCCATTCAAGGGGGCCAAGAAATGTACAGCAATGTTCTTCACCTGCCCCATTGGAATTCCCACAACTGCTGCCATGCTTGTGATGCCCAGCAACCTTTCATAAAAGGCAAGCCTTGTGAGAAGGGGAAGGGTTTCAAAGAATTGCTGCCAGAGAACCAAAAATTCATTGACACTGACACAGCAGCAGCCTTGACAAAAGGTAGCCAGCACCAGCTGTTTGAAACCCCAGGCCTCACCATTAGAATGGTTCGACAGGATGGGCTGCATGTGCTTTTTGTGAAAGGTGTGTGTTCACACCTGCTTGGCTCCTTGCTTCACCATGTGTGTTACAACCAAGGCAGAGGCAAGCAAAACAAGCAGCCCAGCCAAAGGCTGGCATTGATTTTCTCCAAGATCCAGGAAAATTACAAGGAACTTCAGACACCAACTCGACTCACCAACCTCAGATTGAGCATGATCTGTGATCCCTCCAAGCCTCACCAAGAGTATGCCAAACTAGAAGCAAAAGGAGCAGAGACAAAACATTTGCTCAGTGCATTCTTACCAGTGCTGAAAAGCATACTAGAACCAAACAATACCCTTCACCAACACATGGTGGGAGCTCTGGAGGCAATGGTGGACTTGGTTGCTGCATTTGATGCAGCAGGGCTGTTTCCTTGCCCAAAGGAATTTCAAGCCATGCAGGACCTTGACCAAAGGTTTTGCAGGCATTACACAGAGCTGAACAAGTGGGCCCAGAAGAATGACCATAAACTTTACCACATTGTCTACAAGCACCATTGCCAACATCACCTGGTCAAGGAGGCACAATTCTTGAATCCCAGGTACACATGGAACTTCAGATCTGAAGACTTTGTGGGGAGGGTGGCAACATTAGCCAGATCATTGGCTATGGGAGTCAAATCAACAAGACTTTCAGGCAAGCTCATGATTAAGTATCGCATTCTTTTGCACATGCAGCTGACAAGGCTTGGGTTTGACTTGGGTGTGTCTCCAGACAGTGATGGTGAAGAATGGTAGATGGTCCTTGACCAAAGGTCTTTCTGCCACACCCTTGGCAAAAGGGTATCTGGAGACACCCAGCACAAGCAGCTGATAGGTCTGGCATCCTTGACCAAAGGATGCTTCACTTCCCAGTCTCACCAGACAAATAAGAAAGAAGATGAAAAAGAAAACTGTAATATAAAGCCTGGAGTGTCCACACTAGCACTAAAAAGCTATGGGTTTTGATTGATTTTATTGTTGTTCAAGCTTCTTTATATTGATTATGTTGTTGATTTTTGTATTGATTAAGTTGTTGATCCTATCTGGTGTGTTGTGGATTCCCAAAAGGCAGAATTCCTGTTGATTTTGAACTGTGTTAAAATCAATAGAAAATATTGAAAAAACTCTAAAATCAATATTTTCAGAATAGTATTGATTACAATCAATATCCGATGCTCAGGGTGTAGATGTGCTCAGCGATGGCTAGTGCCAATTAGAGGGAAAATCATGGCTTTTGATCGGTTATTTGCAGATCATGGTAAGTATCATATTCAAAGTAAATTGTAATAACATGCATGACACTCCATGCATTGAAGAATTGTCCATTGCTAAATGGTATGCATCTAAGGCCATTTTGATTCAAGGAGCATCTTAGGGCACCATGGCTAAAACAAAGGCTCCTGCGGCTCCTGTAGCCCCTGTAGCCCCAACCCACCGTGTTCGATCCAAGTCCATGCCGGCCCCGGCTCGGGGTCGTAGTCCCAGCGCTAAGAGTTTAAAGAAGGCAGCAAAGAAACTCGAGGCAAACAAGGACAAGTTCACCACCCCACCGCCCAAGAGGACAGGAAGCCCAGGTGTTTCCTCGGTCTCATCCTCTAGTAGCGTCAAAAGAAAAGTTTCCTTTGCACCAGCCCCTGAAGTCCATGGGACCCCAGCGAAGAAAGCAGAAGAAAAAGACATGAAGGTAACCGAAGCTGAAGAGATCTTGAAAAGTCTGAAGGACCATACATCAAAGTGGGGGTATGCGGGGGTTATGTGGGCGTAGAGCTTGGGATTGTTAGTATCTATGTATGTATCTATCAACATATATAATTAGTATCTATGTATGTATCTATTCATCATCAGCATATATAATTAGTATCTATGTATGTATCTATACAATGGATTTAAATCCAATTGGGCCCATCCAGTATGGAGCACCTGACCGCAGGACACCAAGGGCAAGCAGACCGAGCAGCTAGACAGCAGCTCTGGTAGTGAGGATGATGTTGAGGCCAGGAAACGATGGTGGGCCAGGTTTGCAGTTCCAGGAAAATTTGAAAAAGCAAAAGGGGTCCCAAAAAAGGAGCCTAGAACTAGACTTGGGATTGGCAAAGCATCCCTCCACTCAATGCAACAATGGTGGAAAACAACACGCCCACCCTGTGGCAAGGCAGAGAAAAAGAAATCGGCACCAAAGGAAAAGAAAGGAAAAGGCAACAGAGAAGATGCATCTAGCAAAGGTGCCAAGCAGAAGGCCAAGAAGAAGGACGAGGATAAGGAATCTAAGAAAGGCGCTGAGGAGAAGGATGAGGAGCAGGAATCTGAGAAAAGGTCTGGGGAGAAGGCAGTTTCGAAGAAAGGTGGGCATAAGGCTGAGGAGAAGGCAGCTTCGAAGAAGAAAGGTGCAGAGAAGAAGACTGAGGAGAAGGCATCTAAGAAAGATGATGATGAGGTGAAGACATCTTCGAAGAAGAAAGGTTCAGAGAAGAAGACTGAGGAGAAGGCATCTAAGAAAGATGATGATGAGGAGAAGGCAGCTTCGAAGAAAGGCGCAGAGAAGAAGACTGAGGAGAAGGCATCTAAGAAAGATGATGATGAGGAGAAGGCAGCTTCGAAGAAAGGTGCAGAGAAGAAGACTGGGCATCTAAGAACGATGATGCATCTTCGAAGAGAGGTGCAGAGAAGATGACTGAGGAGAAGGCATCAAAGAAAGATAAGGAACAGAAGGCCGAGGAGAAGGCATCTAAGGCTGAGGAAATGGCATCTAAGAAAGGTGCTGAGGAGAAGGCCGAGGAGGAAGATGGTGAGGAGAGCTCTGACAATGAGAGCAACGATGAGGAGGCAAGCGAAAGCTCTGATGATTCTGAGGATGAAGAAGATGATAAGAGCAATGAGAGCGACGAAAGCGACATGGAAAAAGAGGAAGAAAGTCAGAAGGAAAAAGAGAGCGAGAAGGCAGAAGAAAGCGATAAGGAAGACAGCGATGGGGAAGGAAGCAGTGAGGAGGAAAGTGATGAGGAGAAAGAGGAAGAAGCGGAAGAACCAGCAGAGTCTCGCGCACCAGCAGAGTCTCTTGCCCTTGTTCCAGTTGGGATTCTGAAAAGGCCAGCAGCCAAGACTGAGGAGGAAGACCATCAGGATGAAGATGAAGATGATAGTGATGAGGAACAGGATGAAGAAGACAGCAGTGGTGAAAGTGAATCGCCTGCAACTAAGAAAAAGAAGACTGAAGGCACGAAGGGCAAGATCGAGGAGAAGTCAAAGGAAAAGGGTGACGAAGACAAGAAGACCAACAAGAAGCAAAAAAAGGCCAAGGAAGAGGATGCTGAGGAGAAAGGAGGGACGGAGAAGAGCAAAGCTTTGGAAGAGGCTGAGAAGAATCTTCTCAAAGGCGATACTGGCAAAGAGAAGAAAGATAAGAAGGAGAAGAAGGCAAAGAAGGAGAAAAAGGAGAAGGATGAAGACAAGGAAGGCAAAGTGAAGAACTCAACGAAGTATCGCAAAGAGTGGCAGGCATTCGGCCGGTGGTGCCACAGCAAAAAAAGATGCCCTGCAAAGATCATCGCAGCATGCTAAGACTCGGACCGATTTGGCCAAATGCAAGTATCATACCTGTTTCAAAAGGTAACTTCTAAAAGGGGACGGGGGTATCACAAGTGAAAATCTCCTCTATATCTTCTTGGGCAGTATATCAGGTGAACTTTCAAAGACATCATCTCAAAATATCTTTAAAACTCGAAGTATGAAAATCTTAAAGGGGTTAACCCATCATTCCCATGTGATCTTTGCAGGATACCCGCTTGAAGCTCTTCAACGACTACATGGACTGTGGCAAGGACTTCGCCAAGGTGGAAGCCCTGTTCCAGACTAGGTTGGAAGAGACCCAGAGGTCATCCATCAAGTACGGGTTCCGGAATGACCAGTGGTTGATTAAACACCATGGTGAAAAAAAGGCTTTGAAGATCATGCAGCGCAAAAAAAGCCTGGGACTGAAACTTGGCCCTTTGTTTGGGGTTCGAAGTGGTGCTAAGGGTTAGACTTGGTACAGCCCCACATCATCACATATCATCCCTTCACTTCTCTCCCCATTGGATTTCTGGCCTCTGAATCTGAATACTGTTCCCATCCACTTCCATTTGCAGCTCCTGCCAAGGACGATGGAGGATCCCGAGTTCCCAGGTGAAGATGAGTACCTGTTCTTTGTCATGGTGGAATTCAACATTGAAGACATCCGTGAACTACGCCGCATCACGCAGCTGGAATTGACTGGCACTTTGGATGCTGATGGCGTCAAGGCCTTTGTTGAGGTCCCTTGGCATTAACGATGCCTAATCTTATTCAAACCCCCTCATATTCCAATCAGGTTTTAGCTAAGCCGTATTCCAACATGTTCCAACCCTCCATCTAACAATGTGAACCATTGATTTCAAACATTTTGTGGCATTAATTGCCCGCTCCCTATCTTAGGCTGGTGGATGTCTCGATGGCAAGCAGCACTTGGCCCTTGGAGACAAGATGGGGGTCGATGGTATCCAGAAAATGCTGGGAGCTGTGGGTATCAAGAATGATGGGGCCAATGGTAAAGGCATCAAAAGGCGAAGGAACACCAATGCGGCCGAAAACAGCGCGCCCAAAGAGGCGCACATAGCATACCCAGTTTTTATAGTCCATATCTAAATCTAGATCTATATCGATACCTATATCTGTCTATGCTTATAATATCTGTAAATAAATATATTTATATATAATACATATATACATACATGTATATACATATATAAATATAAATATATATGTGTATATAATATATATATATTATATATATATATATATAATATACATATAGTTGACCCAAATGGCATGACCCTTATGTTTCCAAATGCCAGCTCCTTGTTCGGAGGTGGTGCCAGAAACCCCTTTGCAGAAAGCTGCAAAGTTGGTCGAGAAGGTCCTGAAGGATGCCAACAATTGCCGGACCCTTGTCTAAACATAATCTGTCCATGTCAATTGGATACAAAAAAGGAAGTCCCTTGTCTTTCGGATCAAGAAAACACAGACTTTGGAGTTGAAAACAAATCCATGGACTTTAGTACTTTAGGTTAAGAAGGACACCCAAGGACTTTGCCAATTGAATCCTCACCATGAACCATGGGGGTGACAACATATATCCACAGTCTTTGGGGGTTTAAAAAGCTTACCAACTTGCACCCTGGACTTTGAGGATGATACATCTTGACCACTATGCCACCCACAGGGTTTGGTCTTGTCGGGGATTTGCTTTCGATCTAAGGGACCATGCCTTCAAGCTGAGACCCATTGCGATGAGCAGTGATTTGATTCTTCAGTTGAAGGCTTGCGCTGTCAAGCTTCAAGAGGCAGCAGAAAAGTTGCAGGCACGGGTCAAGCAGCAGAAGAACAAGAACAAGCATTACGCGGCTATCATCTCAGAGGCCAGATTCAACGGGAAGGAGTGGGGTTCGGAAGGAGTTGGGGTTGGGATTGGGAAAGGTTGGAAAGGATGAGAGTTGGGATGATTCATGATATTGAATATTGAGATCGGAAGGCCACTGCCTTTGTTATCCGTCCATCCTGCCAACTCAGGTGAATGAAACCAGATCTACTGCAGCTGAACGAATCAGCTTGGCGAAGGCACTGATCCGGGCAGTTGATAAGCCCAAGCCCAAAGCGAGGGCTTCCAAGGAGCCAAAGGAGCCCAATGCGTCAAAGGAAGCCACTGGCGGGGAGACTGTGGCCTAGAGATGTTTCACATGTTCGCAGCTAGTACGGCTGGCTTTTGCTTGCTATCTCGAATCGGTAAGTTTGGAACTAATTGTTCCGGGGATGTGCAGTGGACCATAATCCTTCCCCACAGATACGTTAAACTCATTAAACATCTTCCGTTGTGAAAACAGATACAACAGTGGACCAAAGTGTCATGATGGTTTTCTCATGGTTTGGCCCCACCAACTTGATTTCAAATGTATGGAAACTTTCTCAGGGTGTTCTTTTCATGGAATTTTAGAGAAACACACTGAAAAATATGCAATGCATGTTCTTTTGGGTGCCTTGACTAAAGGGGGGTTCACACCTGGCAGGCCTTTCTACCACTGCAGCTGTTTGAAAACTCAAGCTTGACTACTAGGAGTAAAGGCCCTTGACAAAAGGGCTTCCCCTCTTTAGCTTTCTTGACAAAAGAAAGCTTGTGGAAGCTCCCTTGACAAAAGGGGCAATGCTCAACAACAAGGGGAAAAAACAGGGCACTGGCACCACCACAGAGGCCAGGAAAGAAAAATTCAGGAAAAAAGGAATGGAAAGAGAAAATAAAAACATGAGACTTGAAGATGTCAACATAGATTGGGCAAAAGCAGCTGCTGACAAAACATATGGAAAGCCACACCTGTTGACAAAACAGGAGTTGCATGACTATTTGTGGCCCAAGGAAGCAGAAGAAAAAAGAAAGGAGAAAGAAAAACTGGAGCAAGACTGCAAAAAGTTGAAAAAAAGCAGCAAAGCAGCAAAGGATGGCAAAAGGGCAAGCTCTTCAGCCAACCTTGACAAAAGGGAGGCTAGTCCTGACACCAAGGATGCCCAAGCCAAAACTGAGCCAGTATCTCTTGACAAAAGAGATCCAAAATCAGATGGGGCTGCAAAGCAAGCAATGGAAAAAGTAGATCCCAAACAAGAGATCAAGCAGGAGGCACCCAAACCAAACAAAAGCAAAGTGCAAACAGAGGTTGAAAAATGGGAAGAAAGAACCAACCTTGACAAAAGGGAGGTTCCAAAACCATTGGTTTTTGGCCCCAGCCCAAAAGAAAAAGCAAAAGAAAAGCAAAAGGAGAGCAAGCCCCAGACCAGCAGCTCATCAAGCTCACCAGCAAGTTCATCACCTGACTGGGATGCATCTGATGTTTCATCATCAGACCATGAGCCACCTGCCAAAAAGGTGAAAGAGGAGGAGGGCATCAAACTCAAAGAAGGACCAGGGTACCTTGACAAAAGGTACAGCTGGCAGCCCAAGAGGCCAAGAATTGCAGTGGATTGGCACCACACCTTGGAAATCAGAAATAATGTGTCTGGTGCCAACAGGAGGGCCTTGCAGAAGCTGGAGGATGCAGGGTATGACATTTTCCTATGTTCATACTCTGGGCCAGACAGGCAAAAGGAAACAGATTTCCTGAGTGATGGGGTGTACAGCAACTGGTGTGGCAAAATCTTTTGCCACAAACCATGTGGCAGGGAGGGGAAGGCCCAAGCTCTGCACAGGGCAGGCATCAAGACCCTGTTTGATGACAGGTGGGATGTGATCCAAGAGTGTGGCCAGTGGGGTATTGAGTGCTTTGCCATTGTGCCCTGGTGGAATGCCCATGGCTGGGGTATGAACACCTACCCCAGTTTTGATGTGGCTGTGTGGCACTTTTTGGATGGCAAGTAGGGGGCCACACATTCCCTTGACAAAAGGGTTTGTAGGCACCTCCCCTTGACAAAAGGGAATTGCCAGTAGTTTTTGCAGAGTTTTTATGGCTGGTGGCAAGTCCCTTGACCAAAGGGCTTGCATCCCTGACAAGAAGGGACCAGCCAGTTTCACATCACTGCTGTTTCCTTGACAAAAGGAATGAAGCAAGGTGATGAGCACACAATATGGATGAAAATGAAAAATAAAAATAATAAATAAATAAATATTACAATAAAATTCAATAAGAATATTTTTGAAAAACAAACCAATTTTATTAAGAACTATTTTGGGCAAACTGCACTTACTTTACAATATATGGAACCTATGGGTAGTGGTTATCTTTCAATTCTTTCATTCAGAGTATTTTGAAATACAGTAAATGGTTTCAATGTTGTTCAACTTTTGTTCTGGTGATAGTTGTAAGTGTTATTTTGAACAAGGCTTTGAGGCATATATATATATTATTTGTTTATCTGGGCATGTTTTGCACATATAGTTAATATATATATATATGTATTTATATATATATATAGATAAATAGAAAGGTAGATACTATTCTGAAACAATATACTTTGACAAAAATAAATTGTTCATTGGAAGTGTCCATATATTTGTTGGTATTCTTGGTGCAATTTTACAACCAAGGGAATATGTTCCAGTTGCCTTTCAAATCTTTATAAGAAATAGTTTGAATTTTGTTTTGTTCAAGGGGTTCAGCAGCCATAGGTGTTTTTGAATTTTGTATTTCAAACCATTTCTCCCCAAAATTCATTCCAGTATGAAACACAATTGGTAAGAAACCATTTGGGGCACATGTTTTCCACTTTCAAACTCAGAGTGAATCCAAGGTATAAGCATTGGGTGCTGTCTGGATTGCAGCCTTGACAAAAGGTTGTGGCCAGATTTTCACCTTTGAAATTGTTTTAATACAAAAAAAATAATAAAAAACATAATAATAAAAAATAGAAAAATAAAAATTTGACCAAATTTGACCAAATTTGACCAAATTTGACCAAATTTGACCAAAAGTCAAATTTGGTCAAATTTGGTCAAAATTTGTTTTTTTTATATATTTTCAGAAAAAGGTTAAAAAATATATATTGTTTTTTCCCAATGTTGTTTCCACATGGTTGGTAGCAAAGAATTGAATGTAACAACCTTTTGTCAAGGCTGTTCATCCAAGAACAAGAAAAATTCCTAAATTTATTTTTCCCAAAGCTGTTGGCCTAGGAACATATATGTGTTTAAAAAGCTTATGTGAAACTCTTTTGTCAAAGTTTCTCAGCAGGCAAATAGGAAGGCATCCAAGTTTGATTCTGTTTCTGTGTGTTCAGTCTTTTGGTTCAAAAGGCAAATGTACTCTCCTTGACCAAAGGAGTAGGATCTGCAAGCTCTAGCTTCTTGCACATGGCACCAAAAAAGAAAGTGAAACCTGGAATTTTGAAAAACAAAGCAAGCCCTTGCCCAAAGGGAAAAAGTAAGGCCAAAGCCAAAAGCAAAAGCAAAGCCACAGGGAAACATCAGAGAGCTACCTTGACAAAAGGTAAGCTTGCCCAGCTGGGCAAGCTGACTTTGGATGAGAAAGTGAAAAAAGCAACAGAAGAAGCAAACACAGCAGAGGAAGCAGCCATAGTCTTAAAAGATTCCTTGACAAAAGATGAATCTGCTAAGCTGTGGTCCAAGCACAAAACCTATTTGAAGGGAAAGGAAGAAGAGAAAGAGGCTCATGAGCAGTTGGGGAAGAAGGAAAAAGGACTTGAAGTTGTTCTTTGGTTTCTCAAGCACAAGAAAGGTGTGTTCTTCCATACAGAAACCTCCAAAGAAGCCAGTGAAACCTTGACAAAAGGTGAGAAATGGGTCAGTGAACACAAGATGCTGCAGGATTTCAGCAAAGATGAATTTGAACAGCACTTGGCATCAGGAAGGGTCAAATGGCGCTCAGACCCATGGACCCCTGGCATCTACCAATACTGTGACCAGGGGGACCTGACCAAACAGGTCCAGTTGAAGAAAAAGCACAAAGTCACAGTGGGGCAGGAAAGGGAAATGGATGATGCAGAGGATGAAAAGGAGTTCATGAGCTACTGGGGCAAAGGCTCTTTGGCCAGCATGCAGGAGGCTGAAGTTGCCTTCAAAGGCCAGGGCCCTGCCTTGACAAAAGGTAAGGGCCAAGGTGCCTTGACAAAAGGCAAAGGGAGCAGAGGAAGCAAAGGAAGAGGCAGAGAAGTGCTGGCCATAGAGGATGGTAACCCAAATGACACAGAAGATGACAAAGACAAGAAGACACCTGAAGAGCAATGGGCTGAGTGCTTGACAAAAGCACAAAAATCCAAAGAGCATCTCAGGGTGGCAGTGGGAAACTTGGAAGAAGCTTTGGAAGCTGCTAGCCAAGCAGGCAGAACTTCCAAGCAAGACAGGAAGGAAGCACAACTGACTTTGAAACATGCCCAAGAATGGGAACAAAAGCTCAAAGCAATTACAAATAAAAAAAAGGTGGCAATGTGGAAGCAGCAAAGCAAACCATCAAAGATGCAGTGGTATGCACCAACCAAGTCAAAACAGAAGTGAAAGAATACAAGGCATTGGCAAACAAAAGCTTTTCCAAAAGCAGCAAAAAGTGAAGCAACAATGCTTTGAAAGGGGCCCTTGACCAAAGGACCCTGTGTGCTCTTGACAAAAGAGTACACCTATAGCTAGTGGCAAAGGGTAGTATCTTGTTTAAATTCCAGTGCTACCTTGCCCAAAGGTGACTGGCTTCAAGTTTTTGATGTCGCCATATCCTTGACAAAAGGTGATTGGCTTTCAGTTTTTGATGTTGCCATTACCCAGGCAATTGGCAGGTACAGGCAGCCACATGAGACCTTCTCCCCTTGACCAAAGGGTGATGTGGGGTCTCTTGGCTGGCAAACCGACAGCAGGCATCAAGTCAAAAAAATGCTGCAGCACAGCCACTTAAGTGGTTCAGGGGGTTGGGGGGCTGCACGCCACACCACTAAACCACACAAGTTTTTTCTGGGTATGTATAAGTATGTCAGCCACTTGGGTTGTAAAGCATGCAGCTTAAGAAGCACCAAGGGTCTAAACCACACAAGTTTTTTCTGGGTATCTAATAAGTAAGTCAGCCACTTGGGCTGTAAAAAGCATACAGCTTAAGAAGCACCAAGGGTTGGTAAGCCTCCAGGGTTGGCAGGGTCTGCAGGGTTGGCAAGCCAAGTGTTGTGCAAAGTTTTGGTTCAAGTGTTTCCTCAAAGGGGAAAGAGCCATGCCTTGCCCAAAGGCTTGTGCTCAGTGCCCTTGACAAAAGGGCAGCATGAAGCCAGTCAAAAGACTGAGGGGCCATGGTTTGGAGCTGGCCAAGCTAGAGACAGAGCCCTTGACCAAAGGGGATGGTGAGCAGAGTGTGCTGGCACAAACACTTTTGTCCTTGTGGAGCCATGGGCAGCTTAGTGCAAAACTAGTTCAAGATGTTGCCCACAAAGCAATTCTCACTGGGTCCAGTGGCCATGACTTGGCAACCATTGCCAAAACAGGAAGTCATGGGTCATTACCTGGGAATTGCCACAGAGATTTGTGTGCCAGCTTCACCAAGGACTGCAAGATTTCTGGCAGCACACCAGTTGAAACAAAATGCAAAGACCCAAAGACTTCACAGGTGTCTATGGAAAAAGCTGGCATTCTGCTGCCACACATTTTATTTGCAGACCTTTTCCACCATTATACAGATCAGTTTGAAACTTTGTTTGGTGTTGAACATCTGAATGACTTTTGGAGAGGAGTTGAAGCTTCCCAGGATGATCGACTGCAGGGCCACCCCACCTGCCTTGACAAAAGGCAGGGCCTTGCCAAAAGGCAGGTGCAAGACCCTGAGACTACCATTCCAATTTTCATTCATGCTGATGGAGTCGAGTTCCAGAGTAGAGACTCCCTGATGATTTGGAATTGGGGTGGGTTTCTCAATGCACATAGCAGTTTGACTTCCCATTTCCTAATCTGTGCTTGGCCAAAATCTGCAACAGTCTCTGACACCTGGACCCCCATCATGCAATGGGTGCAATGGTCTTTGGAAGCACTGCAAGAAGGCTTACACCCATGTTTTGGCCCTGACAATGAACCCTTGCCAAAAGGGTCCATTTTTGAACAGCTTGCTGGGCAGCCCCTCACAGGCAGAGGTTACAGGGCTGTGCTTTGGTCCATTCAAGGGGGCCAAGAAATGTACAGCAATGTTCTTCACCTGCCCCATTGGAATTCCCACAACTGCTGCCATGCTTGTGATGCCCAGCAACCTTTCATAAAAGGCAAGCCTTGTGAGAAGGGGAAGGGTTTCAAAGAATTGCTGCCAGAGAACCAAAAATTCATTGACACTGACACAGCAGCAGCCTTGACAAAAGGTAGCCAGCACCAGCTGTTTGAAACCCCAGGCCTCACCATTAGAATGGTTCGACAGGATGGGCTGCATGTGCTTTTTGTGAAAGGTGTGTGTTCACACCTGCTTGGCTCCTTGCTTCACCATGTGTGTTACAACCAAGGCAGAGGCAAGCAAAACAAGCAGCCCAGCCAAAGGCTGGCATTGATTTTCTCCAAGATCCAGGAAAATTACAAGGAACTTCAGACACCAACTCGACTCACCAACCTCAGATTGAGCATGATCTGTGATCCCTCCAAGCCTCACCAAGAGTATGCCAAACTAGAAGCAAAAGGAGCAGAGACAAAACATTTGCTCAGTGCATTCTTACCAGTGCTGAAAAGCATACTAGAACCAAACAATACCCTTCACCAACACATGGTGGGAGCTCTGGAGGCAATGGTGGACTTGGTTGCTGCATTTGATGCAGCAAGGCTGTTTCCTTGCCCAAAGGAATTTCAAGCCATGCAGGACCTTGACCAAAGGTTTTGCAGGCATTACACAGAGCTGAACAAGTGGGCCCAGAAGAATGACCATAAACTTTACCACATTGTCTACAAGCACCATTGCCAACATCACCTGGTCAAGGAGGCACAATTCTTGAATCCCAGGTACACATGGAACTTCAGATCTGAAGACTTTGTGGGGAGGGTGGCAACATTAGCCAGATCATTGGCTATGGGAGTCAAATCAACAAGACTTTCAGGCAAGCTCATGATTAAGTATCGCATTCTTTTGCACATGCAGCTGACAAGGCTTGGGTTTGACTTGGGTGTGTCTCCAGACAGTGATGGTGAAGAATGGTAGATGGTCCTTGACCAAAGGTCTTTCTGCCACACCCTTGGCAAAAGGGTATCTGGAGACACCCAGCACAAGCAGCTGATAGGTCTGGCATCCTTGACCAAAGGATGCTTCACTTCCCAGTCTCACCAGACAAATAAGAAAGAAGATGAAAAAGAAAACTGTAATATAAAGCCTGGAGTGTCCACACTAGCACTAAAAAGCTATGGGTTTTGATTGATTTTATTGTTGTTCAAGCTTCTTTATATTGATTATGTTGTTGATTTTTGTATTGATTAAGTTGTTGATCCTATCTGGTGTGTTGTGGATTCCCAAAAGGCAGAATTCCTGTTGATTTTGAACTGTGTTAAAATCAATAGAAAATATTGAAAAAACTCTAAAATCAATATTTTCAGAATAGTATTGATTACAATCAATATCCGATGCTCAGGGTGTAGATGTGCTCAGCGATGGCTAGTGCCAATTAGAGGGAAAATCATGGCTTTTGATCGGTTATTTGCAGATCATGGTAAGTATCATATTCAAAGTAAATTGTAATAACATGCATGACACTCCATGCATTGAAGAATTGTCCATTGCTAAATGGTATGCATCTAAGGCCATTTTGATTCAAGGAGCATCTTAGGGCACCATGGCTAAAACAAAGGCTCCTGCGGCTCCTGTAGCCCCTGTAGCCCCAACCCACCGTGTTCGATCCAAGTCCATGCCGGCCCCGGCTCGGGGTCGCAGTCCCAGCGCTAAGAGTTTAAAGAAGGCAGCAAAGAAACTCGAGGCAAACAAGGACAAGTTCACCACCCCACCGCCCAAGAGGACAGGAAGCCCAGGTGTTTCCTCGGTCTCATCCTCTAGTAGCGTCAAAAGAAAAGTTTCCTTTGCACCAGCCCCTGAAGTCCATGGGACCCCAGCGAAGAAAGCAGAAGAAAAAGACATGAAGGTAACCGAAGCTGAAGAGATCTTGAAAAGTCTGAAGGACCATACATCAAAGTGGGGGTATGCGGGGGTTATGTGGGCGTAGAGCTTGGGATTGTTAGTATCTATGTATGTATCTATCAACATATATAATTAGTATCTATGTATGTATCTATTCATCATCAGCATATATAATTAGTATCTATGTATGTATCTATACAATGGATTTAAATCCAATTGGGCCCATCCAGTATGGAGCACCTGACCGCAGGACACCAAGGGCAAGCAGACCGAGCAGCTAGACAGCAGCTCTGGTAGTGAGGATGATGTTGAGGCCAGGAAACGATGGTGGGCCAGGTTTGCAGTTCCAGGAAAATTTGAAAAAGCAAAAGGGGTCCCAAAAAAGGAGCCTAGAACTAGACTTGGGATTGGCAAAGCATCCCTCCACTCAATGCAACAATGGTGGAAAACAACACGCCCACCCTGTGGCAAGGCAGAGAAAAAGAAATCGGCACCAAAGGAAAAGAAAGGAAAAGGCAACAGAGAAGATGCATCTAGCAAAGGTGCCAAGCAGAAGGCCAAGAAGAAGGACGAGGATAAGGAATCTAAGAAAGGCGCTGAGGAGAAGGATGAGGAGCAGGAATCTGAGAAAAGGTCTGGGGAGAAGGCAGTTTCGAAGAAAGGTGGGCATAAGGCTGAGGAGAAGGCAGCTTCGAAGAAGAAAGGTGCAGAGAAGAAGACTGAGGAGAAGGCATCTAAGAAAGATGATGATGAGGTGAAGACATCTTCGAAGAAGAAAGGTTCAGAGAAGAAGACTGAGGAGAAGGCATCTAAGAAAGATGATGATGAGGAGAAGGCAGCTTCGAAGAAAGGCGCAGAGAAGAAGACTGAGGAGAAGGCATCTAAGAAAGATGATGATGAGGAGAAGGCAGCTTCGAAGAAAGGTGCAGAGAAGAAGACTGGGCATCTAAGAACGATGATGCATCTTCGAAGAGAGGTGCAGAGAAGATGACTGAGGAGAAGGCATCAAAGAAAGATAAGGAACAGAAGGCCGAGGAGAAGGCATCTAAGGCTGAGGAAATGGCATCTAAGAAAGGTGCTGAGGAGAAGGCCGAGGAGGAAGATGATGAGGAGAGCTCTGACAATGAGAGCAACGATGAGGAGGCAAGCGAAAGCTCTGATGATTCTGAGGATGAAGAAGATGATAAGAGCAATGAGAGCGACGAAAGCGACATGGAAAAAGAGGAAGAAAGTCAGAAGGAAAAAGAGAGCGAGAAGGCAGAAGAAAGCGATAAGGAAGACAGCGATGGGGAAGGAAGCAGTGAGGAGGAAAGTGATGAGGAGAAAGAGGAAGAAGCGGAAGAACCAGCAGAGTCTCGCGCACCAGCAGAGTCTCTTGCCCTTGTTCCAGTTGGGATTCTGAAAAGGCCAGCAGCCAAGACTGAGGAGGAAGACCATCAGGATGAAGATGAAGATGATAGTGATGAGGAACAGGATGAAGAAGACAGCAGTGGTGAAAGTGAATCGCCTGCAACTAAGAAAAAGAAGACTGAAGGCACGAAGGGCAAGATCGAGGAGAAGTCAAAGGAAAAGGGTGACGAAGACAAGAAGACCAACAAGAAGCAAAAAAAGGCCAAGGAAGAGGATGCTGAGGAGAAAGGAGGGACGGAGAAGAGCAAAGCTTTGGAAGAGGCTGAGAAGAATCTTCTCAAAGGCGATACTGGCAAAGAGAAGAAAGATAAGAAGGAGAAGAAGGCAAAGAAGGAGAAAAAGGAGAAGGATGAAGACAAGGAAGGCAAAGTGAAGAACTCAACGAAGTATCGCAAAGAGTGGCAGGCATTCGGCCGGTGGTGCCACAGCAAAAAAAGATGCCCTGCAAAGATCATCGCAGCATGCTAAGACTCGGACCGATTTGGCCAAATGCAAGTATCATACCTGTTTCAAAAGGTAACTTCTAAAAGGGGACGGGGGTATCACAAGTGAAAATCTCCTCTATATCTTCTTGGGCAGTATATCAGGTGAACTTTCAAAGACATCATCTCAAAATATCTTTAAAACTCGAAGTATGAAAATCTTAAAGGGGTTAACCCATCATTCCCATGTGATCTTTGCAGGATACCCGCTTGAAGCTCTTCAACGACTACATGGACTGTGGCAAGGACTTCGCCAAGGTGGAAGCCCTGTTCCAGACTAGGTTGGAAGAGACCCAGAGGTCATCCATCAAGTACGGGTTCCGGAATGACCAGTGGTTGATTAAACACCATGGTGAAAAAAAGGCTTTGAAGATCATGCAGCGCAAAAAAAGCCTGGGACTGAAACTTGGCCCTTTGTTTGGGGTTTGAAGTGGTGCTAAGGGTTAGACTTGGTACAGCCCCACATCATCACATATCATCCCTTCACTTCTCTCCCCATTGGATTTCTGGCCTCTGAATCTGAATACTGTTCCCATCCACTTCCATTTGCAGCTCCTGCCAAGGACGATGGAGGATCCCGAGTTCCCAGGTGAAGATGAGTACCTGTTCTTTGTCATGGTGGAATTCAACATTGAAGACATCCGTGAACTACGCCGCATCACGCAGCTGGAATTGACTGGCACTTTGGATGCTGATGGCGTCAAGGCCTTTGTTGAGGTCCCTTGGCATTAACGATGCCTAATCTTATTCAAACCCCCTCATATTCCAATCAGGTTTTAGCTAAGCCGTATTCCAACATGTTCCAACCCTCCATCTAACAATGTGAACCATTGATTTCAAACATTTTGTGGCATTAATTGCCCGCTCCCTATCTTAGGCTGGTGGATGTCTCGATGGCAAGCAGCACTTGGCCCTTGGAGACAAGATGGGGGCCGATGGTATCCAGAAAATGCTGGGAGCTGTGGGTATCAAGAATGATGGGGCCAATGGTAAAGGCATCAAAAGGCGAAGGAACACCAATGCGGCCGAAAACAGCGCGCCCAAAGAGGCGCACATAGCATACCCAGTTTTTATAGTCCATATCTAAATCTAGATCTATATCGACACCTATATCTGTCTATGCTTATAATATCTGTAAATAAATATATTTATATATAATACATATATACATACATGTATATACATATATAAATATAAATATATATGTGTATAGAATATATATGTGTATATTATATATATATAATATACATATAGTTGACCCAAATGGCATGACCCTTATGTTTCCAAATGCCAGCTCCTCGTTCGGAGGTGGTGCCAGAAACCCCTTTGCAGAAAGCTGCAAAGTTGGTCGAGAAGGTCCTGAAGGATGCCAACAATTGCCGGACCCTTGTCTAAACATAATCTGTCCATGTCAATTGGATACAAAAAAGGAAGTCCCTTGTCTTTCGGATCAAGAAAACACAGACTTTGGAGTTGAAAACAAATCCATGGACTTTAGTACTTTAGGTTAAGAAGGACACCCATGGACTTTGCCAATTGAATCCTCACCATGAACCATGGGGGTGACAACATATATCCACAGTCTTTGGGGGTTTAAAAAGCTTACCAACTTGCACCCTGGACTTTGAGGATGATACATCTTGACCACTATGCCACCCACAGGGTTTGGTCTTGTCGGGGATTTGCTTTCGATCTAAGGGACCATGCCTTCAAGCTGAGACCCATTGCGATGAGCAGTGATTTGATTCTTCAGTTGAAGGCTTGCGCTGTCAAGCTTCAAGAGGCAGCAGAAAAGTTGCAGGCACGGGTCAAGCAGCAGAAGAACAAGAACAAGCATTACGCGGCTATCATCTCAGAGGCCAGATTCAACGGGAAGGAGTGGGGTTCGGAAGGAGTTGGGGTTGGGATTGGGAAAGGTTGGAAAGGATGAGAGTTGGGATGATTCATGATATTGAATATTGAGATCGGAAGGCCACTGCCTTTGTTATCCGTCCATCCTGCCAACTCAGGTGAATGAAACCAGATCTACTGCAGCTGAACGAATCAGCTTGGCGAAGGCACTGATCCGGGCAGTTGATAAGCCCAAGCCCAAAGCGAGGGCTTCCAAGGAGCCAAAGGAGCCCAATGCGTCAAAGGAAGCCACTGGCGGGGAGACTGTGGCCTAGAGATGTTTCACATGTTCGCAGCTAGTACGGCTGGCTTTTGCTTGCTATCTCGAATCGGTAAGTTTGGAACTAATTGTTCCGGGGATGTGCAGTGGACCATAATCCTTCCCCACAGATACGTTAAACTCATTAAACATCTTCCGTTGTCGGCTTCATATCCCATTCCCAAAACAAGAATACCATTAATTAGATCTATGTTCATCACTGGTTTGTGGGGAGGGCAGGGGAAACTGCATTGGGTCTTAGCGGCTTGAGTTGCACAGAAGTGCACCACATGACAACCAGGGACATCTGCGATTTGCAAAACCCTGAAGAAATGATGCAGTTGGAAAAAAAAAGTGACCATGAGTTGCATGGTTGAAAGACTCTATCATGTGGGGCATCGGTCATTTAGAGGTGGCCTTTCAACATTCTATTGCATCTAGAAACCCATGTCTTGCAACCCTTCCCACGCAGGTGCAGAACAAGGTCTCCTCGGCGACTTGCAAAGGACGAGTTTAGTGGCACCTTGGAGCTTTGCCAATCGGAGAGGGCATGGGATCAGTCAGGATCCACCTATTTGTTTATTCATATTTTAAATTACTGATTCATCTTCAGTTCGCAAAGAGCAGAAATATCATGGTGGTAAGATCCAGCCATTCGAAAATATTTATATGTGGCAAAATTGGATGTGGTCCATCAATGTGGGTTGTGTGGTATAATTTCTATTGACAATAACACAGGGTACCAAACCATGAAAACCATGTTAAAACTCCGGGTGCCTATCGATTGCTGAAATGCTGCTTAGGTATCCTCACTCTGGCATCATCAAGTTCAAAGCGGATTCTGAAAAAGATCTGCAATGGTGTGGCTTGGACAAATCATGGATCGCGGGTGTGGAAGATCATAAGCATGCATCAACAATCAATAATACCCATTCAATACAGTTCTTTTGAACCCCATAGTTTTATGAAATAATATATGGAACCTGCCCTGGCTACTCCCAGGCGACTTCGGCCACTGATGGTTGCAGGGATGCTGCCAAGTTGGTGGATGATGGGATGCCTTGCCCGTTGGCTACAGAAATGACTCGATGGTTAAGAGGTGGCCATGCTGAACGTTCTTTTAGTAGGCTGGCCAACTGGTTGTCTAAAACATCCGACCTTTTTGGCAGCCCTTGTTCCACCAACAGAATATCAATAGTTTCAACTGATTTTATGATGCAGGTTTTCAACCGAATAAAACACATATGGACCCTGCATTCCCTGAGGTGGTGTAAGGTGGTATGCTTTATCCAACCATCATCCGTGGAAATTCCGTTGCTTGTGACCACCAGCGACGGGGACGGACTGGAAATGATGAAGGACACTGCCATCATTTGGCCATGGGATTTCTTTGCATATCTTTGGAAAAATGGTAAGTTTCTGCAATGGATTGCGGATGACCCAAACCAAGCTGCCGATAGAAACATTGAGTGTTGGAACCATTGCGAGGGCTTAGAGTTTTTTGACCAATTGCAACTCAGCCCTGACCAGTATGGGTCCTGTGTCCCTGTGTTCTTCCACACCGATGGGGTGAAGATCTACAAGAATCAAAAAGCTTGGGTATATTCCATGAGTTCTGCATGTCGAAAAGGGCCTTCAATGTCGACCAAAATGGTTTTCATTCTTGTGCGCGATGCAATGGTTGTCAAATCCAAGACCCATGATGCTATCGGAAGATTGGCTGGCTATATCATGGATACTTTGATGACTGGTCGGTTTCCCACTAGGGATTCTGAGGGGAACCCATTTCCACCTGGCACCCAAAGTGCTGAGCGGGCCGGACAATACTTCGCTGGCGGCTATTGCATGGCCTTTGCAGGTTTCAAAGGCGATTGGGAGGCAAGAGTGATCGTCCACAAACTCAAAAGGTCTTACAGGTCCACCTTTATCTGTGAGCATTGCATGGCATCTTACAAAGAGGATTTTACCTTTGCTGACTTTCGCCCTACCGCACGATCACAAGCCATCCGGTTCTCTCACAATGAATTTTTGATGCTGAACCCCATGGATGATCAGAGTGCATGGACATCAGTAAAGGGATGGACCAAAGACAGAAATTTGGAAGAAACTGTGTCCAGGTTTCAGCCGGTTTTGTTTCCCACCCACAATCAACTTTGCCTCATTGAGTCGTTGGTGGTCTTCTCATTCAAGCACCCCGAATGCAAAGTCCACCTGAGCAAAGTTGGTAGTATTCCAAAGTAGGGTTCAAACATGGTACCACGATTATCTGGGGAATGAATTGCAGTAAATGAATTTGGTTGACAATAAGCATTGGGGTATAGATGGCTAAATGCTTAGAGTGGAATATACTAGTATACATCTGTAAAGCTGAACATTGGGGTATACATATATAAAGATGGTAAGCCAAATATATGTATAGATTGTTAGGTACACACCTGGGGTGTATATAAATCTAGATAGATAGATGGATGGATGGATGGATGGATGGATAGATAGATAGAAAAAAGAAAGATAGATAGATATAAATACTTATTTAGTTATATATTGAAATACCACGAAAGGATTTAGGAATTACCCATGTGAAAAAACATTGAGATATTCAGTTGGGAACTGCCAGTGCGGCTCCTAAGGACTTGCTACACAATTTTCACCAAGGAGTTCTTTGCGTTGTGATTGCAGCCCTAGTTTGCAGTCACATTGATTCGCTGTACCCTGGAATAACACTGAAAGACCTTGACTCTGTGTTATCGAAGGACATTTACAAGCACTACAAACACTGGTGTAAAGGACGCGGAAAGCATGTCACCCCATGCTCGCATAGATTCAGCGCGGCTCGATTTGGGAAGGAGAAGTGGCCAACATATCCTGAACTGGGATCAATCTATAAAGCTGCTGTTGTCAAAACAATGCTTTTTTGGTGCAACGATTTTCTGAAAGAGCAGGTTGGCCACGTCATGGGAGCTGACCAACGGTTTCATTGTATCTTTGGTTTTGCTAAATTTCAATATTTGATGGATATCCATGGACCATTCTTCGAACCCAGTGTGACTGCTGAAGTGGTGAAGTACGCGCGTGCTGGACTGTTGTTTTACCAAGAGCTAGCTGCTTTGGACAGAAGCAGGGCGGATGACCATCGGTTTTACAAACTCATCCCCAAGTGCCACAGCCTATATGAGATGACCATCTACACTGAAAATACCAACAGAAATCCTCGGTACCTTGAATCCATAAACACATTTTGCTGGAGTGCTTTGGTTAGTTCACTGTTTTGGAACCAGTATGTTTTTGTTCAAACCGCCCTGGGTTCATCCCAAGTTTTGGTTTGCCTTCCACGATTTTTCCAGGGTCAAGCTAGCTTGGAACTAAGGTTTGAACACTGCTACCAGGATGAAGATTTGATGAAAGAAGTCGGCCGGATAGCGAGTAGAACGCATCCAGCTACTATGGATTCAGTTACGCTTCACCGCTACCGTGCCCTTCTCGAACTCTGTGTCGACTGAGACACCGGACATAGCTGAGCGCCATGGGTGAAAACGGTACATGGCGGCATCAGCTAAACAGTTGTTTCCTTCAAACAAAGGCCCAATGACCACATGTTTCAAGGTTGTTTCAATAGTGGGATACTTACAAACCCCCAAAAAAAAAACATTGTGGAATTCCAGGTCAGTGATTCTATCACTGACCTTGATCTGTTGTTCATGGTGCATTGTTTCCATGGTGGTTGTGTCAAAACAGGGGTACCCCATGTCATTTATGGTTGGTGATTCTTATTGAAAATAGTTTGATAGTACCTTCAAATCCTGGTTAACCTGGTCTCCTATATTTTCCTATGTTTCATGCATGTTTAGATTTTCCAAACAACCGGGCTTGGCAGTTGGGCGGGCATGGCGGGCATGCTGGCAAAAGAGAAGCATCACGGTCCCATTTAAAAAACCCAAAATGTTGTGTCCCAAAAAAATGTGGGAACTTAGATGGTTCCACTACGGGTTTTGGTTTCCTTCGACAATGGTTACTGAACAAGTGTTCATGCCATTACCCCAGGGTCTATCCTTTGTCATTTCCCAATTTTCATTTCCCAAATATAGGTATAACATATTTTTTAACATATACATTTACACTCAGATATATACATATAATATACATATAATCATACACATACACATACACACTATACACACATCTATGCATCTATTCTGACATTTTCTGGCCGTGTTTCTCGGAAGTTTTCTCTTGAAACTTCCAACCTCATCGGTCCAAAGGAAAAAAGTTTAAACGTTTTAAGGCTCAAGCACGGCAACAACATAGCTGACATATGGCCATGCATGACTGTAGAATGGCTAAATGAATTCTTCTGTTTACTGGCACGGCTGCAGCATGGCTGACATATGGCCATGCATGACTGTAGAATGGCTAAATGAATTCTTCTGTTTACTGGCACGGCTGCAGCATGGCTGACATATGGCCATGCATGGCTGTAGAATGGCTGAATGAACTTAAGTTCTGCTATACTGGGCATGATGGACAAGTCCCGGCATACCAAATTATGCCTAAAAACCCGAAGGCTTAAATTTCAAGCTGTTGGGTGTACATGAACCCGAAGGCCTAGAATCAGGCACTCTTGGCTGTCTAGGTGTGAAAATTGGAGGAAATCTCGTACGAAATGCTACTTTTTCTGCATGCACGTGTCTTGTGTCGAGTCGCTGGTTTTCCTGTGGCGTCGCCGTGTCTATGGGGGAAGCTGGAAAACCTCTCCGATTCGAATGTGTCCAAGCAGGTTGTCACGTCGTTTTGCGTGGCAGGCGTGGCACTTTGTGACATTCCAACCTGTTTGATAACGTGTCGAACATATCAAGCTTGGAGGCAGTCTCGCACGAAATGCTCGTTTTTTTGCACCCACGTGTCTCGTCTCGAGTCTCTGGTTTTCCTGTGGCGTCGCTGTGTCTATGGGGGAAGCTGGAAAACATGTCCTTTTCGAATGTTTCCAAGCAGGTTGTCATGGCGTTTTGCGTGGCAGACGTGGCATTTTGTGACATTCCAACCTGTTTGATAACATGTGGAAAATATCAAAATTGGCGGAAGTCTCCTCGCAATATGCTCGGTTTTTTGCACCCACGTGTCTCTTTTCGAGTCTCTGGTTTTCCTGTGGCGTCGCCGTGTCTGTGGGGGAATTTGCAGAAAGTCTCCTTTGCCCAGGTTTCAAATTTGGAATGTACTGGACTGCTGGTTCAGTGAAGCTTGCGGTTTGTAAAGATATGGCAAGAGTGGGATCATGTTGTAGGTGGAAAGTTGTTGTGTGGACTCATACGTATTTCACAAAGTGTCGTTTATATATATGTTTGGTTCTGCGTCGGCAAACATTGTGTCGTTTATATATATATATATATATCTCTTTGGTTCTGTGTCGGCAAAAATTTCGGCAGTGCTCAATTGCAAGAGAACGTCAAGCATTCACAGTTCATGACAGAGGGGGTTGATAGAGATATTGCAAGACGGTGAATCCAAGCGAATGTCCCATGCACGGGGGTGTTGCTGATTCAGGCATGAAATTTGACAGCGATGTTGTTGCAGATCTTTGTTTGTGGAGGTGTGATTTCGGCTGTGCTCAATTGCAATATCTCTGAGCAGTCACAGTTCATGACGGAGATTGTTGTTAGAGATATTGCAAGATGGCGATTGTCGAATGTTCGTGACAGATATTCAAGCAAATGTCGCATGCGTGGGAGTGTTGCTGATCCAGGCATGAAGTTTGATACCGACGTTGTTGAAGATCTTTGTTTGTAGAGATGTGATTGCTTTCAGACATGTGATGGCTGTGTTTTTCTTTTTTTCTTGCAGATGTCGGGTCGCCGGTCTGCGCTGCAATGGCGTAAGCTTGCGCGCCAGAACTGCTTGCGAGGGCGCGCAGCGCGGCACGTTGCTGCCGCGGCGCTCTGCCTTGTCGCGGCTTGCGGCTGCTGCTTGGCGACGCTGCTGCCGCTGACTACGCTGCTTGGTGTCCTTGCTGCGGTGCTGCTGCCGAGCTTCCTGCGCTGTGTGCAGCTGAGACATGTTCCCGATTTGCTGCGGCAAGAGGTGTTGCTACTGGAGTTTGTGCAACGCGTGCCATACTGCTATGGGGGAATCGAAAACCGTGTGGAACCAGACACTGCTCATCTGGTGGTTTGCATTGTCGCTGGCAACACAAATGGCCAGGTGAGCCTCGTCTGGTCTTGGCATCTATTTCGACGAATTTGTTTGACTCCAGGCAACAGAGGGACAGCTGGCGTCGGTGACTCCGTTGTCTTGGCGAGAAGTTGGACATGCCCAAAATCTGTATGGTTGTGTATAGAGCGACAGCTGGTGGCGCTGTCCTCGCTGTCTTGCTGAGCAGCTTCCAGGCCGTGTTACAGGATGGTAGAAAGAAGTCCATGTTCCCTTTGCAATCTGATGATGATATGTTTTTGTTGGACAGATCAGCAAGAGCCGTTCTTATTTTCCTTTTTGTTTGGGTTGTTTCGTTGTCCCACGCAATCGTCATTGAATTGTCTTCATCAAGATGCTGTTTCCATAACTCATAAAATGATTCGTCAGCTACAGCTGTGCCTCGTCTGGCTCGTGTGTTCTGGCAGGTGATGACTGCGTCGCGATGCAGCTTTGCAACACCAGTGCCGTGGAGGCATCGAGCGTGCTTGGTGCCACTACAGGATGTTTCAACACGTTTCCGATACTTTCTGGTTTGATGATCCATACATTTTATCTTCTTGCATCGACGCATGTGATTCCCAACACAAGACATTTCATGTGTGATACGTTCGTCTCGCATGGTTTCCATGTCTTGGAAGGCGCTGCTTGCCGCGCGCCACTGCGTTGCGACGCCAGTGCTGCTGTCGCGGAGAGAAAACAGATCCGGAGCAATAGGTTTGAGCATTGACATTTGCATCTCATATCATAATCGATACTTTAACATCGTTATTTTCAACATACGTGTGAGCATTCGGGTTCGTGGGCTTCATCTTGTTTTTTTTCCAGTGCACATAATGATGGCATAATATCCATTGATTTTTATATCCATTGATTTTTGCTATACCTATTGCATTTTCATATCCATGAAAAAACCCTATCCATGCGATGGTTGATATACATGATTGGTTGGTATACTGATGGGATAAATGATTTCACATGGGGATAAATGATGGTAAATTAACAGTTTGCAAACTGGAAAATCACCATGCTATTAATAGGTAAATCAACTATGTCGGCAATTTCCAATAGCTACGTTAAATTACCAGAGGGTAAATGATGCTTGGTTTATATGATTGATGATTGTATGGATGGTATGGGGTGGTTTTGTCCTGATGTGTACCTCAAAATGGCATAGTTTGAACAGAACATGATTTTCTCATGGGATTTTGTAGTATTCCATTTTCGGGCGAAGCCATAAACACTGCGATTGTTGGTTACCCTCTGGTAAACTAACATAACTATGGAAAATCACCATTCTTAATGGGAAAGTCCACTATAAACGGCCATTTTCAATAGCAAACTGTTAGTTTACAAGAGGGTAATTATTTCCCGCTCTATCCCCATATCATGTCTCTTCATATAGTGTGGTCGATTGAGATCCCCGTTTGTCCTCCCATGGAATGTGATAATACCTCATATATCGTACCGTTGCGCCATTCCGTGTTCCACCCAACGGAACAAGGTGTCAGAAATCCTTTCTGCAGGTCAACAACTCCTTCGCTGCAAACTTTACAGCCTGGTAAACTATGGAAAATAAGATACTTCCTGGCTGGTAGTTTCAACCCATTCCATACCAGTGCTAGCCAGGTGGCATCATCCTGCAAAGTATGGTTGGAAAAAAAAACAAAAACCTTCGATCCCATCTACCATCTTGTCAGAATGTTTCCCCTACTTGGGGGGTGCATACCACTTAGTAAATTGGGTTACCACCAGTTATATGTATGTATATATATATATGGAATATCCCACTTCTATAAGGTATCAAATGGGTTATATGTGGATTATAAACCACGTACTGTTGTAAGTGGGGCCCGCACATCCAAGTATGGCCCAGTTGAATTGATACCAAACCAAGCGGCTCATCTGTCCATCCCCAATCTGCGGGAGCAAAGCCGCAAAGGTCCACCGAAAAATCCTGGCCAAGGTCTTGCTGTGGCCACATGGATTTTGGATGATTTGTTTAAGAGCCGTCACCCATGTGTTCTTTCAGTTGGGGATTCTGAATATGATTATCTGTTTTACCGTACTACATATATGTACTACAAGTTGAATTATTATAAATATTTTTGCCAAAATAAAATCATTAGTGATATCATCGTCATATTAGATTATATTACTAGTAGAGAGACTAGTTCACCTTTAGATTGATTTAACTAACTGTTTAAAATATATCAATGAATAACCTCCAATGGCTAATCACCAGTGATGAAAGTAAGACATGATTAATATTGATGTCCACTACAAAGTAATACATCATTCTCTGGTTGGTGGTTTCAATTGTTTCAATGAACCCCTCTGAAAAAATATTAGTCAGTTGGAATGATTATTCCCAATATATGGAAAAATAAAAAATGTTCCAAACCACCAGTCAGAAAGTATTGTTCCCGATTAGCCGTGTAATTCAACAGTTTGCGAACTGGAAGCCATGGCCCATTCAGTTCGATGATTGACCTGTAAACAATGCTGTTTATTTATTGGCAACGTAGCAACGTACCAGAAATTAATAGAAATTAGATCTATATCTAGAGATATTTCCCAGAAATTAGATCTATAGATATCTATGTTTCTTTACATATAAAGTATATCTCCCACTTTTGATTTCTTTACATGTAAAAAAAAAACATACCCTCTAGTAAACATACAAAACACTATGGAACATCACCATTTTGTAGCTGGGTAAATCCACTATTTTGATTGGGCCATTTTCAATAGCTTTTTGTATGTTTCCTAGAGGGTATAACCATATAATCCCATAATAATCCCATATTAATCCCACAACAAGCCCATAATCATCCCATAATAATCCCATAATCCCAGCGCGTGTAGCCGCCTGCCGCCCTGTGGCGGCCCGCTCCACGAAGAACGGCGCGGCGCTCGCGTCGCGACTCGTGGGGTGGAGCTCCACCAGCCAGGCCGTGCGGAAGGTGGGCCTTGAACGGGAAAAGCGCTGTGGATGGGGAGATCAGATGTTGGGAATATGAGGTCATAATAATATGAATAATATGTGTACATATTACATCATATGTATTCATATATAGATATATACGTATATATGTATATACATAGATAGACATGTTACTAGAATATATATATATAAATATATATATGTATGTATGTATATATATATATATATATGATGATGATGATGATATATGCCTGGAAGCACGCGGGATGTAATTTGGATATAATGGGATGATACTAATGTATAACAACCAGCAAAAGGTGGGATAGTAGATATGGATAGTCTCTCTATATATATATATGTATATATATGATTATAAAAATATGCATATACAGTTTATATGCATACATACTTGGATAATACCATATTAATACCATATGTATACACTGTATACACATATATGTACTATAACCAGCAAACATATTTTTTGGGACATTTATTTCGGACATAGTTTCATGGAAATACAAAGTAATAGCATCAACAATGGCCATAAATCCATCAACCAAATATACCCAGACTCATTGGGTGTTCAACGAGGCCGTGTTCAACTTGTCACATGGGGTGTATCAGCCGAACAACGCCAAACTTGGAAGCTGTTCTTTGCTTTGGATATCGAGAAAGACAGCAACAATCAACAAGGTGAAATGCTTACCTTGATTCATTCTTAAGTGAAACAAACATGGAGGAACAAAACCACTCACCATGAGTGGCAGCTATTTTTTATGCACATCAGCTCATCCCGAAACGCAGCGTGACGATATGTGATATAATATGTATATATATATATACATACATTAAAGTAGGTACGTACGTACATATAAGAGGAACACATCCCAAAAAGATGTCAATATGCTCTAACATGATAATATATATATATATATTATATATATTATATATATATATACAACAACAGTCAACAACAAATTTTCATGTGGGATACCGCACCCACTGTCGGCTTTTGTCCAAGTTGCCAGTCCTGTTTGGCCTGGGAAACGTTGACCGTGAGACTCAACAGCCTTCCGGTCCTGAGTTTTTGGGATTTCTGGATGGTAAATATCCACTTATATAATATATCAAAAATATCCATATTTTTATAGATACAACATATTAATATGTTCATATAATATTATATATCCAAAAAATCATTTATATAAAATGTTTCCTATATTAATACGTTAAACATATGTTATACACTTGAATATAGCAGATGTTAATGTCCACTTTACACGTTGATAAAATTCCAATCAATACATATGTTAATATCCACTGATGCGGTGATAAGTTGATCATACTTAAAACATCCACTGATTTCAGAATCACAATCAGATTCATGGATCTTAATAGTGACTGACTACCCTCTGGCAAACGTTTACATAACTATGGAACATCACCATGTTTCATGGGAAAACTCACTATGTCTATGGCCATGTTCAATAGCAAACTGTAACAAATTACCAGTGACTCATAGTGTTTTTTCCCCATTTTTAATGGGAAAACTCACTATAAATGGCCATTTTCAATAGCTATTTCGACATAACCAGAGGGTATATCCCCAAGAAAGTCACAAGGATCCAACGGTCACAATTCAGAACCAGGAGGTCACCTCCCTTCTGACCCAGTTTCACTCCCCGCTGTTTCGCCACCTCGACGCGGCACGCAGCACAGGCCACGAATCTTAGGTCGTTCGTTTTCTGTAAGATGTCATGCATGTGGTTTACTTCATTTGAAGTAAATCACACTATAAGGTGATTTTCTTCTAGACTAGAAGTAATTTCTTTTCTAGGTTCAGATTTCATACTATATAAATTACTTCTAGACATCTGTAATCATCGGACAACATGTTTTTTTCGTTGGTGAAATCTCCCTTGATACAGCTTGTATATGCTTATATAATTATCCAAAAACGTGATGTCATCATCAACCACATCTCTATCATTCTCTATCTATCTGTCCTTTCAACTATGCATACACATGTATGTAGATATGATTCCACATCAATATCCCATTTCATCAGCTTGTTTTGAATCAATACCTACTAAAGAAAAACATTTCTAGGGACATGAACGTATCCATAAATCTAAATAATTCTAAGTTTTTTGGGGGTTTTCCACTGGGGGATTCCATAGGTGAAATGACTCATAGCCAAATCAATTCAATTGATACGAGTAGAATCTTTACTTTTATTGATGAATCCCTCCATTGTTCATGGTTAAAACACCATTTTCCATGGTTACCTTCTTGTAAACCAATATAGATGTGGAAAATCCACCAAGAATCTTGATCATTTTACACTTAATCAGTTTTTTCCATGGGTTTTCCACATTTTTTGTCTATGTTTCCCTACGGAAGCATCCCAGATTTCATGCGCAACTCCCCCGCCTTGTTACATGTGCTGGACTTCAGCTGCGTCACCGTCGCCTCCGCCGCCTGCGGGCCCTGCGGGCCCTGCCACTGGCGGAGCCGGTTGGCGATGACAGCTTTAGACTCAGCCAGGACCAGGTTGGACAAGCCTCGTCAAATTGGCTGTTTCAATATGTTTCTTTAGAGATCATCATGTGATATCATAGATGTTATCAGTTATTGGTCAGCTATTTTTGAGGGTAGACAATTTCCGATGTGGAACACGTGCAAGGTGAGGCCCCCTTCATGGATTTTCCAGCTGGACCATGTTACGGACGGTACGTCGTAGCCATGGGGATTTCTTCGCACCTATTGTTGGGACCATTCGAATGTTGGGATTCATGGGGATGCGATTGGGATTCATAGGGATTGGGATTGAGTTTCTGGGGATGATTCGAATGTTGGTTGTTTAAAAAACAAGGCGTGACACAAAGGTGAACCCCTTAGCCAAGTTGACGCACGACATAACCTTTGGTGAATTCTATAGGGGTTATGGAGGACATGATATATCTTTAGTTAATGGGGTGTATAATCCAACTTATATATAACTGGGGGGCCCACCTTATAGTGATATCTCCATTCAATGAAATCCGATGGAATGTAATTGGAATTCAGCAGCAAAATGGGAATATTGTGAGAAATATCATTGGATATATAATGATATATAGATATATCTATGTTATTTTGAAAACTGGTAACGAAGCACAGCGGATCGTGAGATCTGTTCTGTCTGTGTCTGTCGTTTCAGTAGGCAAGTGCTGAGCGCTCGTTGATCTATTTTGCTCGGGTTGCAGGCCAAGGTCTCAGGTCTATCTCTATTGCAGGCCGTAGGAAATCCAAAGGCCAGCTGCGATCACCACAAACCCATGGGCCAGCACACGGCTGCAAGTCAGTGGGCGCTTGTGCCTCTGGCGAAATGCTGCGGTAGCAGTCATGGATTGTTGTGCTCTAAAGGCGAAGTGGCACCTGCAGTTGGGGCTGGAAACTGCTGATTCTCACACTCGTTATTTTTTTCTTTCGCCTTTCGTGCTTTCCTCTGTAGTTGCTGCTTCAACTTCTGTTGCCTGTTTGCATCTGTCTGTATCAAACTGAAAAGGCCATCTCGCAGAAACTGGTTCAGAATAGTTTTGTCAGTGTTGACTTTCGTCAAAACATTTGCCATATTCTGTTGACCATCTATCCAGCGCACGTCTGCGCCTTCTTTCCTAACAGTTTCACGAAGCAAAGCACCTTCTATCGCCATCCTCTTGTCTGATGACGTGCTGCATGCTTCCTTGTGCAAATAGTCGAAAACTGAACGTGCATCTGTGACGTAAATGCGCTTTCTCTGCTGAATGACATCTGTCCAATTTCGTAAATCTACAGACCCATGAAGTGCTTCATGCAAAACGACTATGATCCAGTCTCCACATTCTATGGACTCTGAGAGGTGACTGGCTTCCGCTGCTAAAGTACTTCTGCAAACTCGTTTTGTCTGGCTGCTGTTGAAGGCTAGGATATTGGCTCTGGCAGGCTTTCCTTCTAAGACTTCTGGATTGGCAATCAGGATATAGTATCCTCCAATGCTCCTATATCTTTTGATCTCGTCATGTTCAGGAGTTCCATTGGCGTGTCCTGAGTCTGCCAAATGAAGTATGACGCCGTTCTGAAGGTCGACGTCGTCCCAGAAACGCATGCGTACATCGGCTCCTCTTCTAGCTGCCTCTACTGCTGTCTTCAACCTCAACAAATCTGAAACCTTTGGCTTCTTCTTGCAGCGTTGTACGCAACCATTGTCAAATGCCAAATCCGACCTCAACTGTCTTGAGATCCATCCCAACTCACCGGCTCCTGAGTTGAGGACCCTCTGCTCCTCTTCTGTCAAATCTGCTTCTGGCTGTGCGCGTCTTTCCTTGCTGACTGTGATTTTGCTCATGGACAAAGCGTAGTTTCTCATGCAAACGTCAATGTATCCTCCACAAACGTTGCCATGCTCATCTTTCTTCTCTGACTGCTTGATCTCTCGGCCTCTGAAAGTGAAGCTGAAACGGTGGTTTGTTGCAAAATCCAGTGACTGTGAGCTCTTCTGGAAAAGCTTCTCCTCTAAGCCTGGTCTCACACCTCCTTCCAGATCATCCACATGAGTGATGAGGATGCCGTTCAAAACTCCCTCCTCATCTCGGTGGTAAAACAAAGCTGGCTCCAGCACTGATTCTTTCCAACCGTCTGAAATCAAATGCTCTCTAAGAGCAAGCCAGAAAAGTCGAGCGGCTTCTGCAAAGCCATATATGGCCTTTCTCGCTCGAAGCAGCTGTCGCCGAGCTAAACCAGGTAGGCCTCCTCTCGGCTGCTCCAAGTATACTTCTCTGTCCAAAGGCTTTCCGCAGAAGTATCCATTCTTGACGTCTTTGCAAAGCACGATGAACTGGTAAAAGCTACAAACGCAAAGCAAAATGCTCTCGGCTATCTGTGAGGCTGTGGGAGCATCACGGCGATATCTGCCTAGGGCCTTGTCACGAAAACCCTGGACAACCAATCTTGATTTTGCTTTGAAGTCTGCATCTGCAACTCCTTCATTCTTGTTTGTCCTCACCCATCGCGTGGGGACTATGAGCTCCGGATTGCTTCTCCTGATCTCCTCGCTTTCTTCTACTGTCAAAACATCACAAGCCTTCTTATCTATCCAACCTTGCCACTCCTTCGCATCTGATCCATGCTGACTTGTGAACTCCTCTTGCAACCTCACCTCAAGGTCTTGTAACATGATCTCCTTTCTACCCTTCTTGGCTGGTTGTGCTGCTGTAGGTGCTTGCTTGTTGCTTGCTGCGAACGCATGTTCTTGCATCTGCTGTATCTGAGTGTCAAAAATGTTGCGCTCTACTCCAAACAGAAAATCCTCTTCGCTGATGCCTTCTGCCTCATAAAACTCTGCCTTCATGGCATATTGCCTGGAAGCTGCGCTCAACATGACCTCTGATACATCCTCTGCTGAAAGAAACATGGCTCCTTCTCTATTCCTACTTGGTGACCCAGCTCTTGATGGTGAAGTTATACGCAATCTCTTTGCTGCTCTTTCTTCTGCTTCCTCTCTGGCTGTTCTCGTTTCTATTGGCGGTGGCCCTGCGGTTGGCACGGCTTGTTGGTATACGAATCCAAGTCAGGATCGTACTGCTGCATTGGGATTGGCGGCAACTCTTCATCATCCTCAAGGTGTGGTAACTCTGCATTCTCTGATGTCCTCACACTCTCTGTCATAGTAAGTGACTTCAAGGACAAAGTCTTCTTCAGCTTCCGCTCATCCTCTTTTGCCTTAAAGAACTTGCTTGACTTCAGCGTTCTCCTACGCAAGTTTTCTGAACGTCTCATGCCTTCTTCAAACTCCTCTCTTCTCTTTCTTGACTGCGGGCTCTCTGCTCTTTCTGACCCCTCTGCCATGCTCTCAATCTGGTGTTGTTCTGGCTGACCTGGTGCAATGGATGGCTCGTATCCATCGGACTCCTCTGCTTCTGGCACCTCCACTTCATCTCTTGGAACCCCATCTTCAAGTGGCTCCTGTCGTGTCTCTGCTGGGCGCCTCTCTCTCTCATCTTGGTCTTTCTCCTCATCTTCCAACTCCTCAAAACCTTCTGGTGGCGGGATGTCTTTCCGCCTGATGTGCAAAAAGGTGTTGGATGTGACTGCTGGTGTCGCATCCAAAAGCTCTGTTTCTCTGGAAGTCACCATCCAACCACGCACTTCCAAATCATCTGCCAGACTGAGATGTTCCGGCGATGCAGCCACCAAGATGCCACGGTGGCTCAGCCAAACGGTGTGGCTGCTGTCGTGGCCAATGACTCTTGCAATCCCTCTCCAGTTGTGTGGGCCATGCTTGGTGTCACCGACAGGCTTGTCGTAGTAGAAAACGTAGCTGCCAACTGGAAAAGGCCCTCTTGACGGCCGCACTCTTCTCAACTCTGCTCTCCTCAGCGCCTCGCTGTTGGACGCACGAATGCAAGCCTCTCTTGCTGCTGTCCTCAGTTGTACCTGCCTGTGGAACCTTGTGGTAGGTGTCAATGCTGCCGCTTGTGCACCTATTCTTGCAACTTCTCCATCATCCAAAAGATCTCCAGGAAGACGTATGGATCTTCCAAGGACCCACTGCTCTGGGCTGAAACCTGAACGTCTTGCTAAACTGTTCCTTGCCTTGCTGACCTGTGCTACTGCTTGCAGGACTTCTGACTTTCCTGCAACTTGTTGGCTCCAAACGAGCTTTCGCCAAATGGTTTTCCATGTGCCTCCATGTCGCTCCACCGCGGCAATGTGCCAAGGTGATGCCTTTGCTGCTAAAGAGACTTCACATCCCTGTTCCTCAAGGTTTCTTGCAAACTCATTCATGAAATATCGTGCTTGATCCAGCACGACTCCTCTCTCTGGCAAACCGGCCCAAGTGGACCAACCTTGAGTGAAGGCTTCCGCAATCTCTGCTGATGTCGGGTTGCGCACTGCTTGATCCAAAAGAACCATGACTTGGTAAGTCGTGCACAAGTCCAAAATGTTCAGCAAACTCCAAGAAACTTGATCTGAGTCTTTCACCTCGATCACATCCATTTGCCCACAATGACGCCAAACTCGTCCACCGTAGGCAGCTTTGATGGCCTTGGAAGTTTTGGTTCTGCTAGTCTTGGACATTCTGGGCAACGAAACAACCTACAAGCACGGATGGCTGCTTCGCTGGCTCTGCTGATGCGCAAGGCGCGCAACATATCTGGAAGTCGCGCATGACCCAGATTGACATGCACACGTCGTATGGCTAGGCGAAGCTCTCGTGGTACTCTTTGCCATCTGCTGCTGGCATCTTCTTCTTTGGGCTCTTCCAACTCTTCTGCTGCTGCTGCATTGTCTGTCCCAAAGAGCATCACTACCACCTGCTTGGACCTTGTCGGCAAGGTTCTGTTCTGCTGTGTTGGTGCTAGCTTGTGCCATTCCTCCCAACCGCTGCTCAAGACCTCGTCATTGTCCATCAAGATCAGCGCTTTCCTGAGAGGAACTTCCATTGGTCCTGCGTGTGGTTGTGGTCTTTTCATGCGCCTTGCCAATCTTGAAACAAGGACCAGTTGCACTTCTGTCTGCCCTGTTTCCTGCTCTCTAAGTTGCTGCGTTAGCTCATGCTCTTGTTCTAAAACTGCCCAGTCTACCGCTCCTGACTCCACTGTCCAAGTCAGGATTCTCCTCAAAAGTTCTAGAGTTGCTGGACCATGTACTCTCTCCCATGCTCCCTTCTTGACCTCTTGAACACGTGGCCTTCTCCTCAAAATGTTGCTGGGTGTTGCTGGTGCTGGCATTGGCTGGCTTTCTCTCGGCGTGGCTGGTTCTCCTAACTCCTTCAGCAGCTCATCATCACTATCCAGCTCCGGCATCTCTTCTTCAACAGGAAATGCTGCCTCCTGTCTCTTCTGCTGAAAAGCCACGTAGTCGCTGGTCATGCTGTCCTCAAGGCCAAGTAAGATTTCCTCACAAAGCTGCTTGGGATAAACTGCCGCTTCCTTGGAGCGGCTGGCTCCAACGACTTGCTCATGACTGCCTGGTGGGCAATTGCACTGTTTTGCTAAACGGTTGAGAATGTGTTCGTTGTTTCCCAACCATCCTGTCTTCTTCTTGACAGGTTTGCCTGTATGTAAGTCTGTTTTACCAAACCTGCATTGATCTCCTTCTACAAACTTTCCACCTGCCTCCTCCAACAAGCTCATCAAAATGCCTGAGAAAATCCAGGACAAAGCTCCTGCTGGGTTCTCGAGCAGGTAATATCTGCCTCGCTCATGCCGGTGTTTGGCGATCGCCTTCACTAACTCCAAAGTCTTTCTCCCAACTGTTTGACGCAAGCGGTGCCAATCGATGTGTTGGCTCAAGTTGGTGAGTGTTGACCAAAGTCGGCAATCGAATGCAATCAAGGTGAGAAGGGGATCGTGCTCATCAAGTGTTCTCCATAGTAGTTCAGTGCCTTCTGCGCTGAGCAAATCAACTCCATCCTTTACATCCGTGGGCTGGCTGTTGACCCAACCTCTGCTGAGTGAAGCTAACCGTGTGACCGGGAAGGTTCCTCCCCATGGCTCAAAAATCATGCTGCATCTGAAACCATCTGTTGCTAACTCCTCAGCTTTGGTGTAATGGTGTCTCAAAGCCGCCCACATTTGGGCATCCATGACTTGCTGGCTTACTGCCGCCTGCTGCAACGCCTCAAACCTGGCTACATGTAAAGACTTCCTACGGTCTTTTGTGGTGACTCCTCTGGACCCAACCTGGGGTTTATAGGTCTCCTCTGAAAACTCTGCCGCCACCACTTTAAACGCAACAAACTCCTGCAAAATGCTCTCATTGGCCTCCTCTGCACAAAACACGCTCAAATCCTCAGCCTGTGACTTGATCATAGGCTGGCCCGACAAAGTGCTGGTGACGTCGAGCTCTAAATTCTCAAAGGAAACGTCTATGGCTAGATGCTTGGTGCGGGTGCTAACCAAAGGGAGTGTTACGCCTAGCTCCTGTAGGCGCATGAGTTTCTTCCGCATGAAAACGACTGCATCCAAAGCATCTAGGGCTGAAATGGACAAAAGGAGGGGAGTGTTGCCTTCTGGCACTTCTGCTGAGTGCACCTCTCCTGGCCTACCACCCAAGCATATTGGAATCTTCCAAACTTGAATCTGGGATGCGGTTGAAGAGCCGTTGGCAAAATGAAAGGTCTTGAATTGCTGCAAAGGTTCACATTTGACCATATCTGGCAGCCGTCGTGAAAAAACTAACCTCCAGCCCATAGAGTGCATGCATGCCGTGCAAGCTGTATCGATAAGGGCTAACCCTACTTCATCTCCAGAGGCACTGCTTTGATTGCAAAACTCTTCCATGTCTATGGGCATTGCCATGTGCACAAACTCTGGCTCATCAACCACAAATGAATTCAAAAACATGCAGTGCGAGGTGTGCACCTCGCCCTCTGCCGTCTCTTGCTCACTTCTAGTTCCGCCCGGACCCAGCGGATCCGGACGCAAAGGACTGCTCATGAACTTCTGCCAGTGAGGTGCGAAAACGTGTGACTCCCTCTGAGTATGTGATCGTGAACTTGCAACCCTTGGGTGAGAAATTGGTACACCCATAGAACTTTCCATCTTCTGCCCGATTGGTTTTGCCTACCATCGGAGCTTGGCACTGCTCACAACGTAGGTGGTAGATGGGGATGCCCTTCATGAACATGTCATCTTCGGTGTAGCGCCCACTGGGACCAATCATGGAAGGATCCTGCGGGGACCACGAATCTCTCATCCGCCTCTCTTGCTTCATCTGTTCAATGACTGGGGCTGCACGTGCACGCGCCGATGACTTCGGCAACACTGGCGCCTGTGCTTTTGGAATCGGCAGCACAGGCTTCAATTCCACTGGCTCATCTTCCAAACATGCCATTCTGACCAAATCCTTTGCTGATCCACGCTTTGGCACTGCCTGCCATGCATAAAACTTGATCAAACGTTCCTTCAGGCTCTCCTTGTTCAAACCTGAGTACGCAATCTCGTTGGCAATGCAAAGCTCCTGCAACTGCTGGACTCGCTTGGTGTTGAGATCTGGCGTGACTCTCTCCTCTGCTGCAAGTGCCACTGGATGCACTTTGATTCCTGAAGCTCTGAATGCATCCATCTCATCAGCACCGGGGCAGCTGCTAGCACGGCGGTACGGGACATCGCCGATCACGATCTCCTCTGTGTGGTTGTAGCCTCCTCCAATGCTAGAGACCTCCCATGGTGTTGTTGCGCCTGTGGTTGAAGGTCGAGGCGCTGCCACACGTCTGCGAAGTCCATCGTCACCGCCATCTACAGGCATACGGGACTCATCATCATCATCGGTCCTCACCATGTCTGCAAACTCCTCCACATCACCTTGGGTCAAAGTGAAGAAGGATGGGAAAGGTTTGTCTGACACCACATTAGCTGAGCCAGACTTCTTCCCCTTCTTGCCCTTTCCCTTGGACTTGGCGGGCTTGCTGCTCTTGTTGGGACAAATGCTGTCCCCGGCCCAATGGCCGAGTCGCCCGCATGCACCGCATCTGCTGCGGGACTTCTCCTGCTCGATTGCTTTGGCTCTCTCCTCTACCGTGAACTCTCCTCTAAAGAACCCTCGGCTCTTCTGCGTGTCTTTGAGTTTCTTCCTCTGATCTCGGTAGGACTTCCGCATCTTGTCCATTGCTGCATATGCCTCATGAATCTCATCATCCTCTGAAGCACCTTTGTCTGAAATCTGTTCTCCTTCATCTTGCCAAGCCTGATCTTCTGTCTCCTCGTATGCTTCATCTGCGTATTCTTCACCTTCATCCTCTTCCCACTCTTCATCCCAGCTCTCCTGTGCTGCATTCGCATGAAAGGACTTCTTGCCCTTGCCGCTGCCATTCTTCTTTGGTGATCGATCCTCATAGCTTCGAAAACGCTCCTTCTCGTGCAGGTCGTGGAATGAGATCCTCAAGGCTTGCTCAATTCCTGCACCATTGTATGAAGATCTGTTCACCAAAAGAATGGCACGCCTGTCATCTCTGCTGAGATTGCATCCACGAAGTAGGAAGTACGCTAGAAGATCCTCTGACATGTTGCTGCTCTCATCAAGGTCACGCAGCTCTCTCCATGCCTGCTTCTTGTCTCTCAAGTAGCTGTCGATGGGCTGGCCCTTCTTGCGGTAGCTCTGGTCGAAGAACCTCTCAAACGCTTCTGTCTTTCTGATGATGGTCTCCTTCTCGATTGTGGTCAGGGCTGCAAACACAAGCTCATAGCCTTTGACCACCCTCAACTTCTCAACGTCTCAGGCTCCTTCAACAGCTCTTGACAAGCTGTCCAAGCCTCACCGTGCAGGGCGTCGATGAGACGCTTCGCAAAGCGCTTCTGTTTCTTCTCAAGGTCTGCACGCTCTTTCTCCTCGGTGTCACCATCTCCTTCTAGTCCAGCAAAGGCGAAAAGGACTCTTTGCTTGTACTCCTTCATGAGGTGCGGCATGACCCCTGTATAGTGTGGAATCCCATCTCTGTCCACCGTGATCTCATCGTCCCGGTAGAGCTGGAACTTCGAAGTGTCGGCACGAGCCATCTTTGCAGAGTTGCGCAGTGATAGCCTCTGGAGCACTTCGGCTCCGCTACCAGTTTGAAAACTGGTAACGAAGCACAGCGGATCGTGAGATCTGTTCTGTCTGTGTCTGTCGTTTCAGTAGGCAAGTGCTGAGCGCTCGTTGATCTATTTTGCTCGGGTTGCAGGCCAAGGTCTCAGGTCTATCTCTATTGCAGGCCGTAGGAAATCCAAAGGCCAGCTGCGATCACCACAAACCCATGGGCCAGCACACGGCTGCAAGTCAGTGGGCGCTTGTGCCTCTGGCGAAATGCTGCGGTAGCAGTCATGGATTGTTGTGCTCTAAAGGCGAAGTGGCACCTGCAGTTGGGGCTGGAAACTGCTGATTCTCACAGTTATATAAGTTATACATATATACACTGTACATTGATGGGCTTTTTAGTAGAAACATGACCGTCTGACACGTTCCATGAGGATATTTTTGGGATCCATCAACCTTGGGGCATGTGAAGTCAGAGTGAGGTCACGATAGAAAAACATCATAGATGGAATATCCCCAGTTCAATTAGTTGCTTATATCTAACTATAACTGGGGATATTCCATGTTAATATAGTTTATAGTTATAAGATATCATTTTTAGGTTACTTAGAACTACTATATTATCACTGGCTTACTGGGACACACATCGGAGTATGGGGCCCTGGGTCAAACCGTCTAGGGCGTTTTCCAAACGAATCTAATTGAGTCCAAGACAATCCAGTCCAATCCAATCTATCTTATCCGGTATCTTATCCTATCCTCGACCTTTCTTATTCACCCTATTCTAGCTAATCCAATCTAATCTAAAGCGACACAATTTAATCAAACTATCCGTTCTAACCTTTTCCATGTTTCGAATCTAATCTAATCCAAGTGAAGCTATCTTGTTCTGACCTTTCGATCTAATATATGTTCATCTAGATAATCTGACATACGTATATTATCGTATATTATCCTATTGCATGCATCAACATCTGCCATGTTTCCTCATCTAGATCAAAAACACATCTTATTACACCCCATGGATCTACAGCAAGTTCATCTACTACAATGTCATCAATCCGTCTTATCCTATCCTGTCTAAGGATGATACCCCTTACCATTCCCTCTAAATCTACTGGTTAATCATACATGTTTCCCTATGACAAAGGCGATTTACATAAGGTCGACACACCCCACCCCATTTTAACAGACACACCCAAGAATCACGTTGAGGACATATCCCTTCAAATATATCCATGAAAATTATCAATATCTACTGGTTGAAACCATCTATTGAATGGTTAAATATGGTTTAATATATTTAAATATCATGTTACATCCATTCAAATCCCATATACCCTCTGGTTTTTCAACATAGCCATGGAACATGGCCCATTTATGGATGATTTTCCCACGAAAATCTCCATTTAGTTCAGGGATTGTCCATGGCTATGTTAGTCATAACCAGATGGTATGTGTCCTACCCTGCACGACACACCACTTAAGTGACGCGTGTAATACGCCGCGGCGGAGTCGAAGCGTTCCGGCAGTTCCGGTAGTAAGGCCGACTCATGGGATTCATGAAGAGCCTGGGTCGAGCTCTTAGAAATGGGACATTAACCCCAGTTTCTACGTGTAGCTGAAGGTAATCCTTAGGTCCATGATGGAAAAAGACTAATCTCAATAGGTGCAACTACTTATTCACTTCTTCTCATCCCGATTCTATGATTAATGATTACATGCTCTCAGTTGAATGCTACACTTGGAGAATGACTCGGGGCTTGGTAGCTGCAATCCACTTCTTTTTCTGATAAACAGTGGGGTGGCAAGCGCCAGGACCATTCAATCTGATTCGATCCTCGTGTTCCAAGGACCCATCCGATAAAATCTTGACACTGGTCCTATATGAATGTTTCCTAAGTCATGGTGCTACTCCCTTGCATCATCCAGTCGTCATGGATGACCATGACTTAGTATTGAAACAAACATGGCGACCTGGGGATTTCCCAATTTCAAGCAACCCCCTGTGATCATCATTTGGGATCACTCTCCAGACTGTGCACTGCCTGGCAGCGTAAGATGGTTTTGTTTTGCAAAAGTAAACAGTCATTTGAAACTATGACTTTTTAGAAAAAAAACAACTTGCAAAGTAGATGACACAAACGTGCTGGAAAACATGCTGCTCAACACTGTAAAACTGCAAACTTCACCAAACTTATGGATCCCCAAAACTGCCTCCAGAAAGGCAAACCCAGTGCTCTTCACAACTACCAGGACTGGGGCTGATTCCCAAAAAGATAGACACTTCTTCCCAGGATGGTAGTTCATGATGTGTTCCCCATATTTTACAGTTTCCACGGTATTGTTGGCATCTATTTGGGGGTTGCGACATGGTTAAAAAAAAAACGGTCCAGCGCCATCGTTTGCCAAGACTTGGAAGGATCATCATGTCTGTGCCCAGCGAATCTACTTGTGGGCAGCCCAAACAGTCCTGGATATATCAATAATCAGGATACACCTCCCCCCAAAACCCCCCAACCTAAATGGTAATGTTATATCCCTTGAACCATAACTATCGTAACATATCTTAACATGTTATGCCTTTTGAATTCTTGGGCAAACGATGGTGTCAGCGCGTAATATTACATAGAGGTAAAAAACCCATCCCCCTAATATGAAACTGGCGAATAATGGTGATTATATAATTGATCTCCATTAGAGAAACAAAACTATTCCCAGTCCCAGTATTCCCATTCTCACTATTGGGAAGGGATCATATTCCCGTGATATTCCCATGACTCACAATTAATTAATCACCATTTCTATTTGATAAGAATCCATGATGATCATCCGAATTGAAATGGTGATTAATAATAATATGTCCCATATACTAATCCTATACATATATATATAATTCTGATACAATCCCATTTATAGTATTCTTATCCATGGTGATATTATCATTCTTCCATTGATCATCGTTCCATGAGTGGAAGGCCAAGTAGCACAGGCCCAAAACGCTTGCGCAGCTTCACGGCTCAGCGGCACTCGCTTGCCACGCTTGCCGCGCTTCATGGCCGGAAAAAAATGACGAAACAAGGGAAAATCTGCAGGAGATCATGGTGCATGTTTTTTTTTTGGTGGGGATGTCCTATACAATTAGGTTTCTATTTGAAAGAAACCTTGGAACAATAATTTTGTTGAGTCCGCACTCCGCTCAACCAACATCTCTTATTGCTATGTACAAACAACAGAAACAACAGCTAGGTTTGGATGTTCGTTTCATAGTTTCAACAAATGGTTTGACTATGTGAAACTGCATCGAATGGTTAACTCTCAGTCTTTGTTGAAAGGAACGCACCGCTGGTTATGTCTGGTGAAAAACCACTGGACCGTGTGTGTCACCCCATTCTGAGCACAAGCGCAGCTTGATCTGTGAAATCGATGCCCTTAAGACCAGTGAAGGTTTCTCGCTGAAACATTCATGGTTGAGAAACAAACTGTATGGTGATTTTTGACATGAATATTAAACTTAAATAAGCATCAATATGAATAAGTACCAGGTAACCATCAATACAACCAACCAAGTCTAGCAATAAGATGGAATAAAGAATGGTTGGTTCCACCACGCAACTGAGTGTGAAAAGACTCTCTGTCATTCTATTGGTTGGTACATTACAAGATTTCACTAACCTGAAATCTTGGGCTGTTTGGGGATAGAACCCTTACTAAACATGATTCCAGTGAGGTCAGAGTGAGGTCACTCTAATTTCCCCAGATTCTATTGGTTGGTAAATAATATATATATATATATATGTATATAATAATAATAAGAATAATAATAAGAATAATAATAATAGTAATAATAAATAAATAAATAACTATATTAATCATTATTAATCTATATATAGAAGCCCATTTTCTGGGGGTATACCTTCACCCCCACACGGCTCAACAGGTACTGAGGGAACATGAATTCAGGGCAGACTTCATATACGGAGGTGCCTCGGTTTGTTTGAGTCAACACAACTCCCATATGCAACTAGGGTTTTTGGTGGATGGATATCTAGTTATCTAGGTTTTATATTGTTTTATGGTGGATGTATCTACAGTTAGCTATAGTTAGCTATAGTTCATGGTGTTTTAAAATTCACTTGTAACTTTTAGGTGGGTTTATAACCACCTTGTGTGACAAAAAGGGTACAACTCCACTTGGGTGGTCAAAAATCAAAGCCCATCCAACCACAATACTTAATACGTATTTATGTGTCACCATTCTATCCCAAGTTTCACCAACAAACTTGGAGAAGCGACTATACAAGAACACGAATCATTGAATGTACTAAAAAAACAACGTGATCATGGGCGCGAAAAACCCCTCATCTTGGGTGCACAATTTCGACCCTGCCCGAGCCCATATAGACGCTGCCACGTGATAGCAACATGGAACCTGGAAAATTAACTCCAACTTCAAAGTTCCTGTGAGATATAGCTGGCTGAGTAGATCAAAGACTGATGAGCGACCAACAAGAGGATGTGAGGGAAAAAAGGTAAACCTGAAACATCCTGAAACAATTGCAAACCAGCTGGCGAAACATTTTCATTTTGGCCCTCACAAGCGCTACTAGATGTACATGAACTGATAGCCCCACATCACCACGGTTCCATCTCCCAAGATTGCAGCAAAAGCAGCTTGTGTGCTACAGATCTGCTGAACATTTCTGAGCTGATCTTGGACTCTGGAGCTGTCACCAGCACCACATGGCTAACCCCAGGTCGCCACGCTTCTACCTGCCAAAATGGCCGCAAAAGCAACTTGTGTGCTCCAGATCTGCTGAACATTTCTGAGCTGACCTTGGACTCTGGAGCTGTCACCAGCACCACATGGCTGGCCCCAGGTCGCCACGCTTCTATCTGCATTTTTGCTAAAGAGTTCTCAATTCCATCTTCCTTTTGGTAGCATGAGATTGCTAGAGACGCGGCCTCCAGAGTACTGCCCAAACCTTTGGGCAGTACTCTCGAGGCCGCGTCTCTGGATGACATACGATCATATATGGACGCCTATCTGAACGGTATGTTAGTGCCTAAACGATTCATCAAGGACGTTTTTTTTGAATCTTCAGGTATGAACTTGTCATTGCCACATCGCTAACTGATTCCGGCTTCAACTGCTTGAAATGGTCAAATCCAGATAATCCAGAGGAGTTTTCTGGATTTTCCTCGTGGTTTCAGCTTGTCTCAAAATGTGGGAATGCGTACCAAATTCCATGCATTCACCAAGTTGAGATCCTTCATGGGCTGCATCGCGGTACATTCCCACATTTTGAGACAAGCCGAAACACTAGTGTTTCAGCTTGTCTCAAAATGTGGGAATGCGTGCCAAATTCCATGCATTCACCAAGTTGAGATCCTTCATGGGCTGCATCGCAGTGACCTCTGGGCAATTCGCTTCAAGAGACTGCCACTCACCCACACATGGAAAGCCATCTTGGGAGCACACCTGTACAATTCATAGAGCATGAAAGTTTGGTGATACTGAAGTGCTTGACTCCTTGACCTACAAAGCCATGCCTCCAAGATCTTACGGCCTGTGCTAAAAAATTGCTGAACATTCCGCAACTGGTGCTGGACTCTGGAGCTGTCACCGACAAAGTCTGGCTGGCCCCATGTCACCACCGTTCCATCTGCCAAGAATCTGTGCTACAAATTTGCCGAACATTCCGCAGCTGGTGCTGGACTCTGGAGCTGTCACCGCCATAGTCTGGCTGGCCCCACGTCGCCACGGTTCCATCTGCCAAGATTGCAGCAAAAGCAGAATATGTGCTACAAATCTGCTGAACATTCCTGAGCTGGTGCTGAACTCTGGAGCTGTCACCGCCATAGTGGGGATCACCCCGCGTGACAATTCGGTCACCTCCAACACACCACAAAGCAAACGCGCTACAACGAGCTGCAGCTATCTTTGGCTGCTGTGCAAAGGCAGTAAGGCAGTCTCCATCTTGAAGCCCAGAAAACCAAATACAGTCTGCTTGATCCAAAGGACGCCCGTTTGGCGCAACAAGTCTCAGGAAACGTTGCCCTAAAGACTGTTGCGCAGCAATTTTCAGGCAATCAATGCTGCTTAACTGCTGAACTGCGCCAGTTTCACACCGTCCACTTGGCAAAGACACTTCAAGTTTGATGGGGCTGTGAGCCGCATGACCACTCAAGGGTCTGCTGTCCATAGCGATGCAGCCTTACTGGCCATTTTTCTCCTTCGCCATGATTTTCATTCGCCATGATTACAATCGATATTGTTGTCTTCATGCCTTAATATTAATCAAATGTTACAATCATTGCAAATGTTGATCTTGGAATCTTACAGCATACCTGGTTGCCACCAGTGACGACTGCAATCTCAAGACTTGAGCAAGACGGTGGGAAGAGGCCTCATGTTTTCTACATATAAAAAACACCAGTTACGTACCCGGTTATGGCCAGTTGTGGCATATCTATGATTCAACTACAATAGCCCTCAATGGCGCCACTTCCCCCTGGAGGGAACATCGGAAGCAGGCAACCAGCCAACAGCAAACGTTCATCCAAGGGTAAGAACAAACGTGAAAACACGTTTAACGTAGCAACTTCACTGGCTATTGGTCCACTTGATCCACCCCATACTGTTTTGCATCCCTTGGCAGCCACAGCAAGGACCACCTCCAGCCCAATCTTCTGCAAGGATTCCTGAAATGTCTCCGCCTAGCGGGGGAGCTGCGTCAAAGACCACTGAAAGCACAGCTACTTAGATGGGGCCAATGGGGCCAATGGGGCCAATGGGTTGCCACGAGCTATCTCCAACTATAATCCATTTATACTAACTACAGTCCAAGCACTGTATATGAATTCCTTGTATAAGAAGATGAGGGGCCGGATTTTTTTGCCGCATATATGTTTTGTGGAATTATAATATGCAAATGGAAGTTAAGAAATTGAAGGGCCCTGGTATTTTAAAGGCTAGGAAAATTAGATGTATGTGAAGGAGCCCTTTTGCGCCCCTGCTCAATTTTCTTAACCATGACAGGGTTTATAAAGATTCTATTTGCGGGAAATGGAGCCAGCTTCCCTTGCAACCAAATACCCGCCAAAATGAACTTTGCACAACCACCCCAGAGTGGAACCACTACACGGTCACCAAGTCCGCTGGCAACAGCTTCGGCCAGACACCAGCCAGACTCACTGTCGGTCATCTGTGCGCTTGGCTCGTGTTGCCTTGGCTTGCCTTGCCTTGCCTGTGCTGCCTTGTTGCCACCGGGTGCATGGTTAAGAAATTGAGGATGGTTAAGAAATTGAGGGGCTGGTTTCTTAGTGATGTATTGAATTGAGCCCTTAAGGGTTTATAAGAGCCTTGTGTAGAGGCGACGTCACCGGGTAAGGATTCAACTCAATACATAACTAAGAAATCCAGCCCCTCAATTTCTTTATCATGTAAGCGTTTGTAAGAACTTTCTGTAGAGGAAACTGAGTAACTGTTCCTTTGTGCACAGGAGCCACTGGGAAGCGGCGCAAGGATGGCGGAGTCAAACTCACGAAAGGAGCTGCGCAGAGGCAACCCTGCTCTTACATCTTCGAATCTGACTGCTTGTGAAATACTACATTCAGAAATTGCTAAGAAATTAAGGGACCCTCGACCGAATAATTGTACATATATACTGACATACATGGGGCCTTTCCGATAATTGAGGGACCCTGGCCATCGGCAACCAACATTCTTATATAACGCTCGCGCTGTACTTTGCTAACTCCATGGCCTATCTAAATAGGTGAGAGGTGGGGAGTCTGAAACCATGCTTCACTTGGTGAATTCTGCAACCCCAACTGAAACAGACGTGATTTTCATTGGTTTTTCGCATCACAGCTACAACTGCGGAAAACAAACAGTGGCCGAAAGGATCTGAAGCATGGCAGGGAGTTGCTTGCACAACGTTAAACACTCTGGTTTTTGAGACCTGAAACGGTTGGAAACACCGGAAAATCGCTTCAACGCATTGAAATAAAGTATAAAGTAAACCGGCCCACGATCTCACATGAATTAGATTGAAAC